AATTAGAGAGACGCACCCACCACACCAATTTTGAGGTATGTTATTGTTATATATAAATGAAAAAAAAACTTAATGCTTTTGTGCTTAGATTAAAAATCGATGTTGACCTTAACATTTCATAGTGCAGTGTATTGATTGAGCTAAAGCAAAATAGAGCAGGTACGTCTTACAGCTTACTTGAAGTAGCGTCTCGCTTGCACTAGGCGGCTAATATATATATATCCCTCTCTATCACCAGTTAAGTACTAAAGTACAAGGACTTTGTCACAATGAATTATTTATTTATATTGATATGATATGTTTTTAGAACTTAATTTGTGTGGCCATATTTCAGTTGGATCAAAATTCAACTCCTTTGTATTGTTTTGGTGTATTTAGCTTTTTTAAAAAGCAATGAATCGTTAACAATGAAAAAGCTTAAAAAGTTAAACTGTTTTCATATTTACAATCAAAATTTTCGGGTTTTACATCCTTTTTCCATTTAATTCAGTTTCTTCTCACTTTAGATATTATCTTGAAAGGTTTTCTTAAGATAATATTTTATTGAGTGTTTAACTATAATTATTTGTAATATTCATAATGATTTTAATAAAGAAAAAATATTAAACAAACAGTAAATCTGTTTTAGCATAATACTTTCTTAGATTTACGAGAATGTTTGACATCTATTATATTCTATACATATAATAAAATTCTGAATCGAATCTGTACATTAAATATTTTTTGGAAAATCTTATTGGAATAGTTATATACAGAGGCCGAATCTATAGTTTTTGGATTTTTGACTGCCTGTCTGTCTGCTTGGGACCGCATCACGAGAAAACGACTGGGCAGGTTTTGATGGGTATGATGATAGCTGGTTATCTGAACTTTTTACTGCGCAAAAATGTCTCATCTCTGATAAATCTATACTAAACGTTAAAAAATATTGCTAGTTTTAAATAAAACGATTTTCCGCACAAAATTTCGAAAAGATAGTTTTCTTTAAAATCCGCTTTAGTTGTTTTTTTACTCATCAAAATCCATCCCGGAGTTTCAGAGTGAACGAGTAACAAATGTAGACACAAACACACATACAAACATACGCATTTATAAATGCGATGAACATGTAATTTATAGGTATAGGAAGAAAAATATGATTTTGAATTAATACATAAACCTATTTCGTAACATTCTGGATAGTCATTAAGGCGCCGACAGCAATTTTCTTGGCCTTCAAGTTCTACGCTGTTATTTGATGTGTTTTAAAGAAAAAAAATGTTATTTTGTTCATGAATATTTTGTTTAAGTCTTTTGTAGGGTATATTTGAATGAGAACGATTTGTTATTAGAAAAGAAAATTGTATCTACGAATATTTCTTAGTATAATAACAATAATTCATCCTTTTAACGTCCCACTACTGGGAATGGGCAACCCCTCGATGCCAGGGTAAGGTTATAGTCCATTATGCTGTCCAAAACGCATGTTAGTGGACTTCAAATCTTGGTTCTCTCATATATACAAATTTCTTCATCATGTTTTCCTTCATTGTAAAGTTAGTGATAATTATGATGAATTTTTTTTTGATGAAATTAAAATTATTTGCACATGAATATCAGAAGGAATGAATCAAAAAATGAGAACCGAGTGGGTTAGGCGGCACTTAGTTTTTCATTTGACCGCATTACCGTTTTGCTCGAGTGTATGCTTATTGTACTATAAACAATAAATATGAGCCTAATTCATGTACACCGGAAACCGTTAGATGTTCTCCTGGCCTATTTCGGCCACGGCAGCCACTCTCAACTGCCTACACTAGCTAACGGCGCAGGAGATATTATTGTGCAGACCACTACATAAGTCCACTCTCTATTCCTTTCACTCTCAAATTTCAATGGGACAATAACAAGGGAGATAATAAAGGAGTTTATGGCTTATAAAAATTTATATATGTTACAGTCGAAACTATTTTTTAGTCAAAACTACTTTTGACTAAGGAGGATGGTCAAAAGTAGTTTTCATCACAGCGCGGATCCGGCGGGGGGGTGTTCATGGGGGTCATGACCTCCCCCCCTGGATCCGCGCTTGACACTTATTAAGTTATAAAAGGATATCATTTACCGGAAGAAATAGCAAAATAGTAACGTATGTATATACAAAAATAATGATCACTTTGCAAAATATTCCTTTAATCTGTTATTGGTTAAAGAAAAAAGGATAAACTAAATAAGATTTTAAGACAGTGGTAGTCCAGTGGTAACAAGCTCGTTTGGGAATCTGTGTGAAGCGGGTTCAAATCCCGGGTTTCTGATTTTCTCATATGCGAATCTTATCTGAGAAAGCCTAGCAAGTTTTCTAAAGACATGTGTAACCCGCACTTGGCCAGCGTGGTGACTATGGCATGGAAGGGAGGCCAGTGCCCAGCAGTGGGACGCTAAAAACGGCTTATAAATAAGTTTTAAATATTTAATATTAGTATTTCCTCTATTACTTACTTCACCATTTTAAAGTGAGACAGAAGATATCTAAATTTAAACTATATAGTGACTGAGGCTTTGGGTATAAAGACGGTGATGTATAAACGGACAAACGGATATGATGATATTATATATGATGAAATTTGGATCACTATTTGAATTCCCATATATATTTTAATGAAAATATCATGCTCAGTACTGACATTTGAAGTGAACGCTTTAATAAAAGCTTCAACTACATTGTGCTACTAACTTAGTCATTATCGATTTATGCAATTTCATGCAAACTTTATCAAGTCCTTGAAATACTTGAAGAGATAACTCTTAATTGTATACACGATGTAATAAATTTTCCCTTTTATCTTTTAAATACTTCGTGTAAATTTAATAATAATACTATCTGGCGTTGATTAATCATTATGTAATTTTGGTGACCAATTTGATTTTTTCAATCAGGATTTCTTATTATTTTGTATAAATTTTTTGGGCCTTATTTTATTGTTAGATGGGGAAAAGTATTTTTTATTATGTCTTTTTTTGTATACATTGCTACTATCAAAGCACTCTATATACTTTGTAAGTAACTTTTGGACCGATTGAATGTTGGTAAATCCTTTTCGTTTTCATTATCATAAATAGTTTCTTATCATAACTATCTCGTTGGATTAGTGATTAGCATGAACATGCTGCAGATCATAAGGTCTTGGGTTCTCGTCTCGGGTCTGGCCAAAATAGCTACGGGATATTTCTGTCGTAAAATATTTAGTAGCAGCCTAAAATTGGAAATTTGGCAATGTTCCTTCCCAGTGCTTTGAATACCACGTTATGCTGTTAAACATGTCGAATTGACGTCCCACCGGAATATGTGAGTTAGAGGATAGTCTGTACACTCGTGTCTACAAACACGCACCTCAATATGTATATATATCTGATGTTTATCTGTAGGCTAGCCTGTGTCTTTAAGACTGAGTAAAGAAACTTATAAATAATAATGCTTTAACATATGTTTATGACTTTAAATAAGTAATATCTGCCTCTACTATACCGCGGTGAGCGAGTTTATTTCGATATTCTTTATCCAACTAACCCAAAAGGAGAGTAAGTTATTTTTGTATATATTGAATTTTTCATATTATGACTGAATTTCTTGTATTTACGCTTTATCCACACATTTTCACTATAAAAACATGAAAAAGTAAGCAAAATATTTTTTTCCATAAGTGAAGAATATGAAAATTTAAAATATTTATTAGAGTTTACAAATTTCATATATATTTATACTTATAATTAGATATTATATAGACGATTCTCAGACGTGAGATATTTTCCCGCAGTAAAAAGTATCCTATACGTTGACCCGGATAACCAGCTATCGCCATACCAAATTTCATCAATATCTGTCCAGCGGTTTTCTCGTGATGCGTTCACAGATTCACAGACAGACAGACAAAATAAACAGATAAAAATTATAGATTCGGCCTCTGTATCGATAATAATGACTATTTCAATAAGATTTTCCAAAAAATATTTAATGTACAGATTCGACTCAGAATTTATATTATATGTATAGATTTACAAGTAGTTATTAGTAGGCATATGATGTAGATTCATAGCCTATTATAATAAAGAGATAGGATTTTCGGTCGACACTGTGATAGCTTTTGTCTATAAATTTGATAAGCATGCTTTTAGTGTAATTGGTCGGTGTCGTGATTAAATGTAATTTGTAAGCTCTGTAATTTTCTAATTAACCTATGTTGTTAGTATCGATTTAGTAGTCTATTTACTTATACGAAACATTAAAACGTGTGAACATTTTTTATGGGCGTTCTACTTATTTATAAAGCATTAAAGCAAATTAATTTTAAATTTTATTGTTGGTTTTGGTTAAGGTTAAGGCAATTTTGAAGTTTATTGTTGGTTAGTTTAACATAAAAGTTTCTTAGATATACGCGAATATTTGATAAAAATGGAGGTTTTCCCGCGAAAATGATTGCTGTAACGTAATTAAAACGTCTGATATCAAAAATATATATAATAACCCCACAAAAATAAAATGATAACAGTGCTATTTAATATGTTACTTTGTCCATCAAGCAATGGAATAAAAGATTTTAATGAAGCAATTTTTACACAGTAATCAAGAGATAAGAGAGAAAAACAGACCATTATAAATAAATAATAAATGAATAAATATGTTAGGACATTAACACACAGCACCATCTTGTTCAATGGTAAGCTACGAGGCTTGTGTTATGGATACCAGATAGTTGATACACTACAAATATATAACTTTAAATACATATTATAAATACAAACAACCAAGACAAGAACAAACATTCATGCTCATCACACAAATGAGCTGGACTCGAACCCGCGACCGCTAGCACAACAAGTAGGGTCACTACAAACTGAGCCAAACGTGTAATCTAATTGTATGTAATTATACTTTAAATTTAAAAAAAAATGTTATTTTGCTCCGGACATCTATATAAAATTTAATTCATGTTGATTGTTATGTTTTCTATAGATAAGTCACAACCATGGACGATCGAACAGTGGATCTGATCTTCGGAGGCTCCTTGAAGTCCTTGCCACCAGTCAGTTCCAAAATTGTCAGGATTTTTACCAGTTCCACGTTCACAGGTAATATAAATTCCGTTACTATTCTTTTTATTAATTTGCACAAAAAAACGAATTAAGTATGACTTTATTAAAGGTATTCCAAAAATTATTTTTATCAATATACACATTTATACATTTAATAAATAACGTAATCACTTTACTTAATGTATGTTCGCTCATCAAGCCCTTTTATTTGATACGTACATATATCTATTACGTTGTATTATCTTTCTTTCCTACATAAATCGCCATTTTCCGGCAGCCGCCATATTGGATTAAAAATGGCGGCATTTAGGTAATCGTGCATTAACATTAACCAAACTAATGTGCCAAATTTCAGCTCAATCGGACACTGGGAAGTAGGTTAAATTTAACTTGCATGATTCCATTAAAGAACTTTGGACGGGTGAAAATAAATAAAAACTTCTAAAATCAGATCGCCATATATCATAAATAAGTTCTTTATTGACATAATTTTATACATATACAAGTGATAACGATTTCCCTAGCCCCTATAAGTATATAATTTAAGTACTAATATACGAGTATAATCAAGGGTAGTATAACTTATAGGTATTAGAATATTCTCTCCACATCATAAACCATCTCAAACACGGGCCTTGCATCTCTAAAATTTTCATGTGCTAATTATTTTAAACACGATTACTACTTGCTATAGTGAAGGAAAATATACTGAGAAATTCTGCATGTTTGATAGAATGCATGCTTTTCGAAAATCATGTAAATTCTTTATTTGATCAACTTGGTGGATGAATTATTATTTTTTATTAAATCGTAAGCCAAGCTAAATTTAAATATTAAATATAAATGTTATAAATATAAATATTAAAGGAGTTTTTTTATAAAAAATTGAAAAATAATTTCATGCAATATTTCTAATCTAAAATCTTTAATTTTTCTAATTTCTAGAATAAATCTTTGTTGGTAGGTAAATAATGTGAGTTCTTGACAAGCTTTCGCATACCTAATGAGGTTGGGTAGATGCCATCTTTTTACAGGTAAAGGGTGTAAAATCAATTTCTTTGTATGAAAATAATTTTAATCGTGTTTGAAGATAGAAAATGACTTTGTAAGGGTTAAATTGGGAAATTAAATTGATATAATTAAATTGGATTGGGAAGTACAAATTCTAAATCATATTTTACGTTCTAAATCATATTATATTAGTATATTCTAAATCATATTATTTCCCGTTTATGGATTTTTTGAAATTTATTTATTTATTTATGTACCAGAAAAAAAAACATACAAGTGAAAACAAATACCATGTGTACAAAGGATGACTTATATTTTTAAGAGATCTCTACCATAAACGTGAGAAAATATAAAAAATAATAATTATGCGGTGCGGTGTAGGTACAAACTACAAACATCAATTATATCGGTTCGTAGATATCCATAACATACACAAAACCCACACCCAAATTGAGTATCTCCCCTTTTTGAAGTCAATCTAAAACTATTAGTACATGTAACCAAGATAATAAATAAATAAAATAAATAAATAACAATAATAATAAATATGTTGGGACATTAACACATAGCACCACCTAGTTCTATGGTAAGCTACGAGGCTTGTGTTATGGATACCAGATAGTTGATACACTACACGTATATAACTTTAAATATATACATAATATTAATATAAACACCCATGACTGGAGTACAAACATTCGTGCTCATCGCACAAATGAATGCTCTCAGCGGGACTGGAACCCGCGACCGCTGGCACAGCAAGTTGGGTCACTAAAACTGAGCCAAACGTGTCGTCGAAAGATAACTAGCATGTCTATTAAAACTCCATTCTGAGGCTAATTTCAATGATTTATTACAACTAAATGCATATTCGAAATCAAACCGACCCAACCGCTGTCACAGTTTTGCGGTATTCCGCACTACGGCTGCATTTGACGCAGGATATTACAATATTTTGACCCTAATACCTCGTTACAACTTATTAGTTACGTAAATATTTTATGTAGGTACGAGTACTTAATTAAACTACCACTGACTGACTGAAAGAAAACACTATAGAACTTACAAGTTCCAGACTAAGCCGTCTACATCTTAAAAAATCGTACGCGCAATGCTAATCAGCAGCGCGTCTTGCCATGCTCCAATTTTAACGCCATTCTTAGATTTACGCGAATATTTGACATTTTAAATAAAACTATCTTTTCGGATTACTTCACGGATTTAATTCCGCAAAGCTATTACAAAAAACTGATTTTCATGACTTCTGGTGACGCGACGTCTTGATGTGGACATAAGATTTTATGAAATTTTTAGGAAAACGTAAAAAAAATATCTTTTTTGCATTGGAACATGAACCAACTGCATACATGGGTGTTTATGTGGAGACTGACCGGTTAGAAAAGCTACTTGCAAAAATTCAACGTAACTATTACTATCTTTAAAAGGTATCACAAAATCGTACGCACTCAACTACGACGCCTCTTTGTCTACCTTTCCGATTACGAGAACCAAGGCGTTGCTCTTATAGTCCACTCTACTGTTAGAGAAGTACCAGGAGTAATTTTTTGGCTTCACGCTCAGCTGCTTTGCCGGAAGTTAATGAGTTCCTCCACCACGAGAAAGTCCAAAACAAATTGAGGGAAAATAAAATGACAAAAAAAACATAAAGATCACAAAAAGGCACAGACTAAAGCCTGTAGTGTTCGTAAACTCAATAAAAAAAATACAAGTTTATAGCTAGTATATTTTTAGTTATTAACTTTTACTCTAAAAACCTTATTTTTGTGGACTATAACTCTGAACATGACAATAACTTGTGTAAATAACTAAATTTGTTTTTAAAATTGGTGGACGTCTACCGATGACTGCATAAAATATTAGGCTTTTAGTTTATTTAAAAAAAAAATGAAATTTCAAACGATTTTAAATCGCGTGTTAAAAAGAAATAGATTATAACAAAGCAACTTTTTGCTAATATTCTAAGTGCCTTGATACTACGAGTAGTTAGTACTGCATTGCCATAAAATTCTGAAGGCATATTGCATAATACAGAACCAGAACAGTTTGATGTCTGAAGTGTGTGAATGTAATGAAGGTTTAGTGGGGTTGGAATCCCGTGCCGAACAAATATTTATATTGATCCTAGATCTATATACAGACGGCGCTGTCTTTTACCAAGTTTTATTACTTACAGTCCATGTATTATTTCAAGTCACATCATAGACTATCCGCCTGAAAGGAGTATAAAACATACATATTTATATATTTTTTCATAGTACCTACATCTATGCCAATTGGAAATCGATAATTGTTTTTTCATGAAAAGTCTCAATAATAATCATATTAAATAACTAAATTTAAAGCGAATTTGAGTTTGGTGTTATTTTGGGAAAAAATAATGGAAAGAAGTAACGTTATGTTGAAATTATCGTTTACAGTTGTGCTCGGTAACAATAAATAAATAAAATAAATAAAAATAGTTTTTATTTCTTAATCATATTTACAATTTTATGTTCGAGTCTTCCCAGTAAGTAATCCGAGGATACTTGTGTTGGGAATGGCCCGCTTCTTCCCATATGCATACTCTATGATTAAGTTAAACTATATAATACTAATATAGGAAACTAGGATAGTTACAAGATTAAAGTGATTTAATGCAAAAAATAGACAAAATTACGATATTAACAACTGAAGGTTGTTGTTGCCAGTAGAATTTCACTAGTTTTATTTTGAATAATAGGTCGTAATATGGCCATGTAAATAAAAAGTCTATTCTTATGGGCCAAACTGACTCCTATCCACAATATATATGGTTTATGTGCCAAAATAAATTACATAATTTGGATTTTATATATTTTTGATTTATAATAAATCTATAGATATATATAAAAATGAACGTTTCTTTGTATGTTTGTACTCTATCTGTTTCTAAGCTACTCATTCATAGGGACTTACCTGAGCAAAGCGAGGGTGAGCCACTAATAAATTATAAAGTTTGGTAGGCAGTGGCAAACATTGTTATATGCTCAGTACTGTAAATATTATTTCAATATGCTCGATATGCAACACTGAACTATTGGCATAAATGATGGTGTTTAGATTTTTGTCTTTAGTTAGAATACTTCTTGTGTATAATTTTTATGCTCAAAGAGCTACAGTACCATGGTGTGTAGTTTATATAGTATGTAAAAAATGGATCAGAAGGGGCAGCAAGGTTTAGAACCTCAATAAATATCTTTTTAACCCACATATATGTTCAGCGATTTTAGTGATTCGAAAGTAATTTAGATTTATCTATACCTAATTAATTTATCGTGAATATAAGAATTAAATAGATACCCCACTGCTAAGAGCAAGTCTTTTTTCATAAGCGTGTACATCCTTAGTCTTGAGGTCGTTGACTCCCCATATTTTTGATACATCATTCATGTTACATTACTAGTGATGCTACCTTACTGCGCTTAGGTTTGTCCCTAGGCAAAAAAGTAAATCTCTGTCACTCTTGGGAACCTCTGAAACTGAAACACTCTTTATTTCTTACTAGCGAGTCACCCTCGCTTCGCTCGGGTTCGTCCCTAGCTTGATTCCCCATACAAACTTTCATCCCCATTTTCACCCCCTTAAGGGATGATTTTGGGGATAAAAAGTCCTATGTCCTTCCCAGGGCATCAAACTATCTTCTTACCAAATTTCATCTATTATCTCCCTTAGAGATTACCCCCTACAACATCACAAATTCACAAACTTTACCTCTTTATAATATTAGTATAGATTAACAACACAAAAAAGAATATGGATATCCTCAATTAATCAAATATAAATAAATAAATAATCATCATACAACTTTCATGTCATATTTCAATTCCTCCAAATTTTATGCGATAATAAGTATGTTCTACTCAAAGATCCAATTTGTCTATTCCAAAATCCATCAAAATCGGTGTCGCATTTAAGCTGAAAACGTCACAAAAAACAAACAGACAGACAGAGCAACCTTCGTATATCTGTAATATTAATTTGGATATTATGCTAAATCCTTTAAAGGTAATTTTCCTGTCTACTGTAAAAGAAAGTAGCGTGAAGGAAAAAAATTTAATAAAAAATAAACCTTTTAGTTACTCGTATTAAAGCCCACGGGAGCCCAATAAATATCCTAGTTACTGCCACTCAAGTAGAGTGGTCAGTTTTGCATTACATAGATTAAATTAGAATAGTCATTTTAGAAAATTACATTATTTGATGTGTAAGTTTTAAATCTATACATAATACTTACTAGCGATCTCTTCTTGTTTCTTATTAGGGTTCCGTACTAAATGTCTTTAAAATTTCATCGTATCCGTCTATCTGTATGTCACAGCCATATAACTCGATGACTATAGTTACTACTAGCACTGCCCGCGGCTCCGCCCGCGTTCAGATGATCAAAAACCAAATTCTTAGGTTTTACATATTAGTATACTCTTACATTGCAGGTTTTGTATTTTTTCTCAGAAATGAGATATTTTCCGGCGGTAATAAATATCCTATATGTTGATTCGGATAACCAGCTATCACCATACCAAATTTCATCCAAATCCCTTCAACGGTTTTTCTGTGATGCGGTAATAGACAGACAGACAGACAAAAATTTTAAAAACTATAGTTTCGGCCTAGATGTATCGATAATACTCGTAATGTTTATTTCAATAAGATTTTCCAAAAAATATTTAATGTACAGATTCGGCTTAGTTACAATTTTATTATATGTATAGATTATGCCGAAATTTAGATAATAGTCGTATTTTAAGAATTGTTACATAATTTTGATGTTAAATTATGAAAAATTAGAAAAATAGGGGTAGGGGGTAAATACATTAATGGGCTAGTTTTGATTGGACAAACACGTCAACTACGTCAGGCGTATTCGTCACTTTGGGGTTGATATTTAGCGGGTTTAATTCATTAATAGAAATGGACTTTCATATTAAAGACCTTCGAACGGTTTGTTTGTTGATGAAATGGTCAGGATAAGTATATAACAAGTTTTATATATATGCAATTTTTAGCATTTACATATTAGTACCTGGGCTACCGAGCTTCGCTCGGAGTTTTTGGCCTGAAGTACAATTTTCTTTTTCTTTAGAAAAACTAAAAACTTGAATAAATATTAAAAAAAAAACAAAAGTAAAAACTTTGTATGCGACTGAGATTCGAAACTGGACACCTGTGAATGTTGATCTTGCACCTTGGCCGCTAGACCACGATGCTTGTGTTCGAGCGTGCAAATTACCGACCATATTTTGCGTGGAATGATGCAAAAGAAAACTGCATGAAAGCTAGAAAACACGCGTTTTCTCAGACATAAGACTAATCTAGATCGATTTATCGCCCCTGAAACCCACTGTATACTAAATTTCATGAAAATCGTTGGAGCCGTTTCCGAGATTCATATATATATCCACTATATAATAGATATATAGTGGACATCGAACCTACAGTCCAGAAACTCGGAGATAAATAATTTCTGAATAAGATGTATAATATGTATATCAATTTTTACTCTCGTTTGCACCCGCATTACAATTCGGGTAAGCGGGACGAGTGTATTAGGTAGTCTATGTCCGTTCTCACAATGCACTTTATGTCATTGCCCCAAATATCATCGAAATCTGTTCAGCGGTTAAAGTAAAAGAGGAAACAAACAGACATTTACATTAACATTTTTAATAATTACATTTTTTTTACAGATACCACTATGGAAAGAAACACACTGATGGCGAAATGCTACCCCCGAATAAAAGATTACTGCCGTGAAAAACATGGTTTGGAATTTCAAGTAAGTTTACAATTAACGATGTACAAAGTATTTCGTTTTGTAGTTAAATAATTCATTTATTTTACTTAAATAACATAATATGTATTTGTATATATTATGTATGTATGTATGTATGTTACCACTAGGAGTTACCTCGCTTCAGTCGGTTGTGTGCCTAAATGTCAAACGGTAGCCTAAGTGTTACCAGTTTTGGTATATTTATATACTAAATTTCATCCAAATCAGTCCAGCCATTTCAAAATGATGGAATAAAATAAATACAAACATAATAATAGTAAATCGATTTTAATATATTATTTAGTAATCCCAATAATCTATATAATTATATACATATATATGTGGGTTTCTTTACTAGCGATAGGCATTTGACATAATTTGTAAGATGCTTGCGTCAATACCTGTATCTAATTCTCCTGAACGATTTCGGCCACGGCCAACCCCACTGAGATAAGCCATGTGCAAAGGAGATATTATAGTGCAAGTGTAAAAGTTAAGGCACAACACCGACGAGTTTACGTGCTCTCCGAGGCATGACAATGAAACATCGCCAACTTTCCAAGTCCGCGCTGCTACCGAGAAATTCTTAACAGAAAAACTTAATAGTTATGTTGGCTCGAACCGGGACTCGAACCTAGGACCTCTGAATTTACAGCCGTACATGCCAGCCACTAGACCATGGAAGCAGTAATCTAATAAGAGCACTATAATACCAGTCATACCCTCGTGTTTTCTTTCCACGTGTCATTATCTGTGCTCAACTTGCACGTTTAGAAGCCATTGACGAGAAAATTGTAATGAAAACTTCAGATATATATACGAGATGTACATGAATATGGTACATATGTACCAGTTTAATGAAGTATAGATATTATTCTCATCATAGGTAATTCTTTAAATTGACATATCTTTTTAGATATGAACCGATTGAAATAAAACAAACATTAAATGTTAAGTGAAGCTTATCACAATAGTCGTCTAGGAAGTCCAAAACTGTTTCTGAGATTAGCACGCAGAAACGCACAGACAAACAGACAGAAATTCTAAAAACATTGTTTTTGGTTCTATTGCGTTAATAAAGACCCCCAATAATAGTTTTTCTCAAATATCTTCCATGTACAGACAGCTATCAGTTACACTTTTATTATATGTAGATATGCGTAAATCTAGATTAAGGTTATACTCTTTAGGTTTTTTGTAGTTAAAATTAGTTTTTTTTCCTAATTGATAAATAATCTCAGAATCTATCGTATACATTATAAAAAATCTGTTCACTCGTGTTAAGCTTTTTTAGTTACATAGGCTATTTTATGGACGTGAACATAATCGTGGGCGGAAAGTAACATATAAGCCATTAATTTTCATACTAAAACATACTAGGTTTCTTGAAATTCGGTATAGATAGAAAAATACGATGTTATTATTTTGCTTACGCTTTTCTTCGAATTTAAGTGATCATCTTAAGATACTATAAAAATTTATATCTTCCGTTTCCAGTCTCTAAATCCTTCGATTTTGTTAAGGGCGAGTTATTTAAAATCAAGACAATATTTTTTTTGTATAGGAGGTTAAGGTAAAATATATTTCTTAGTCGGATTTATTGAACGGGATTTTCGATTTGGCTGATTCTTTTTTGGGATTCGTACGTCAAAAAAAATTATAAGTTTACTAGCGTGCGTGTATGTACACGTCAGACATAATATGTCTGACGAAAATTTCTGTCTTTATAAAAAATATTTCAAATGTCGTTTAAAATAATATTCAACAATGTACCAACATATAATTACTTATTATTTATATCAAATATATACTTACTTTTTTCTTATATACAATAGTAGAAATACTATAAATAAATTATATTATTTTATTTTATGAAAAAATAAACAGTACTACAATATAACAACATGAACATTGTATAGTAGAATGTATATTCATTAAGTTTTCACAATTGAATAACCTATAAATAGAGTAGAAAATATTAAACAAAATTAAGCAAAATAAAGGTAATAAAGGTAAAAGGCAGTGGTAGCCCAGTGGTAACGCGCTCGCTTGGGAAACCGAATGAAGTGAGTTCAAATCCCGGGTCTCGCACCGCTGATATTTTCATGTGCGAATCATTTTCAACATGATTACCACTTGTCTTAACGGTGAAGGAAAACATCGTGAGGAAACCTGCATGTCTGAGAGAATCTAGCAAGTTTTCAAAAGACATGTGAAGTCCGCCAACCCGCACTTGGCCAGCGTGGTGGACTATGGCCTGATTCCCCTCGTGCTAAGGGAGGCCCGTGCCCGGCAGTGGGACGTTAAAAAGGGCTGAATACAAAGGTAACAGGTTCACCAAGTAACAAAAAAAACCGTGTTCGTAATATGTATTGTCAAATCACACATTTGCTGACACGTTTGGCTCAGTTTCTAGATACTTGCTATGCCAGCGGTCGCGGGTTCGAGTCCCGCTGGGGGCATTCATTTGTGTGATGAGCACGGATGTTTGTACTCCAGTCATGGGTGTTTATATTTATAATATGTATGTACATATTTAAAGTTATATATGTGTAGTGTATCAACTATCTAGTATCCATAACACAAGCCTCGTAGCCTACCATGGAACTACATGGTGCTGTGTGTTAATGTCCCAACATATTAATTTATTTAATAAAGCAAAATGAATATTATATGGTAAGGTACAATAAAAAAAAATGAATTCATAGCTTTCCCTTAACTTAGTTTGATTTGTCTCTCATAATAATCCTCAATGAATCCCGAGATTTTTCCAAGGAAATGCAAAGGGACTTTTAAAAGACATCGATCCGTCGAACAACAAAGTGAGATTTCGGGAACTGAATAGTATAAATATTTATTTGTATAATATTCTTATGAAATAGATGAATTTTCGAATATGTGCTTTTATAGTTGGTTTTAGTTTTGTTTGTATCCCACTATAATTATGTTACGTGGAATATTAGCTCATATTATATTCTAAGTTCAATATTTTGCTTGAAACGCCTAATTTTAAAATAAATAATAAATGTGTTGGGACATTAAGCCACAGCACCATCTAGTTCCATAGTAAATTACGAGCCTTATGTTATGGATATCAGATAGTTGATACACTACACATATACAACTTTAAAAACATACATATTATAAATATAAACACCCATGACTGATGATGCTGCTGATCTCCCAGAGGGATTCGAACCCGCGAACGCTGGCACAGCAGACTAACACACAATACAAACTGAACGACTTCAAAAATGTACTCAACTCAGATGTAGCCCTAGTTTTGTTATTTTTTCCTGTGTATGTTACGTCATTTCTTCGCCTTAGGATTCGAGTTTCACCATTCTTTATTAGATGAATATTTGAAAGGTTATATTATTTAAAATAAAGGCACTTAAAAATAATAAAAAATAACAACAGTTGTTTTGAAGTTAAAGTAGATTATCTTTTTAGTTAAAAGGCATTCTGACAAGATAAGAGGAACATCACACAAGAACAGAACAACAGACCTGACAATATATGATCTTCTTTCATCGCAGTAACATTATCATGTTTACTCAATGCCAATGGCCAAACTGCTTTTGTGAAGTTATTTTTTTACAAGTAAATCTTTATTGTTCATGTATGCTAATATTATATACTAGCAACTCACCCTCGCTCCGCTAGGGTTCGTCCCTAGGAACGTTGTCACAGTTAGTATAGATTTCTCAGAGATGAGATATATTGACACAGTAAAAAGAACCCTATATGTTGATCCGGCTAACAAGCTATCATAATGCCAAAATTTTTTATCAAAATCTGTTCATTGTTTTTCTCATGATGCGTTCCCAGATAAATAGACAGAATAAAATTCATAAAACTATAGATTCGGCCTCTGTATCGACAATAATGACTATTTCAATAAGATTTTCCAAAAAATATTTAATGTCGTTAGGGTACGCACATGTGTTAGAATTTGAGATTTAGCATTCTAAATATTTATTGTTACGGAAATAAACTATTTTTATTATTAATAAAAAAATATTTCAACCAGAATAGATAAATAAATAAATATCTCAGGACATTAACACACAACGCCATCTAGTTCCATGGTAAGCTACGAGGCTTGTGTTATGGATACCAGATAGTAGATACACTATACATATATAACTTTTGAATACATACATATTATAAATATAAACACCCATGACTGGAATACAAACATCCGTGCTCATCACACAAATGAATGCCCCCAGCGGGACTCGAACCCGCGACCGCTGGCGCAGAAAGTAGGGTCACTACAAACTGAGCCAAACGTGTCGTCAAAATATACCTATATCAATAATACTTTCTTAATACTTTCTTAGATTTAAAAATATTTAAAAATACCTATATCAATTTAAAAAAAAAACAGATAAAGCTAAAACGGGCTGCCAGTGAAAGAATAAAAATAGTACAATGTTTTCATTTAAAAAAAACCGTTTAACATTCTATTAATATGAGAGGAATTTTGTTAAAGTTTCATAGCGAGTTTAAATATTACGTTCAGTTTAGTATAGCACGTGGGCAAGCTTCCGTCGACAGAAATAAACCTGCAACTGGGAATTGTTGGTTATTATAAGGAATGGACACACTATAAGCTAATAACTAGCTATAATATCTTAATATATGTAATAAGTATCTATTCTAAATGAAAACCACAGTTTAGTTATTTTTTTTTATTTTTTGTGCCTGGAAGTCGGTTTTCATTTTTTTTTAAGTTTTTATTAATTATCCCAATTCCAAAGTTTCAAAAAACCAGTTTTTTAAATTTGTCAACGACCATAACATTATATACATACTTGTAAATTGATTAAAGTTATATAAACAGGCAAGTTATCGTATCTATGCATATACGATATAGTTAAACGTTCAAGCAAGCGTATTTGAATTTAGTATATACCTAGACAAAAATTTAAAAAAAATCTTTATTTTATGTTTCAATGTGAACTAGCCTTTAAATGTTTACAAGACCTACACTTCGTTAGTCAGGAATAGTTCAGAATTGTAATAGAAACATGGTCCAGACAACTAAACAATGAACGAGAATTTCTAATTTAATCCTTGAAAATTAAAATAAGTTTAAAGTTGATTATTATTTTAGATCTATTTTCATGATGAACCGGTTTGTTATGATATGTTAGAAATCAAATGCAACAGGTTCAAATCCTGCAAAGTGCAAATTTTTTGTTTTATTTTTTCAGTTAAGAACTTTTTATAGTACTCATTAATTTTTTCAATATAACAAATCATATAATACTAGCTGCTCACCCTCGCTCGCTCGGCTTAATTACTAATTAGGAAGAAATTAAACAAAATTAAAAAAAAACACAATTATAAGAAAACAAAAAAAATTAACTTCAATAACATACACAAAAAACATACACTTCAATTAGTCAATTGATTTTTTCGACATAGGAGGGACTCCTCCTTTGTGAAGTTGGTCAAAAAAATAAGAAAACATTATACTAAACTTGGCGAAAGATCATAAATATACAGCTAATAGCGGTTTTTATGGCCTATTTATAAAATACGCGAATTCTCTACTATCATGTGGAACATAAATTATATTGTACTAGTTTGTGCTCGCAGCGTTGCTTGCGTTTTAAGTATGGGATCAAAGGTAGCCCAAAACCGTCATTATTATCCAACTTGTGTCCTTGCCAAATTCTATCGAAATCTGTCCAGTGGTTTTCTCGTGATGCGTTTTCAGACAGATAGATAGACATAAATACTAAAAAGTATAGATTCTTAGAACTATAGATCTAATTTACAGACTCGGCTCAGTTAAATTTTTATTATATGTATAGAATATAGATAGATATGGAATACTTTTAATTCCTTCGTACATATTTTATGTCTCTACTACAGACGTTCTAATAACACGAATGTTTTAAATAAAGAAGCAAAGAAAGGTTCATGCAAACTTTTAACAACTTTATAGATTATTTTGCCTCAATATTTCATAACGCACAGCTCGAAAAGTTTAACCTCTCACTTAAAAGTTTTTGCTATTCAGGCGAACAAGCAACAAAAATAAAAAACTCGAGATTTGCAACATATAAACGATTTAAAATAAAATATTGTGTGCGGCCCAACAATTTTATATAACACTAGCGGCTCACCCTCGCTTCGCTCGGGTTCGTCTCTAGAAAACAAAACCAAATGTATCCCAGAGGAACCGTACATTTTTCCGGGATATAAAGTAGCCTATGTGATATATTGACGTATGAGCTATATTATTGTAAAGTTTCATTAAAATCCATTTAGTAGTTTTTGCGTGAAAGAGTAACAAACATCCATACATCTACACATCCAGACATTCATATATCCTCACAAAATTTCGCTATTATAATATTAGTAAGAAATAACTTACTTCGGTCTTAGTATATAAGGTATCGGGGCTTTTTAATATATATAATTGGTTATATTATCCGTTTTTTTTTACTGTCGGGAAATGCATTTACGCATACCACCTGATCCCCCAGGTGGTGATGTGGGGCTCACCGGCTAGAAGAGCCGGTACTACCCACTAAAACCCGACATCGTGGATAATAAGATTTTATACGTTTTAAACTATTTTAACTTTATATTGTACCTATAGATTACCTTATAAAAACATAATAATTTAAAAAAGGGTATAAAAAATAATGTTATGATACTAATGTGTCACTGTAACTTATGTGAAAAAATGTAAGCCCTTTGTTGCTTTATTTAATAGCTAATATTATCCTATACACATAAGGATTTGAGAGCTATCGTATTAGATATAAATAGAAAAGTCGGTGAAAAACTAAATTAGAGCCTAGATTGTCTGAGTCTCGTAGGGCTTTGGAAAAAGACATAATTATAAAAAATAATAAGCCTAAGCCTTAGACCAGGCCTTAAGCCTGACCTAGGTTTTTGTAACCTTAGGTTGATAATGGATATATAGCTCTAGGAAAGGGTGCAAACCCTATCGGAATCAGACAAGTACATTTAGCATTTTTTGTAACTTTCATAATAAAATCTTCGTTTAACTCACTCGTAAAGAATCCTTCTACAGGTTCTGCGGCTATTGATAAGGTATTGCTCGGTACATAAATAGTAACTTTTGAAGCCAGGAACATACAATTTATCAAACTCCTTCATTAATTTTTGTCACTTAGTATAAATTAGAAAAATAGACAAAACTCGTAAATACATAAAGCCTGGAAAATGAACCTTTTGGCTGACTTCCCAAACGCATCAATTATTATTTTTAAATATGTTCTTTACAAATTAACACTCACATTTTTTCCTAGTATTACTTACTCCTTATAATTTTAACCCGACCTTTAATATCTCTAATAAATATTAAACAATTTCGCTGTACGTGTCTGTTTGTTTCAGCGTTTACTTCTTTGAAACAGATTTTGATGTGCCTTTTAATATTTTATATAGAATTTCTCCCGAAAAAAATATCTTTTCATATTAAACGATCAATTCTTGTATATGTGTATATAAATTTAATTTGTGTGTCATGGAAACGGCTCTGACGATTTGGATCTGTATTAAGTTAGATAAAGTTTTGTTTTTAAGTTTATCTATATCTTTATAAAGCTCGGCCGCCCATTTACTATACATATAATACATGCATCCATACTAATATTATAAATGTGAAAGTGTATTTGTTTGTTTGTCTGTTTGTTTGTTTGTTTGTCCTTCTTTCACGTCGAAACGGAGTGACGGATTAGCGTGATATTTTGTGCGGAGATAGTTGGAGGGCTGGAGAGTGACAGGCAATTTTTTTTCGCGGGAAATTATCTAATTCCCACGGGAAAACATGTTATAATACAATCCAAACAAATATTTATGATCAGAATTACTTGAAACTCGGTATTAATGTTCGTCAAATAAATACGTGTTTTAGCATTATTCGAAATTCATCCTATAAGAGGGTAAAATAGGGGACGAAAGTTTGTATGAAACTACCTTTTTAGAGATTTTTTTTGTAGTTTTAGCGCGAGCCAACCCGCGGGTTCTGCTAGTATTATATATGTAGAAAGATAAGAAAAATCGACGCTTAACAAAGTTGTCCAGCTTGAGCAAAGCCAGGGCGAGTCGCAAGTCATATACTTATTACAAACATAATTATGACTGCCTCGTAGGTCTCACTTCTCTGGATGATCGTGAGGTTCTGGGTTCGAGTTTTGAGTTAAGTCAAAACTAGATTAAACAGTTTTTCTGTCATGATGTACACAATAATTGGAAAGCTGCCGAAGTAGGAAAGTCGTGTATGCGCCCCGTGCCTTGGAGAGCAAATTAATCTTTCAGTCCTTCGAAATCTGCACTAGTATTGTAAAGAGGTAATTTGTATTTTTGTATGTTTGTAAGGAATAAATTCAATAACTAGTAGGACCGATTTAGATGAAATTTGGTAAGAAGATATTTTGAAACTCTGGGAAGGACATAGGATATTTTTTATTCCGGAAATCATCCCTTATGAGGCTGAAAATGGGGATGAAAGTTTGTATGGGGAATCAACCTAGGGACGAACACGAGAAAAGCGAGAATGAATCGCTATTAAACTATAACTATAATAATTCCCGCGTAGTAGGTTTGCTCAGTAAAATTGACGCCGTAACCGAAATCGATTAGGAGTATACAATTATTATTTTTATCATATTTTAGGTAGTGGACATGCGCTGGGGAGTCAGAGATGAGGCTACTGATGACCACATGACCACAGAACTCTGTATGCGAGAGATTAAGAATTGCCAGCGACTCTCCATGGGTCCCAATTTTGTGGTATTTTTGGGACAAAAGTATGGATACAGGTATTTTGTTATTTAATATCGCATTATTCTTGGTAATAATGGAAATATTTCCTATTATTATCAAACTCGACTTTGGATATATTCAACTTTTTGTGCGAAGAAAAGTCTAGGCACTTGATTATAACATTGTATTGTAATCTTATCACCAAACTTTATTACTACATATCAAGGAAGCTTAATCTATGTATACAGATAAATAAAATTGAAGTGTCTCTTTGTAATATCGAAATAAAAGCTTTTTACTAATTGTATGTATGAAATTATATGCGGTACTTATAAAACCAAATTTTTAAATTTTCTGTCTGTTTGTTACGGCGAATCTTCGAAACGGCTGGACTGTTTTTAACGATGTTTAAGTAAGGATGTATTTTAAACTTCATTCGGGATAAGGACAATTTATAAAAGAAAATTATTCTTTAGTTAGTTACTCACTTTCCTCTTTTCTCCTTTGTAATGTTTTCTTACACATGTCTGACCGAGTATCAAAACCTCACTCTAAGTTTAGTAGTTATTGAGATTTCATCTCAGTTAATGATGGAGTAATATTTTGCTTATATACATATATAAATATGTAGCAAACTAAACATTTTCAGACCAATCCCAACATATGTCCTGTCATCAGAGCTACAGATGCTAAGAGACGAGCTAGTAGCTGGTGGAGTCGATGTAATTTTACTGGACACTTGGTACAAAAAGGATTCGAATGCGGTACCGCCCGTGTCTGTACTACAGCCTATTTCATCTATACTCGTGAATTTTAATAATAAGGTATATTTAAATTATTATCTTAGCACTATGATAATAAGTCTAGCCTCGTTTTTTATAATATTACTAGCGTTTTCTTGCGGCTTCGCCCGTGTTAATTAATTTTGTGGAATTCCATTCTCGTAACTCGTAGAGTGATGTGAGATAGCTTATAATCTACCTCAATAAACATGCTATAAATGCAAAAAAAAATCAGATCAGTAAATTCAGAGATTAGCGCGCTCAAACAAACAAACAATTCAACTTTTAGTATGAAATTAAGAAAGATTTTGCTTTTATTGCCGTTTCTAAAATTACTTTATTTAAATATTAACCAAGATGAATTGAAAAAAAGTATATTTTTAAATTACCTTAAAAGCAGAAAATTAATAAAATAAAGTTAAACTTTGCATTAAATTATATTTTTTTCAGTCGTCCAAATGTGCATTACATTGAATAGACCTGTTTGTTGTAATTTAAATTATTTTACACGATACATAAACGTTAACGGCAACTTTAAAAATATTTCGGATTATTTTTTGCCTGTAAATCTCCTTCTACGAAGTGTCAATGGCGGAAGAAGGATTCTGCTAAAAAGACCGATTTTCGTCGCATCACGAAAGCCGATCCGTGAACGAAAGCTAGTTAAAATTAACATTCAATCTATTACGGAATACAATTTGTGGTGTGAATAAATCAGCTATTCATTGAGCAATTAATAAAGTTGTTTGTTCGAAACAAGAACAAGTTTAAATCAAACTTCGTTCAATGGAGCTTAAGTATTGGGAATTGATTAAGTTCAGAATTATCTCAGTTTGTGTTACTTTAGAGGTTTTGTGTATGTGGTTTTCTTTGTCGCCTTTGAATCTAGTTCTTTACTTATGCTTTAACGATCTTAAACAAAACTTGATATTAAAAGCTCTTATAGAAATAGAATTATGTGACATTGGTAAAGTTTCTTACCCTGTTTTCTTCTTACAAAATTAATTAGAAACTAAATAATACTTCACCCTACGTAGAGTATGATATCATTGTATTAATATCTGGAGCTTGTATAAATGTGGTCATGGATTCATTTTCCCTTCCTTAAATCTTCTAAATGCTATTCTAAATAGTTAATTTAGGTTAAAGTCTTAACCCCCCCAACGTGCGTTCACCTTGTCGTGGTGGGGGGGCTCAGTAGTGCCCGGCAATCCAACCGGGCGCGAAGCTAAGAAACGCACAGGGAGGTTGCCCACTTCGGTGGGCGGTGGGAGGTGGCCCTCTTTGGGGGGCGGTGTACCATGCGGGTTGCTCCTGGTACTTCTCTGATAGCAGAGTGGACTGTGGAGCAACCCCATGGTTGTGGTGGTCTGCTTCGGCAGACCTGCCGTTGGGTTCTGCTAGTATTATATATGTAGAAAGAAAAGAAAAATCGACGCTTAACAAAGTTGTCCAGCTTGATAACCAGGGCGAGTCGCGAGTCATATACTTATTACAAACATAATTATGACTGCCTCGTTGGTCTCGCTGCTCTGGATGATCGTGAGGTTCTGGGTTCGAGTTTTGAGTTAAGTCAAAACTAGATTAAACAGTTTTTCTGTCTTGATGTACACAATAATTGGAAAGCTGCCGAAGTAGGAAAGTCGTGTATGCGCCCCGTGCCTTGGAGAGCATTTTAATCTTTCAGTCCTTCGAAATCTGCACTAGTATTGTTAAGAGGAAAAAATTGTATTTTTGTATGTTTGTAAGGAATAAATTCAAAAACTAGTAGGACTAATTTAGATGAAATTTGGTAAGAAGATATTTTGAAACTATGGGAAGGATATAGGATATTTTTTATTCCGGAAATCATCCCTTAAGAGGCTGAAAATGGGGATGAAAGTTTGTATGGGGAATCAACCTAGGGACGAACACGAGCGAAGAGAGAATGAATCGCTATTAAACTATAACTATAATAATTCCCGCGTAGTAGGTTTGCTCAGTAAAATTGACGCCGTAACCGAAATCGATTAGGAGTATACAATTATCGTCGTAGTTGAATGCGCAAGCGATCCTGCGACGCCCCATTAAGACGGGGGAAGGTTTTGTTGGGTTTTAGTGGGTAGTACTAGCTGTATTACGCCGGTGAGTCCCACACGTCGTGCGTAAATGCATTTCCCAACGTCAAAAAAAAAAAAAAAGGTTAAAGTCTTAAAAGTTATTACCTATGAAACTTTCACCACACTGAATATAGTGTATATGTGTTCTTTCGTCACCTCTAAAACAAAAAACGTAATTCTTTCCATCTACTCAGCAGAAGAAGGGCTTTATATGTAATATTATATAAATTAAAAAAAGTATAAAGTGGTAATCATATTGATGTTTATTTCAGAGAGTTCCCAAGCTTCAAGCGGAGGACCAAGCCGTCTGGTGGGACACCCTTACCAAGATGCAGAAGTTATTCCGCAAGTCTTCTTTACAATTGTATAACGCTGGCAAAATTGACAAGGACACTATGCACAATTACTTCATGTCAGGTAATTTTCAAAATCAATCGTTTACATAGAAATTATCATATTTTGGACGCAAACGATGCAAAATTCTAATAAGAACTGATTGGGAGAAACTGTTTTATTACCAAAAATATTCATCTTGTTCAGGTATTCATTTATCGACTCTAGCAAATTTTGTGTGTGCGCTTGTGAGTGCGATTGCGTATACATGTTCTTCTTCGTGTTCTAACGGCACCATGGATTTGAAAGAAATTAAAAATGGAGATAACTTAAAACAATGTATTAATATACTTTTTTATCCCATGCTCATAGTCTGGACGGCCGACGGGCATCTACCATAAGCGATCCAAAACGATTCAGCAGCTAACGCTTGTTTGAACTGTAGTCATAGTACTTCACACTTTTACATGTAAGTAAAATAATAAAAATATAATTATTACAGTTACCGAACGTGAAGTGATCAACGGTATTCTTAATGTTAAAAATACAAAGAACCACTGTTTGGCATACGTTAGATATATAAACAATATAAACCTGCAGAATTTGAAAAAAGCTAGCAATTTCGTCGACATCCTCAATAGGAGTTTGGATGCAGAAGCTTCTAAACTTCTAGCGGACTTACGAGACGTCAGGTTACCTGAAAAAATTGAGACGACAAATATACAAAAGTAAGTTATTTAAATAAGTTATTTTTAGGCTATAGTAAACAGTGTTTTATCCCATTGCATACATTTAATTTCTTGCATAAATTATAGTTGGTTAGTTTATAAGCTCAGGTAAACCTTTAAAAAAAATTAAATGCCTATTTTTAATAAAGGCAGTGGTAGCCCAGTGGTGAGGTGCTTGCTTGGGAAACCAAGTTAAGTGGGTTCGAATCCCGAGACTCGCACTGCTGATGTTTTCATATGCAAATATTTTCAACATGATTACCACTTGTCTTCCGGTGAAGGACAATCCTGAGGAAATCTACATACCAGAGAACCTAACAAGTTTTCGAAAGACATGTGAAGTCCGCCAACCCGCACTCGGTTAGCGTGGTGGACTGTGTGTAAATATGTATAACTGTATGTAAATTTATAAACTCCCCTTCATATAAAAGGAAAGCCCGTGCCCAGCAGTGTAAAAAGGGTTGAATACATAGACTTTTAATAAAAGAGTATTTCCTTTGAGCAAAACTTGATATCTTCAATATTCAAGGTACTTTTCCATATACCGCATACTTCAAAAACTTTATAACTATCGTTTATGCAGATACAATATTAATCAAATTACAAAAGATTATCCAAGTGTGTATGATTTTGGTCGATGAGAAATAACAATTTATCTGGATCACATGAGCGGCTTCGTAACTAATCAACGAGTTATTTTGTGTAGAAGCCATATTAATTAATTATTGTCAGTTCAAGAAACGTATTATGGACTAGAACATAAAATATATTTGATTTGTAAACTATTAAATATAACTTTAGACGATATGTATTATCATAATTACAGCGATGTCAGTAGATTAATTTGGTCAGGTTTGATTCCTGTACAAGACTAACGACAACAACGGGTTTGATACTAAATATTTTGGTTTTTAAGCCTGTTGTTGGTAATCAGCGTTACTTGTGATGTAATATTAGTTTGGCACAAACAGGAATCGTATCTGCGAATCTCCAAATACAAAATAAGATATTTAAATCAAAGCCTTTACCTGACTTTAAGAAAGTTAATATTATTTTTGTATTATCTTGTATTCATTCCTTTTTAACGTCCTACTGCTGGGCACAGGCCTCCCTTCAATACGAGGAGGATCAGGCCATAGACCACCACACTGGCCAAGTGCGGGTTGGCGAACGTCACGTGCCTTTCGAAAACTTGCTAGGTTCTCTCAGACAGGTTCAGCAGGTTTCCTCACGATGTTTTCCTTCACCGTAAGTTAAGTGGTAATACGTTAGAAATGCTTCGCACATGAAAATATCAGAGGTGCGAGACCCGGGATTTGAACCCGCTTCACTCAGTTTCCCAAGCGAGCGCGTTACCACTTGGCTACCACTGCCATCTTTATTACTGTAATATTATTTTTACATATCACTAATTACAGGTACACAGTAGAATGGATCGGTCGCGACGGACTCGACAATGAAACACATGGCGAATACCTCAATCATTTTATATCTCATTTCTACAAAAACATCATTAAGCTGGTGGACAGGTGCGATTCTCTTTGTTCTTACTAAATGACATTATTTTCAAATTATATATTACGTTTTGATTGACATAGTTTTATTACTATTTTCTGAATATAGAAATACAAAATAATTTTAGTACTAAATTAAAGTACTTGTGCTGCTGACTGTGTAGATTCTTTTAAAATTAAATATGCAAGAATTTGTTTATGTTTTAATGTTAGTTATTTAATCGTAAGCTGCTGAACAGATTTAGATAAAATTTTGCGCATAAGTAAACCATGCCAGGACATTAACGCATGGGATTTTTGTTTTATTTCTAATAATTCTTTATCAGTAGAAGGTTGTTCAAGAAACTTAAAAAGAGAAGACACATAATATTTCAAATAGAATCTATTTTAAGCAAAAACTAGTCTAAAACATTTAATAGAATATATAATCTGTCCATACATATAATAAAATTCTAATTGAGTCGAATCTGTACATTAAATTTTTTTGGGAAATCTTATTGAAATAGTCATTATTATCGATAAAGATGCCAAATCTGTAGTTTGTATAATTTTTATCTCTCTGTCTGTATGTCTGTCTATGACCGCATCACGAGAAAACCACTGGGTCGATTTGGATGAAATTTGGTATGATAATAGCTGGTTATCCGGATCAACATATAGGATTTTATACTGTGGGAAAATATCTATTCTCTGAGAAATCTATACTAAACGTTAATATTAATATAACTTTATATTACTTTTGATTAAATATTCTGAATGTTTAAAGAGCCATGCGTAAAGAAGACAGCAGTGCTCAAGGACAGATTGTAACAGAAATTCTACAACATTTGCACGCTTGTAACAACTCTGTGAAAGTGTTTCATGGGAGGGAGGACGATTTGAATTTTATAGAAAATTATATGATGAACGATTCTGACAAGCCCTTAGTGTTATATGGAGAGGGTAATTGATTTCTTGATTTATTTATTCCTATTAATATTATAAAGGCTAAGTGGTTACTAGATTCGGAGGGACTAGGTTCGAATCCTGGTTCAGTAATGGTTTTTTACCCAAGTATTGAGTTTTCTGTATATAATGATAGTAGCCCGGAGTTGAGAAATTGTCGGTGCTAAAACCCTGTGTTTCGGAGGACACGTAAAGCCATTGGTCTAGTAACTAATCTTTCACCAGTCATAGTCAATATTAGTGAGATTAGTATTATTAAGTAAAAATTAAATTACACTGTATGAGATTTATAAAAGACATGGAGTTTCATTCGAAATAAAAAAACAGTTCAAGTAATTATCAGTAGATGGCGTTATATTGTTATTAATGGTTCTACAAGATTATCTCATCTAAAAAGACAAAAAAGAGAAAAATAAATAAAATTATGCGTTAGTAATTTAAATATTATTAACTTTACAGATTATTGATAATTATGTCATTTTATGAGTTTAAGCAACTCATAAAATGAGGTTAAACTGACTAAAATTGGTGAATGATTATGATGAAATTTTGGATTTTGCTATATTCTATTTATTCTAGTCGGTACAAATAAGTATTTAGAAAAATAATAAGTTCATAATTTGTGGACTGACACTATCATAGTCCATTCAAGCAAACAAAAATAACCCGAATTCAGATTATCTAATTTCTTATATGGGATGGGGTATCTGTACTTGTATAGTATTGTGTCATCTGTGGTAAGAGGTGTATCTATTTCATATAGGAATGGTACACGATTTATAGCTGTCGCAATTTATAGTGTCAGTCACAAGTGTTGTTTAGAAACGGGACTTCCCGCCGAAAGCATAATGATTTTACGGGAAGTCCCGCTATTAAACACTTAGGATGCGTCCGGCAATCGTCCTGGGTGAAACTTCTTTTAAGTCCTTATATTCCGATTTTTTACGTAAATTATAATAATGTATAATTAAATAATACTTTCTTAGATTTACGCGATTATTTGCATTTTAAATAAAACTATCTTTTCGCATTATTGAAATCATTTTGTAAAATTGTGGGTAGGCACTGACTATAACAAGTATATATCGCCTTTGAGACATCTAAAATCTTATTCTCTCCCATGACCATGATTGCTGTAAAGCATTCGAAGCGTTGGGAACCAAAAATCTAAATAAATTCCCGAAATAAACCGAGAAAATAGATTTATTTAAATTGTATTTAAATATAATAATATTATATAATAACATTTTATGTCTGTCCATCTTCTGGTTTGACTATTATTATACAGATCATTAAAGCTTACGACCTCGAAATGAAGGGTTGTAACTTGTTATAATTTTTTATGTACCGACCTTTTACAATACGAATTAAGGAAGTACAACATATAATAAAAAAAAGTGAAACTTCAAAAAAGTAACCTACGAGACAATGAGATGAATATAGAATATCAGGAATAGGATATTATTATAAGTTTTTTGTTATAATACTTTTACCAAGTTTAAGAGTTATTTTACATTTTATTTGTTATAAATATACATATTATTCAGTAATTAATTTTATTATTTTTCACTTCCTGTGTATTGGTAATATATTCTATCTCATTCTATCACCGGCTTAATCATATATATTTATATGTTTGTCTCTTTTTTTAGTGTTGTATTTCCGTTTCATCGAGTTTCAAATTACAACGATTCTAAAGAAGTTTTACTTCAATTACATTAGCATATATGCATTTATGTTGCTATTATTTAAGAAATATATTCAATGTCTATGTATTTTATTAACAGGTGGTTGCGGTAAAACAAGTCTGCTCGCGAAAAGTTCAGCAATGTCTCTAGACTACTGGTTCGCAGAAGTGCGTCCCACTAACATCATCAGGTTCCTCGGAACAACACCTGACTCTAGCGCTTTGACTCCAACACTTATATCTATTTGTCAACAGGTTGTTTACTTCAGCTGTAACAATGTTATATAGTTTCATATGAGATATAATATTAATTATTAAAGCAATAAACATACTATTGTGTAATGTAGCGGAATAAAAAATAAGACGAAAAAATTGTAGGGTGTTCGTATCAATATAACTCAGTTTTCAAAAGCTTCAAAATATTGACCAATATATCTACATGTACTAAGATCTAGTGAATTTTCTCTTTTTTACCGGTCATTCTATCTGTATGGTGTCTTCTTCACTCTATGGGATATTAACGTAGTAAATTGTGCTCGATGGCACACACAAAACAATTCATATGGTCCATATATAAAATTAACAAATCAAACACATAACCCTTCAATGTGGTTTCGTGCCAGTCGGGTAAAAGTATGAGAGTCGAATTCGCTATGTCAAAAATACCCGTCACATGAAGTATTTTATCATCTATACACATAATAAAATTGTAACTGATCGCTGTCTGTACATCGAAGATATTTGAAAAAAACTATTATTAGGGGTCTTCGCTAACGCAATAGAACCCAAAACAATGATTTTTAGAATTTTTCTCTGTTTGTCTGTGCGTTTGTGCGCGCTAATCTTAGAAACAGCTTAACCGATTTGGGTGCGGTTTACTAATGTATTGTGGTAAGCCCCACTTAACATTTAGTGTTTGTTTCATTCCAATCAGTTCATTATTAAATTAAATATAAATCTTCATTGACAATTGTATATTTTTTTAAATTTTAATTAAATAAATATATATGTTATATATTTTCTTAGTCGCTACTTACTTAACCAAGCATATTTTTTAATATTAAAAAAAAATAACTTTAATATTATGAATTATTAGTAGAATCACTATTGAGTAATAAATACAAAAACATATTTCTAAATAATTTGCTGTTCTAGATTTCCTACAACTTTGCATTGCCTTTCGAAAGCATTCCCGACGATTTAGTCCCTCTGACGGCACATTTCAAGCAACTACTCACAATGGCTACTCAACAACAACCGTTGCTATTATACCTCGACTCCGTCGACCAACTGACTGGTATTGGAACTGAAAACAATAAAGTATCATGGCTACCAACTAGATTGCCTCCACATTGTAAAGTAAGTTAGTTTTTGGTACTATTACAACAACTATACATATCTATATAATATACTCGTATATATAAAAAAAGTCGGGCTAGTTACACCATTTATAACTCAAGAACGGCTGGACCGATTTCTATGATCTTTGGTTTGTTGGATTTGTCTCCGCCCCGAATTTCAGAAGAACTATTAAAACAGAAAAATCATTAAAAAATTTAAATGCACATAGCTAACGCTAGCTAATAACTAATTATATGTATTTAAAACGTACCTAGGGACGAACCCGAGCGAAGTGAGGGTGAGCCGCTTGTATGTATATAAAACAAAAGGACTTCATTCTGTGTCAAATGATTGTTTTCCTTCATAAATGCAATGAAAGAAAAATTGTCATATTATGATGTTCTCCTGGCCGATTCCGGCCACGGCGGCCAATCTCATTGAGACTAGCCAACTGCGCAGGAGATATTATAGTGCACAAGTGTACGCGCAGACACAAGTGCACTCCCTATTCCTATCACTCTCATACTCCGGTGGGACGACCATTCGACACGACCGGTGAGAGCTAAGACGCAGGACCGACAGTGGCTAGCATGTACGGCTGCACACCCGGAGGTCCTGGGTTCGAGTCCCGGGTCGGGCCAAGTTTAGTTTTGGAGTCTTTCTGTATAGTAAGCCTCAGTAACAGCCCGGAGTTGGGAAATTGGCGGTGTTTCACCCCCGTGCCTCGGAGAGCACGTAAAGCCGTCGGTCCTGCGCCTTAACTCTCACTGGTCGTGTCGAATGGTCGTCCCACCGGAGTATGAGAGTGACAGGAATAGAGAGTGCACTTGTGTCTACGCGTACACTTGTGCACTATAATATCTCCTGGGCAGTTGGCTAGTCTCAATGAGATTGGCCGCCGTGGCCGGAATCGGTCAGGAGAACACATCACTTTTTATGATGATACGTCTTTCTTGGGGTTAAAATCATATTAATTTTTAATTAATCTATAGATGGTGTTGCTTAAATATATGGAGAAAAAAGAAAGCATGTAACGTGAACAAAGCCAAGACAATTTAGTAACTTATATTATAAGAAATTATTTTTCAAATATTCTTGGACATTTTTGAATATATTTATGTATTTTTTTTTTCTTTAAGATTATAGTGACATGTGCATGTGAAGAAGCAAACCCTGAAGTTTCTAAAGAGTACGATGTTTTGCGAAGAATGATTGATTCTGAAGAGAATTTCCTAGAAGTAAAAGCTTTGGGAGAAGATTTAGCGATGCAGGTTTTGAAGTGAGTCCAAACTTCATAGTTTCTAGTATCCATTTCTATTATATGTATATATATGCATTATATTATGTACATATTAATAGCTTTCAATTGCTAATTGATTTTATTATGTCGTATCTTATTCTCTAAATAACTATTATCTTGATATAGAATTAATTTTGTAAAATTTGTGCGCTATAAAAATTACATACTTATTATATGTTTTCAATTTAGTTTTTCTTTTTATTTTAGATTATGGATGGCTTCTGCAGCACGAGACCTAAGCAACTATCAGTGGCGTCTCGTCTCTAACGCGATTGGACAATGCTCTCTACCAATCTTCGTGAAGTTAGTATTTGCTGAGGTAATTTTTTGTTTTACATAAAATCTTATGAATCAATTAACACCTACTTGACATAAATTTATGTATCAAATCAAAACAATAAACAATTAAATTATGAATTACAAAAAATGGCAAAAGGACTAGGCAATATGCGTTTTTGAATATCAGGTAGCTGTTGGGCTAAAATCTCAACAGGTATATTCCAAATCGCAAAGATTGAATCGAATCGATCGAATCTAGAGCGAAATGCAAAACATTCGCTATCTAACTCAAAGGTAGCATAAACGTCTAGAGTCTAGACTAATACGACAAACACAAGTTTTAAAAACTGAAGATTGAGCCTTCTGAAAGCAAAGAAGGAAATTATTTGCCCCGCATTGAAACATAAAGCTGATACGGATAATACTATTGGTAATAGAAATCATATTAGGCAAATAGTTGAAATTAAACAATGAGATTTTACAAGTATAGTAAGATACTCCTATTTTAAATACTTCATTGTCCAAACCTCTTTCTAGTTTATCTGGGATCGGGTCTCCTAGTACGCCTGCGCCAGAGAGTTCTGTTTTGGCATATCTGTTTACTTAGGTTATCTCTCAGGGTCTCTTTCTGCATAATTGACCACCAGGTGGCAGGTGGTCGGCCTTATCCTCACGGACGGTCACAGATGCTTAGGATCTTTTGGATCGGATAGTCGTCATTTCGCCTGAGGATATTGCTGTTCCAGCGCATTCGGATTTTTTTTTAACTTTTCGGAAACAGGATCTTAAATGATTCTCTAATATGTTCATTTCGCACTATTCCTATTTTATATTATGTAAGTGATGTTTTTAAACTTAGGTCATTTGCAGGTATGTCGTTGGCGAAGTTATACAAAACCTCAAGATACTCATTTAGCTTCAACCGTCATGGACTCCATTATGATGCTGTTCGAAAGAATTGAAAAGCAGGTCAGTATACATGGTGGCTAAGTTTTATCTTGGCCGCCTATACCATTAATTAAACGAGCTTATATAGTGTGCTTAAGGTAGATAATATACGATTTTCATCACTACATAGTATAAAACAAAGTCGCTTCCAGCTGTCTGTCTGTCTCTATGTATGCTTAGATCTTTAAAACTACGCAACAGATTATGATGCCGGTTTTTTTATAGATAGATTGATTCAAGAGGAAGGTTTATATGTATAATAAATGCCTATATATAGCACAGAAAAACCGAGAAATTCAAAGGTTTGTATTTCATACGAACCGTCAAAACGTAACTTGTATACGGTAAATATTTGTGTTTTTTAAATATTATAGTATAATCGCTATTAGCACACGTCCAAAAAACGTACACCCAAATGTGAATACTCTTTTATTGAAGTGGGTGAATTACTGTTCAAACGGAGACTTCCTCATAAACTCGGAATAATTATGAGAATTCCATTCAAATAGCTAAAATAATAACACTAATATTATAAATAACTATTTTTAGAAATAGTGATGATAATTATATCATTTAACTATCTATAGCGTATCAAATAATTAAAAAAGTTACATAGTCTATAGATATACATAGTTTACATAGTCTATATATATATAAAAATTGATGTGCGTATGTTTGTTTCTTATGTACTCGCAAAACGGCTTGAGAGTTTTTGATGAAATTATTAGGAAATCTTCAGATTAGCCCAGCGGGTGATCCTGTGAAGTTTGGTAGCTATCGGAAGTTTGAACGTGAGCGAAACCGCGGGTACTGCTGGTTTTGAATAAAAATGTATGCTAAATAAACTTATAACAGTACAGAACATAAAAAATGTCCTTTTAGCATGGCCGCCTATTAGTATTCCATGCGCTCGCGTACATAACAGCCGCTAGAAGTGGGCTATCGGAAACCGAATTGGAGGATTTAATTTCCTTGGATGATAAAGTGTTGGACGATGTGTATCAATACCACTTACCTCCAGTGCGGAGGATACCCCCGTTATTGTGGACCAGGTAGGTTCTGTCTGTGTGTCTTTACGACTCAATATCAATTAATGACTCAATATGGGAAACATGTGTAGATCCTGCTATAGTTTTCGTTGTACACTTTCCATAAAATTATTATATACGTATTTTTAAAATATTTTATATATATGTATATGTAATAACAATTTTTTATTAAATACTTACCTATGAAGTAAGTAGACTTAAACTAAAGATTTGAAAATATTAATTATTTACTTGGTTATTTTGGAGTCGGAGTCGGGGTGCCAGCGCAAAATAAGACGATCAAAATTAAAAGTTATTCAAATTTTAAAATTACTTTAAAAGTAAACTTAATTAAAAGTTAATTATTACAACCTTTTTTTGATATTTTTGGACATGAGCCTTTCTTTGAGTTTTCCCAAAACAAAAACAAACAGCAGTTAATATTGACTGATAATTTCTTAACTTGCGCGAATATCGACGTTTTAAATAAAACTATCTTTTCAGATCTTTTTCATTCCTTCTCTTTTTTAAAGTACGGACAATGACACATTTCAGAATACGTAACGATCTCCCAAACTACCTATCAGAGAGAGAAGCTGATGGGGTCTCGGTGATGAACTGGTACCACCGACAGTTCCGCGACACCGCACGTGAAAGATACTTCAAAAATATGAACATGGCTATGTATTTTCACTCCATGATTGCTGATTATTATTTAGGTAATTATTATTGAAATTAAACTTAGCTACTTCAATTTATATTTATAGCAGCATAATTTCTTGTTTATTCATTTATAATCGTTCCATAGTAAAGTGCGCTCTAACAAACAAATATATGAATTAAATATTTAGAAATAGTATCTAATTAGACATAATTAAGTGATGAAGAAGTTATGCGCTCGCTTGGGATACTGAGTGAAGTGGGTTCAAATCTCGGGTCTCTATCTCTGACATATACCCACCTCTGACATATTACCTGCATGTCTGAGAGAAACTAACAAGTTTACGAAATACATGACAAATCCGCTAACCCAGACGTGGCCAGCGTGGTGGACTATTGCCTGATCCCCCTGGTATTGAAAGGAGGCCCGTGCCCAGACGTTAAAAATGGCTGCATACAAACGTAGTAATAAATTTTCAGGTATTTGGGGTGGTGGTATTCCGAAGCCATTTAAGTACACTGAAATTCAACGTCACAGATTTAATCTGGCGGACAAAGAGGGCGTAGCTGACAGGAAAGTGCCATTACAACCGCTTGTTTTCACTTCAGCTGATGGATCTTCCAAAAGATACAATTTAAGAAAGGTAAAATTTAAAAACGTCGCAGGATGATGGTTTATGGATGTAAGACACAAAATTTTTAGATGTTTGTGTCGCTTTGGCATTGAAAATACTAAGTCAACGCAATCAAACGATACGTCCGCTTTTGCCACATATTTTGACACTCGCAAGGGAATTAAAACTTATAGGGTATTCCCGTTGACCAAGAATCATGAAATTATAAACTTATTTTAATATTGTCTGTCTATTTTAACTTGTCAATTTTTTTTTATTTAATGCACAAAAAGGAAATTTTCAAACAACAAAAACAGCCATCTTCTTTGTTTATATTTTCATAACTACTCTTATCAAATTTACCACAGAACATGTATGTTTATTATAACTAAAATAATTAGTAAGACTTTAAGAGATTAATTTTCTTTCAGTTTGGTGAGCTGCCATTCCATTTAGTTCGATCGAAACGCTTCACTGACCTCTATGCAGAAGTATTGTTCAACTATGAGTGGCTCCACGCAAAGCTGAACTGCTGTCCTCTCCAGGCAGTATTGGCTGATTTTGAAGATGCTAAATTACACGTTAATAAAGATGCAGTAAGGTAAAATAATTTAGTTGATAATGTAACTAAGTGAAATCTAAAATTCGCAGTTAATTCTAGCAAAATCTAATAGAATACTGTCTTAGGTTAACACGAATATAAGCCCACGAAAACATCCCAAAAAATAGTTTTATTTAAATCAAATAGATTTAAAAAAAATATTCCAAGAACTTTAAAGTGAATTAATTTTATGAAGACCTTCATAGACATAATTAAATTACTAAAAATACTTAATGGGAACTGGCAATTGTTTGGTCTGCTGAATCTCGTAGAGCATTGTGAAAGTTTTGCGAGTATGTGTCTTTTAAATTAACACTTATACGATATTATCAAAAATATACATATTAAAGATCTATGTAATATATAAGTATATTATAGGTCTTACCTCCAATAGTACAATGACATCTTATCTAAGCCCCCAGGATTCGTGCCGACTATTCGTAGTCTCATTATTTATTTGTCCAAACAACCAATTTACCAAAAGAGTTTTTATTACAGAATTATTGATTTTTAAATGTCAATTCCATTGGTATAAAATCATTGATTTAACATTTTTGTATATCAATGTATAAAATACACGTTTTGCCTAAAAAAAAAAACAAAAATTCTGGCAGAATGTATTGCGTATGTTAACGCAATTCTAAACCATTACGGAACAAAAACTTAAAAAAGAAGAAAAAAAATTCTGTACTGTAAAGTACAATAAGTTTTGGTCATTAGATCAAGTAAGCACTAAGGTATTGTAATCTAATACCATGTATTCATGTATTTTGATGACACGTTTGGGTCAGTAGTGACTCTACGAGTCCCGCTGGGGGCGTTCATTTGTGTGATGAGCACGAATGTTTGTACTCCAGTCATGGGTGTTTATATTTATAATACGTATACATTTAAAGTTATATATGTTTAGTGTATCAACTATCTGGTATCCATAACACGCCTCGTAACTTACCATGGAACTAGATGGTGCTATGTGTTAATGTCCCAAAATATTAAATTTGAGTCTCTAAATAGGGAGTTAATGCTGGTAGCGGACGCGCTACGTCTAGGCGGTGCGATTCTCGGGGCTTTTCCGGACATGCTCGCGCCGCAGCTGGTGGGACGGCTGCGGCCGGAGGCGCCGCACAACCCCGCGGTGGCCGCGTTGCTGCAGCAGTGCCACGACAAGGGGAAGAACCACTGCGCCTTGCTGCCCTCACATCACTGCTTGCACACCCCCGGCGGACCTTTGAAGGTAAATGTTTTTACCTACTCGGGACTGATATTACGTAAATGCGAAATTTTGACCCAAAAACATGTCTGTTTTACGGCTAGACTATTTGAATGAAATGTACCCAATGGACTGATATTATAGTATATTTTTATATTACTAATGCAAGCAGCTCCATCTGTAATTGTAAATCTTTGCACTAACTACTCCATGCCCCAATATTAATTATTGTAATGTTACTGCAGAATATTTAATTTAAATTATACATTTAAAAAAATATTTAAATAAAAATGTTATGTTTTTGAAATGTTTTATGCGGAGAAAATTTTATGCTACCCAAGATGTAGTAACTCACTACTCTCTGACGCTTCAGCTTATTAATTAAATATGACATGCATTGGTATACTACTTAAGTACGGAGAATATTTTTATGCAATTTTAGCATCGTACTAGTTAAAAATTAGAAAATATAATAATATTGACATCAATGTATTGATATACCATGTAACCATCGAATTATTATATTTATTAGTAATCCATACTAATATTATAAATGTGAAAGTGTGTTTGTTTGTTTGTTTTTCTTTCACGCCGAAATGGAGTGACGGGTTGACGTGATTTTTTGTGTGGAGATAGTTAGAAGGCTGGAGAGTGACATAGGCTACTTTATACTGCGGGAGATCATCTCATTCCCACGGAAAACACGTTATAATACTACTCAAAAAATATTTATTATCAGAATTACTTGAAATTTGGTATAAAAACTCTTCAATACAATTAAATAAATACGTGTTTTAACCATTTTCAAAATTCATCCCATAAGAGGGTAAAATAGTTCTATTCTCTCTTGGATTCTGCTAGTAACATAATAATTCAATGTGTCACATGGTATAATTTAAATATTACCTTTTCTAGCAAGTCTATTTTTTATGTATTCCAGTATTCACTAGAAGGTCACCAGTTCGCAGTATTTGCATTCCGCCTAAGCTCAGATAAGCGCTACGTAGTGTCGATCTCCAGTAGAGTGATATCCTGGGACCTGTCGACGTCGGACCTGGCGAGGGACCTGTGTCCTCAACTAGAAGGCATTATGCAGAACTTGGAACTATCCCCAGACAACAAATGGGCGGCCGCTTCTACAAATAATTCCGTGGTAATTTTTTTAAATGCTTAAGCGTTCAGCCCTTTTTAAGGCCCCACTACTGGGCACAGGCCTCCCTTCAATACGAGGGAGATCAGGCCATAGTCCACCACGATGGCCTATTGCGGGTTGGCAAATTTCATATGTCTTTCGAAGACTTGCAAGGTTCTCTCAGACATGCAGGTTATCTCACGATGTTTGCCTTTACCGTAAGACAAGTGGTAATCATTTTGGAAATGATTCGCACATGAATGATATTTATCAGTGGTGCGAGACTCGGGATTTGAATCCGCTACACTCAGTATCTTAAGCGAGCGCGTTTTCAATGAGCTACCGCTGCTTCCTGCCATTGCATATTTTAAGTAAATAACATTCAAAAGGTAAAGAAAAGTCTTATAAAGTATAGAAAATTTAATTATGTTTTAAAATTATTGTTTTCAGTCAATACTTCTAAACATGCTGACCAGTGAATATGTCACCATTGAAAATCCGCTGGAGGAAGGTAATATCTATATATCAAGATGTATGGAGCAGTTTAAGGTGTTTCTTCCATAAATAAAAACTTTTTAACAAAAAAATAAAAACCGACTTCAAACAAAAGCACTAAAAAGTAACAAATAACTGATTGGTAGTTTTCATTTACTATACATACCTAATCAAATATTTTCGAAGTCGGTGTGCTTAGCTTTGTATGGGCTGGCACCGATTTCGAAAATATTTGATTAGGTGTATGTATTTAATAGGTAGGCTTTAATTACTTAGCCAAAGCACACCGACTTCGAAAATATTTGATTAGGTATGTATAGTAAATGAAAACTACCAATCAGTTATTTGTTACTTTTTAGTGCTTTTGTTTGAAGTCGGTTTTTATCTTTTTGTTAAAAAGTTTTTATTTTTCCCTTTTTAGTGTAGACAGTAGTAGCAATGTAAGGATTCTAACGTGTTAGGCTTGTCAAATCAAACAAAATAAGCCCAAACTCAAAGTATCTACTATTAGCCGTTGAAGAGTTCCACCTTTCCACCTTCTGGCCTTGCCATCAGATCAGGTCAACAACACCGAACCACTGTACTATCAACGGAAATAGAAATACTTGCAAAGTTTCAAGTCAATATGACAATTAGAAGTACGTTAAATTCATCATTAGTTGTTTTTCCACCCTTAGGGGTGGTATTTTTTTTTGAAATTTAAATGGGACCAATCTGGAAGTACACCCTTTCAAACAAAACAAAAATTGTCCAAATCGGTTAATAAATGACGGAGTTCTGAGGTAACAAACATAAAAAAAAAAAAAAAAAAATACAGTCGAATTGAGAACCTCCTCCTTTTTGAAGTCGGTTGAAAATAAGTTATATTTCTTAATTCAATTTTGTCGTAAATGATTCAAAACAATTTAGTTTTTCCAAAAATATCTATAAATATAAATAAAATTAAAACTTTATTCTCTCAGATATGTACATACAAAATTTTTGTCTGATTTTCTGTTTGTCCGGGATAATTTTTAAAACAGATTTACCAATTATAATGGTGCTTTCACTGAAAGGTAGAGGAGTTTGTAGAGCTACAAAGTATAGTTCCAGCGCGAAAATCGAAAATTCTTAAAAATGAAACAGCTTTAGAATTCTGATTTCACGAAAACGTCCACGGTAGGTACACTCACATACCTATATTTAGCTAATTAAAAAGGACCTAGGGCGACCCGAGCGGAGCAAGGGTAAGTCGCTAGTCATAAACAAAAGTATAAAAGAATGAGTGTAGTAGGTTGAAATGAATTAATGGTAATATTATAATGAAGTCGTTATGTACAAATTCACGCTTGGAAGTATCTTTGTAGCGAGCAATTTCAAAAATTGCTAATCCAATTTCAGTGAAGCTATGCCCAAAATAAGTCATCTTCAAGACAGATTATTTTATATATTATAATAAATAAATCAATATATGTGACTTCATTAATGAGAATAAATTAATTTAATACAATAATTTATGCATTACAGGTGAAACAGTTAGAGGAGTGTACGTTTTAAATCATCACATGTTCATATACGGGCCCAAATCGTGGGTGCAATACAACATGAGGGGAGAACTTGAAGACACTAAGCCCGCGCCTAATACGGCACCTTACGATGATGATTCTTGGGAAATTCTTTGTATGTACTTAAAATCATATCAAATATTGTTGGAATAATTATCGATGATTATTATTTTAAACCCCCGACGTAAAGAGAGGGAAGTTATAAGTTTAATAAGTGTATCTGTGTGTCTGTGTATCTGTCTGTGGTATCGGAGCGCCCAAACGGATGAACCAATTTTAATTTAGTTTTTTAAAGGTGGCTAGATCGAGATTGTTTTTAGCTTTAAATCAATAAAATCCGTTTAGTCGTTTGCAAGCTATCAGCTTTTTTCTGTACAGTTATAGGATATGAACCACTTCTCCACGTCTAGTCAATTCGAAACTAAGTATCTCGTTGCTCTAATGACATAACAATGGCAACGATATGGTAACCTTGGCATGATGCTGCAGCGTCATCTGGAATCTGCAAGAACTCTTTACTAAAATGCTTAGGGCTCAATGAAATGGCCTTAATGAATCAGTCATTTTGTTGAGGATTTTTTTTAATTTTTTTTAGAGTTATTAAATACTAGCGACTCACCTCGCTTTGCTCAGGTTCATCCCTAGGTACATTTTAATGGTTGGTGTGGAATAGATAGACTATATACTATATGATATTTAGCTTATAGCCTTCTTCAATAAACGGACTATCTAATGCAAAAAGAATTTTTCAAATTAAATTAGCAGTTTTAAATAAAACTATCTTTTCGGATTATTTCGTGGATTTATTTTAATTTTCGGTTCCCGTCGTTTCGAATGCTTTACAGCAATCATGCTCACGGGGAAGGTCTCTCCCGAAAGAAAAGGTAGTTTTATTTAAAATATCAAATATTTGCGTAAATCTAAGTAAGTATTATCGGGTGAGTAGTTTCTGAGATTAGCGCAAACAATCAAATAAAAAAAATCTGTCTATTTATAATATTAGTATAGATTTACCTACAGTACTCGTGTTATCGCCTTACCACTCTAATATATGCTGCATCTGCACTATTCAATTTTCAGTAGTCGATATCCAAAATGTAGTTTCAGGGCAGAATTAATGGCCTACATTTTGCTTCGGCTCATAAATTATCCGTGTATAACAATCAAGGCAATACGTTGTTTAAATTTTGTGTAAAATTAAGACAAACCAACATCCTCATATTTCTTTTTACACATACAATAAAATGAAAAGAAATTCATATTTATATATTAAATATATTATGTTATAAGTCACCTACATACTTACTCATGAGAGAAACTATCGACCTAGAAAATGTACAAAAGATTATAGTATTATTTTTATTATTCGTATTTTATTTTCAAAAATTTTTATTTCTTTAAAGATAGTAAACGATCTGTATGGCAAAATTGACGACACGTTTGGCTCAGATTGTAGTTACCCTACTTGCTGTGCCAGCGGTCGCGGGTTCGAGTCCTACTGATGCACGAATGTTCGTATTCCAGTCATGGGTGTTTATATTTATAATATGGTATCAACTATCTGGTAACCATAACACAAGACTCGTAGCTTACCATGGAATTAGATGATGCTGTGTGTGTATATCACTATGTGTGGCTGTGTGTCTGTGTGTGTAATGTCCCCACATATTTAAAAAAAAATGCTGATTCGCAAGATCGCTAGTATTTATGACTTTTCATTTATTTTAGCAGACTCTGTTAATATAAGTCTTTAGTCTGAGATAAAAAAATAACAAAAAGTCTTATTTATTTTTCAGCAATAGAATTCCGGGACCTAGAAAATCTTGTACTGGTGATGTGGAGCGGAGATTTAGATGATGATAGACTGTTAGTGCATTTCTGCAAGGCCAATATCTGGATGCAACCGCTGAGGTGTCGAGGAGCTTTGACTCTTAACAAAAACTGGACTAAGATCTATACAAGTGATCCTGAACGAGGCTATCAGGTATTAATTATTAAGTATAAAAGCTGTAAAACTAGACTATCTTGGTATTCGACACGACCGTGAGAGTTAAGGCGCAAGATCGATGGCTGCTCTCCGAGACACGGGGGTGAAATACCGCCAGCTTCCCAACTCCGGGCTACTACTGAAAATATCTTCATAGAAAAACTCAGTAATTAAACTTGGCCGAACCCGGGACTGAATCTAGGACCTCCAAATCTGCAGCCGTACATGCTAGCCACTAGACCACCGAAGCAGTTAAGGATTGCTTGCAATCCTACGCTAAAGAATTACAGTAAGCATTATAAAAGTAAAAATATATATCAATAAATTAATGAAAAATACAAAAATACCTAAGTAAGAAAACCTAAAATATGGAATCTATTCAAAACTTAGTAAGAAATACAAAATATAAAATCTATATTTAATTTGACAATTTGTTTCTCAGATTTCAGTGTACGGAATGAACGAGGCCGAACAAAAATGGGACAAAGTGGAGGAACTGCATCACCTAGAGACCGACACCGCCGAAGCGATGCTCCAGTTGAAGAGAGGAAAGAAGGATCGGATGTTGCTCGGTAATATTAGATTTTCTTATTTATATATAGTAACTAGCAGAACCAGAGGCTACGCTCGCGTTCAATCTACAAAAAAAACTCTTTGGCTTTATGTTTAATACCAACTTTCATCCCCTATTTTACCCCCTTATGAGATGAATTTCGAAAAAATCGAAAACAATATTTAATTGTATTGAAGAGCATTAATACCAAGTTTCAAGTAATTTTGATCATAAATATTTTTTTGTATTGTATTATAAGGTGTTTTCCCGTGGGAATGAGATAATCTCTCTCGATAAAATAAGTAGTCTATGTCACTCCCCAGCCCTCCAACTATCTCCATACAAAAAAATCACGCCAATCCGTCACTCCGTTTCGACGTGAAAGAAGGATAAACAAACAAACACACTTTCACATTTATAATTTTTTTTTATACTATTCTGAATTAGTGCTTGACTACGTTCCACCTGATGGTAAGTGGTAACGCAGTATATCAGTATGGATGTGGATATTCTGTAGTAACAAAATATTTGAGTTATTTTAAAATAGTTCTCTATTTACAACATAAATAACTATTAAATAAAACAATGAAGTTAGTCTGATAAATTAATATAATATACCTAATGAATTGAAATAAAAAAAACGAAAGATATTTTTCATTTTTGAAAATAATTTACTTTACTTAATTATATTCAAATTAAAGATTTAAGTTTTTATTAATTTTTAGCAACCACGACATATAGCTTCGTAGTTTGGGACTTCAAGAATGTGATACCGCGCGGGAAACATATCGATGGCAACAAGATAAATGAAGAAACAGAAGAGAAGAAAAAGGAAGAAGTAAGATTTATTTTATTTGCGTATAAAAAATAATTCCTCCTATAGTTGGCCACAGTCAGGTAAATTATATTTAAATAAATAATTTAATACTAGCAACTTGCCCTCGTGTGTCCCTAACACCCCCCCCCCCCTCCTCAACGTGCGTCCACCTTGTCGTGGTGGGGGGACTCAGTATTGCCCGGCAATACAGCCGGGCGCGAAGCCACGAAACGCACAGGGAGGTGGCCCACTTCGGGGGAGGTGGGAGGTGATCCTCTTCGGTGGGCAGTGTGTCATGCGGGTTGCTCCTGGTACTTCTCTGATAGCAGAGTGGACCTTGGAGCAACCCCATGGTTGTTGTGGTATGCTTCGGCAGATCTACCGTCGAGGCGTCGTAGTTGAATGCGTAAGCGATTCTGCGACGCCCCATTCAGACGGGGGAAGGCTTTGTTGGGTTTTAGTGGGTAGGACTGGCTTTGCCGGTGAGTCCTACACCTCGTGCGTAAATGCATTTCCCAACGTTAAAAAAAAGGGTGCGGCCCTACGCTTGTATGGTTTAGGAACGATCTAAAGAAAAATATTTTTTTTTCACAATGAACCTTTGCAGTCGTATACAAAATAACTCACCAAAGTTTCGTCACAATCAGATTAATGGCTTAGTAATGCATAGAGGACAAACATACGAACATTCTTTTTTATTTATATAGATAGATAAGAACTAGCTAACGTCTTGGTTCTGAGTATATTTGTATTTCTTAAGTGTCCACATCCGCAATTATTCACACTTAGACACTTGTGTATGATACTCAAGTAATATCTTGGAATCTAATCTATACACATCAATAAAATTGAAGTGTCTATTTGTAATGTAAAAATAACAGCTTTTGTGCTAAATGCATAAGACAGTATCTACATAAGGTACTAATAAAAATAATTTTTAAAATGTTTATCTGTCTGTCTGTTTGTTTCGGCTAATCTCCGAAACGGCTGTACCGACTTTGGTGGAACTTCCATTGCTGGTATTAAAAGAAGTAAATTAGGCAACTTTTATTTTAGAAAAGGAATCAGAGTTCCGCGCAAAATGAAAACCCATGAAATTATAAACAAAATTTTAATTTCAGGAAGAGAAACAAGATACTGAACAAGAAAAAGATTTACGCTTAGAAGGAATAGTTCTAAAACTTCCGCACACAATACGAAATATTTCTACAAAAATGACCCTCTCTAATTCATTTATGATCAGCAATAATAATACTTACGCTGTAGCTGGAGTCAGGTAGGTTGTTGGATTTTATCTTATTTGTATGTTCAACCCTTTTTTACGTCCAACTGCTAGACACGGGCCGCCTTGTAATACGAGGGGGATCAGGCCACAGCCCACAAAGCTGCCCAAGTGCGAGCGGACTTCACATGTCTTTCGAAAACTTGCTAGATTCTCTCAGACATGCAGGTGTCCTCACGATGTTTACCTTTACCGTAAGACAAGTGGTAATCATGTTAGAAATGATTCGCATATGAAAATATCAGAAGAGCGAGACCCGGGATTTGAACCCGTTTCACTCGTTTTCCCAAGCGAGCGCGTTACCACTGGGCTACCACTGCCTATTATATATCTTATTTATCTTATAGTAATCCTTATGATAGATAGACAAAGCATAATTATCTATGCTTTTATAACGCCAATAAAATTTTATCTTTTACCTACCCTCTTAATTAAAACTAGGTACTCTAGAAGTAAACTAACACAACTAATATGGGCATATAAAGTATAAAATAATTTCAAAAAAATCATTAATTCTATTACGATAAAATTTCAACATTTTATATAGATAATATATTGTAGGGTGTCAAAGTCGTTGTGAAAATTAAAGTTGTAGGGAAGTGGTAACGCGCTTGGGCAACCAAGTGAAGCGGGTTCAAATCCTGGGTCTCGCATCTCTAATATTTTGCACGGGAAAATAAAAAGGAAAAGAAAGCTGTACTGTACTTTACTTATATATTTTTTTGTCAAAATTTCCTAAGAATAGAAATATAGCATAGTATTGAATATTATTGGACATGAAAAATACCTCAACAACAGACATCTTCTCTCGATAGAATCAGCATCTAATGAGATAATATTATTAATAGTAGTAGTATTCTATCAAATAAATAAATAAATATGTTGGGACATTAACACACAGCACCATCTAGTTCCATGGTAAGCTACGGGGCTTGTGTTATGGATACCAGATAGTTGATACACTACACATATATAATTTTAAATACATAAATATTATAAATATAAACACCCATAACTAGAGTACAAACATTCGTGCTCATCGCACAAATGATTTCCCGTAGCGGGGCTTGATCCCGCGACCGCTGGCACAGCAAGTACTACTAGCACTACAAACTGAGTCAAACACAAATATTTATCCACCAGAAAAAACCTGTACGTATGGAGTTTAGAAACAACTAAGCTGATCAAAGTATTGGACGCGCACTTCGGCCGCATCGTGCAGCTCGAGCCCCTCACGCTCGGCGCCTGGAACAATGTGATCACGTCCTCCATCGACCGCACCGTGAAGATCTGGAACATTGATAATATTTTTGAGCAAGTTCACAAAATAGATCGGCAAGAGCTACCTATTGATTCTATAAGGTGAGATGTAACATAATGTAATTAGACTATTATAACTGCTATAGTTTGTTTGTTTGTTACGACTGCACTCTAAAAGTGGTGGACGGATTTGGATGAAATTTATACAGATAAATTATGAACTAGAACACATAGGTTAGGTAACACATTCTTACGAACCCGGGCGGTACATTCGTAAGTCGGTAGTATTTTTACGAGTACTTCATATCATGTACGATATTTTTTTTATATTTATGAGTGTTTTTTGATGTTGATAGACTTTATATTATATAATATATACATTGGTATGATGAATTGTTGTGGGTTGTATTGTAACGTGGGAATAAGAAGATCTCCCGCGGTGAAAATTAGCCTATGTCACTCTCCTCACCCTCCAACTATCTCTACACAAAAAATCACTCTGATTCGATGTGAAAGAAGGATAAACAAACAAACACACTTTTACATTTTGTAATATTAAATATGAATTATTCTGTTTAAGATTTACTTTTGGATGGAGATGAGTCTACGAGTATAGTGATATGTTAATAAAATAACAACTGTTGCTCTCGCCGGCTCTTCTCAGCAGAACCATGCTTTCCGAACCAGCGGTAGCTTCCTCACAGACCGACTACACTGACGCTTTTTAAATTAAATTGACCATTCAAAAGTGCTTGTAGTAATAATTAAATAGTTTAACTCCAAATAAGTATTTAATTTCAAATGTTTTCATAAGAGTTTTGACTATAACATAAATTATATCTCCTTCGTGTCTTCTCCATTCTACGTGATATGGGTCAAGTAATCTGTGCTCAACTGGCACGCTTTGAAGCCATTAACAAGAAAATTGTGTTCAATTGAACTTAACTATGGTATATACTACAATTACATGTTATTTTGTCAACTTTTTTAAAAATTGCAAAAATGCAATATTACAGTGGAAATTTAATAGAAAATGACTAAATTCGTCAATTCTTGAATGTTTTCTAAGTCAAACCAAAAATTTAAATTAATTATTTTACAAATCAGTGGGCCGCCTCAAAAAAAAAATTTTTTTCGCTTCGCCCTAATAACCACGTCTATATATATTAATTCAGCCTAGCTCGAGACCAGCACCTCGCGGTGACGGTGACGCGCAGCTGCTGGGCGCTGTGGGACACGCGCGCGGGGCGGCTGCAGGCGCAGTGCGCGGACGCGCCGCTCGGCGCCATCGTCACGCACGCGCTCATCACGCCGAGCGGCGAGAACGTTCTCACCGCTGAGTCTGGGAACATTCTTATATGGGATACCAATGATAGACAGGTAAATATGTACTAGTATATCTTTTGTTTAAAAAACGTATACTTTCTCTTAACAACTTGAGCAGGGTAATTGCTTCGGTAGTGTAGTAGCATGTACGGTTGAAAATTCGTAGGTCATGGGTTTAAGGCTCGAGTCGGGCCAAGCTGTGCTATTGAGTATTTCTGTTAAAAAGTTCCAGTGACCGATTAGCTGCCGTGGCCGTAGGTCTATATTCAATATCTTTTCAACAGTTTTAGCGTAAAATTTAAGTTAAATAGAAAAAACAACTATCTCTTTTATTCCTATGAATAGTATTGATCACATTTATCAATGATAAAAAAAATATAAACGAAATTAAAGATCTTAAAAAATATATATAAAAAATATCATGAAATACAATATTTCTCTATTTTCAGGTAGTATTCAAAGAAGAGCAGAAAGGTATAAAGCAGCTTCTTCTTTTAGAAGATGGTATGAAATTTGTGACCATTTCTATGGTAGTTTCTTCTGATAATGTTGATAACATCGCCATGGCTCACATCGTGACAAGGACTATTCCGGGTAAATATTACAAAATATCTTACAATAGTATAGCGAACTGTTCTTATAAATATTTTATTATTGTCAGCAAAAATTTAAAGTAACCCAGCCTAATAATATCATTTTCATTAAGAATAATCATTAATTAGAGTTTTGCAGCGGGAAACATTGTTCTTTGCTAACATTAGTCCGTAGTTATTTATTATCTATATTGCATAGTTAATATGCAATAAACGACGAATTCTGACGACACGCTTGGCTCAGTTTGTAGTGTTACTTCCTGTGCCAGCGGTCGCGGTACGAGTCCCGCTGCAGGCATTCATTTGTGTGTTGAGCACAAATGTCCTCCAGTCATGCGTTTTTGTATTATGTATGTATGTGTAATATGTTTGTATTTGTAGTGTATCAACAATCTGGTATCCATAACACAAGTCTCGTAGCTTACCATGGAACTAGATGGTACTGTAGATTAATATCCCAACATATTTAATATAATATTTTAATCACTACATAGTATAAAACAAAGTCTTCCCGCTATCAGTCTGTCCCTATGTATGCTTAGATCTTTAAAACTACGCAACGAATTTTGATGCGATTTTTTTTGATAGATTGAGTGATTCATGAGGAAGGTTTATATGTATAATACATGCATATTATAGTACAGAAAAGCCAAGAAATTTAAAGATTTGTGTTTGTAAAGATTTCATACTAACCGTTAAAACGTACCTAGGGACGTGAGTCGCTAGTCGATAATATAATAAAGGTTCTGGGTTCACCAGATGGTGAAAAGATCTACACAGTGGATTACGAGGTGCGCGGCACTGGCCACCGCGCCGCCGTCGTGTCCGCGGACGAGAACCACCTCGTGGCACCGGGCCTCGACAAGAACGCGCGGGAGTGCCTCCACGTTTTCCACGCTAGGACCGGAGCTAGACTGCATAGGTTCAAATTTTTTTGTTGTTCTATTAATATTACAGACTAGCGACTTTCTCTTGCTTCGCTCGGGTTTATATGGTTTAGAAACGCACAAAAAAACAACTTTTTTCGGGTAGGTGTGCAAAAAGTAGTAACACATATTTTTGTTAGCTCCTTTTTACTTATTTAATTAAAATCATAATAACTCTTATCTAATTACAAGTTATGTGCTAAAAGTTAGAAACCTACCAGCCACAATTCCTTAAGTAATTTCCATAAGAGTACTTTGCCTCTACACCAAATAAATCCAGTATTTGTTGCACTACTACTTGGTTGTGACACTTTCATACAATGGATTCAATCAAGCAATCCCTTAATGACCTGGCACATCACTTTAACACCACAATGGCTGAGTTCCAGCAGAACTTGAATACTTCAATTCCAGCAACAAGTCCAACCTCAAACATAGCGGCGCAATTTAGTACATTTCGAACCTTTGTGCTCTCGGCGCTTGAAAATCTTCAGCAGCAAGTAAATCACCTCTCTAAACAACAAGATCATCTTGATATGAATACTAGAAAGAAAATCCTTTTAGTACATGGTGTTCCGGAAGCTAAAAATGAAGATGTGACTGCAGTAATGGTCAAACTTCTATCTGACCGCCTTGACTTGCCAGACCTTTCAATAGAGGATATCAGCCGTTGTCATCGCATAGGAAGCTCCAAAGTAGACAAACATCGCGTAGTCCTTATAAAATTTAAGCGATTGTTGATCAGGAATCAGGTTTGGTATGCTAAGACCAAACTTAAAAATACAGGTACAACCATATCCGAATTTCTCACTAAAACCAGACATGACGCCTTCATGGCTGCTAGGCAGCGCTTTGGTGTCTCCAAATGCTGGACAAGGGAAGGAGTCGTATTTGTTATTACGCCCAGTGGAACTCGACATCGCATTAGTTCGCGTTCGGAGCTCGACAATATTCCCGGACCAACTGACGTCCATGTGCCAGCTGCTAATACTGGTGCCGCGTCTACTCTCACATCTTCAAAAGCAAGAGCAGCTGCACCAACGCAAGTGAACCGGGTCAGGCGCAACATCAAGAAGTGATAATGATGTTTTGTTGTATGTTACGGGTAAATCACATTTATACTAGTTGTTTCTATATAATCCCTGTTTCGCATTCTAACTTTACTATTTGTACAAATAATCTTGTTTCAATATGGAATACCCGCAATTATTTACTCGGTTTGTTGTGTATACCGTAAATTTTTAGTTCTTACAATTTTGAAATAACTTAATAACACTGTCACAGACCACAGCCTAACTGACAGCTGACAGCGTCATAATACGTTCCGTTCTAAAATCTAAATTTAGCATATCAAATGCCCTTTACAAAGATTAAAAATGTTAGCCTAAATATTTAATCTTTTTTATAATTTACTAATGTATGATATACAGATATCTTTCTTCTTTTTTTTTTGTTAAGTTAATTCGAGACCAAACTCTTGCATTTTTTATATTTGTTAATTACTTTCCCGTTAATCCACACAAAAACTCTTTTTTTTTTGTTGCTTAGCTTTCGCTACGACGCTGTTTACATTTTGTTGCGTTCAGGTTTTTTTTTTTTTTTGTACTATTTTTTTTCTATGTTAGTTTTATTAAAATACCTTACTTGTAATTAAGGTATTTCTCACTATTATTGTGTATAGGCAATTTGTATAAGGGTATGGCTGGTGGGTTAGCAAATGACACAGTTTTATTTTACTATCTTATTTTATTTATTATTATTATTATTAATATTCTATATTTTTTATATTTATTTAGTATATATTTTAATATTATTTTATAGCATTATATCAGTATGACGAATAGTGAAAATGATAGCACTACAGACGACATTTATCTTCCTTGTCATTCCTCATCATCCGACGACGCCAGTTTCCTCAGTTCTTCCATTCCTCTCAATGAAACCTTACACTCCACTTTTTCTCATTATTCAAAGAGCTTCAATGTTGCCCATATTAATGCGCAGAGTATCCCCGCACACTACCCGGACCTATTAAGTACGTTTGACGTTAAAGACTTACATGCGATCTTAGTCTCGGAAAGTTTCCTTAAACCTTGTCTTCCTTCTACTTCGTACGCCTTGCCGGGTTTTCATCTGATTAGAAACGATAGAACTGACAAAGGTGGTGGAGGGGTAGCTATTTACTTACGTTCACACATTCCTTTTAATATTTTAAGTAAATCTCCCTCTCAATACACTGAGTCAGCTGAATATATTATAATTGAGGTCCTTTTCGGTTGCCTGAAACTTCTGTTGGGAGTCTTCTATAGTCCATCAATGCGCGTTGACTACTTTGATGAATTTGAGGTCTTAATGGAGAGACTTATCCCAGACGCTGATCACTCTATAATCATGGGGGATTTTAATACCTGTTTGATTAAAGATGACTTACGAGCAAAGCGGTTGAACAGCATCGTCAATGGCGCTAATCTTAATATTGTCAACTCTAATAGTGCGACTCATTTTTTTCCTGATTGCACTCCTTCGTTGCTGGATCTGATGATTGTCTCTTCACTTGATCTCGTCAATGTGCATGGACAGCTCTCAGCTGATGCGTTCTCATACCACGACCTAATTTATCTGTCCTATAAAATACGTCCACCCAAAGCCAAACCTACGGTGGATATGCGACGCAGCTTTAAGCACTTTAATAACGACAGCTTTATGAATGATCTCAGTTTGATTGACTGGAATTCTGTTTTAAACGCCTCGTCCACAGATGATAAGCTGAATATTTTTAATTCCATACTGACGGAGTTGTTTGATATTCATGCTCCACTTAGACCAATTAAAATCAAACATCTTCCGGCACCTTGGTTGACATGGGAAATTAGAGTGCTAATGGTCAAACGTAATAGGGCTAAGTCCAAATATAAAATTAACCCCACAGCCGATAATCTGCTTAAATTTAAGCATTTGCGTAACAAATGCAATAGATTCTGCCGAGATGCTCAACGCGAATATGTTCATGCTTCAGTGGAAAATAAAGACTCTGCCAGAGTTTGGAAATTTTTAGATGCTATAGGTATTGGTAAGGATCGTAAAGCCTCACTCTTCACTGGTAATATGGACTTGGAAGCTCTTAATACACATTTTGCTACAGTTCCTTTAATAGAACATACTATAAAGGCTAACACTCTTTATTCCCTTGCTCTTGGTTCTAAGCCTAACACTACGCTTTTTAATTTTTCACCTATTTCTCCTAAGGAAGTTAAGATGCATATAATGGCTATAAAATCTGATGCCATTGGTAGCGATGGAGTAAGTCGAAAGATGATTCTCTTAGCTCTCAATCATATACTTACAGTTCTCTGCCATATCTTTAATCATTCTCTCTCTTCAAGTACCTTTCCTAGCTGCTGGCGTTCAGCTTACGTTATTCCTATTCCTAAAATTTCCAATCCTTCATCGTTTTGTCACTATAGACCAATTTCTATACTTCCTTTTCTTTCTAAGGTGCTTGAACGTGTAGTTCACAGCCAACTGTCATTACATCTTTCAAAGCATAATTTGCTCAGTCCCTACCAATCTGGATTTCGACCTGGACATAGCACGACCACTGCTCTGATTAAAATCTGCGATGACATAAGGAATGGGATTGACAATCAGCAAGTTAGCATAACTGCTTTATTAGACTTCTCAAATGCTTTTAATACTGTAGACTTCGACATCCTCTTAGCAATCCTTGAGTCAATGAATATTTCATTGGGTGCTGTTGGCTGGTTCCGTTCATATCTCTTTGATCGCAAGCAATGCATTCGTGTCGAGGACAAGCACTCATCTTTCTGTTACCTTAAAGCGGGTGTCCCTCAAGGCGGTGTCCTTTCTCCTCTCCTTTTTTCTATCTTCATCAACTCCATAACTGAGCTCCTCTCCTTACCTTTTCACCTTTATGCTGATGACCTGCAAATTTATGTAACAACACCCATAGATGGTCTTCACGATGCCATAGCCAACCTCAATACTAATCTCAATACTGTAAGTACATGGAGTAAATCGTTTGGGTTATTTCTAAACGCGAGTAAGTCGCAGGTATCCCTATTTGGTTCTCGTCAGCTAGTATCCAAAATTAATATGTCATCCCTTTCACCTATTTTATTCGACGGGACTAGACTGCAAATTCGCAGCTCGGTTAAAAATTTAGGCCTTATAATGGACAATTTCTTATCTTGGGTGCCTCAGATTTCGGAGGTAAGCAGAAAGTTTTTCGCTGTAATTGGTCGGTTGAGGAGGTGGAAGAAATTTTTGCCAATAAAAACTAAAGTATCCCTAGCACAATCCCTTCTCTTTCCTATACTTGATTATGCCGATACATGCTATCCCGACTTGTCGCAGATTCAACTCAATAAACTGGAACGTTTGCAAAATATGGCAATCCGATTTATCTATGGCTTAAGAAAATTTTACCACATTTCTCAATATCGAGCTCAACTTAAATGGCTCACCGTTAAGCAGCGACGGAACTTGCATATCCTTACTCTCCTATACACTATCCTCTTTCACTCCCGCACTCCTCCTTATCTTAAAACAAGGTTCAATTTCCTTGGTTCTATCCATTCCCTAAACCTTCGCTCGCAAACCGACAACAAATTAGCATTGCCCGTCAGTCGCACCCAAAGCTATGGCGACTCGTATACAGTAAAAGCTGCAATATTATGGAATGCCTTACCACAGGACATTCGCCAGTCGGAATCGGTGCAAGTATTCAAACGTCGTCTTAAACACTACTATTTGTCGCTATAAGTCTATGTATATTTATGTAAGCCCTGTTTATGTAAGTTTATTGTAGAATATATATGTTTATTGTTTATACTTATATATTATAATATATATTTATGTATGTCCTTATCGATATTTATGTAAGCTTGTGTGTACTTTATAGTATGTACCGTTTAAGTAAGTTTATTATAGACTAGTTCTTTTTTTTTTTGCACCAACCATAATCCATGTCACCCTATGAGTTTCTTTATAATATAGGTTGCCTGGAAGAGATCACTTTAGTGATAAGGCCGCCTTTACACTAATAATAGTTAAGTTATATATTCTTGTATATTGTTTTTTTATTTTTGGTGTAATAAAGGATTAATAAATAAAAAAAATAAATAAAAAAACAAATGTTCAAAGAAGAATTCTTTTTTCGCCAGGAACATTTGCAGACGTATACAGAATAGTCCACCAAAGTTTCATCACAATCAGATCAATGATTTAACAACGCATAGAGGACAAACATACAAACATTCATTTTTATTTATATAGAATAGAAAAAGATGGTAACAATGTAGGAAAAGGATTTAGATAAAACTTTAATTTAATATTTTATTAGTTTTACGCGAATATTTGATATGTTTTTATGTAAGACTATTTTTTTTTGTTATTTGTTCCCGATACTTTGAATATTTTTAACAAATACAGTCACGGGAGAAATTAGATTTTTTTAGTCTCTAAAGTTATAGTTATGACAGAATGTATCCCACGGTGGTCTACGTACTTATTAATTATTGTCAACCCTACAAAATGGCCGTTATTACATGAATCAATGTAATGTTTCCCCATAAAATAAGCTATCCTTTAAATCTTACTTTATCAACTCTTTAGTTGACATATAGTTTACATTTCAGAATTCCCATCAAAAACAGTGGGATCAAAGACATGCAGTCCATAGTGGCCCTCCCCCACAAGCCGCACTGGGTCGCTGTTATCGGAAACGACAAGGCTGGCATACTAGATATCAAAACTAAGCGACATGTCAGGTAAATTTGGTACTTAATGGCCGCTTTGTTGTTCAATAAATGCATTCATTAAGTTTAAACAGTATATAAACGTTAAATAGAAATGAAAATATAAAATTAATCTATATTTACAGAATAGGTACTTGGTACTACTGGTACTGGTGGAAAAAAATTACATTTGATTTGAGCACAATTTACATGATTTATGTACACACTTCAAAAAAAATTTATTCGCCTTAAAAAAAATATACTACAAAAAACTTTATTTAATTTTAATAGGTTTAATGTCAAATTTTAAAGATATTTTTCAGTTTGGTCATCTTCCTAAGCTTTTTTGTTTAGGTTTGTGCCTCGCTGGAATGGGGCCTGCACTAGAGATGGGAAGATCGGTCTCTGCGCACCGACAAGAGGGGGGCTCGACTTGATAGAGTTAAAACGAGGCACATCTGTGCAGCCGCTCATCTCAAGAGCTGCCGAGGGTGTCTTTTCCATTATCACCATGTTCAGTTCTGATGATCAGTACGTGTTTTACTATCACAGTGGAAGGAAGACTTTGAGGGTGTTTAGGTAAGGAATTGATATTTTACCAAGAACTATTCTTTTGTTGAATGTTATGTAATAAGTGATAGAAATATTTTCATTTATTTATCGATATTTAATGTATTATTTTTATTAATTTCGGGGAAATTTATATTTGGCTTATTTTAGAGAAATATAAATGAACTTAGAAAATTAGTAGTTAGTACATTTTAGAGTTCTCCAAAAAAAATATAATATTGGGTTCAGTTATTTTGTCTGTGAAAATAATCTATACAGGGACAAAGAAATGTAAGTATGCACATATGTTTTGTAAATGCCCACAATATTTAAAATTTGAACTTTTAAAAAATCAATTATCCCAACATTATATAATTTTTGGTTAAAATTATTGTGTATCAATCGCTACATTATACAATAAATCATTGAATGGATTTGGATGAAACTTGACAAATATAATATTGAACTAGCATATAAAATAAATAATAATACAACTTCACTGTTGTAACACTACTTCAATAAAAGAGTTAAACGAAATGACTAACTGCCTCGGTGGTGCAGTGGCTAGCAAGTACGGCTGCACACTCGGAGGTCCTGGGTTCGAGTCCCGGGTCGGGCCAAGTTTAGTTATTGAGTCTTTCTGTATAGTAAGTCTCAGTAGCAGCCAGGAGTTGGGAACTTGGCGGTGTTTCACCCCCGTGCCTTGGAGAGCACCTAAAGCCGTCGGTCCTGCGCCTGTCGTCGTCCCACCGGAGTATGAGAGTGACAAGAATAGAGAGTGCACTCGTGTTTGCGCGTACACTTGTGCACTATAATATCTCCTGCGCAGTTGGCTAGTCTCAATGAGATTGGCCGCCGTGGCTGGAATCGGTCAGGAGAACATCATCACCATAAACGAAAACCCTTTTCAGACCCAGGCAAAGTCACGGGCAAAAACTAGTAGCTAGCAGTAAACTTTAAAGCTGTGACTTTCAAATATGTCCAAATACATCAAATGTTGTAGAACTAGCTAACATAGTCCAAATAACTGCTGCCGTCATAAGAAAGAAGGCTGTAACTTCGTCAAAGTCGATTTCGAGATATTTGAAGTTTTGTCTTACTACTACGTCAAAATTACTACTAGTTTTGATGTAGTTACGATTAAAATGCTTATGGTATTTCCGGATTCATAAGATTTAGAGGTTTATGAGGAAGACTATCATATAGTATTTTTTGCTGATTCCGAATCTGAATATAAGTCGTTTTTGATCAAATTGTTAGTTACGGTCTTCTTTCTTATGACGGCAGATCACTAAAATCAAATGTTCTAGAACTAGCCAACATAGTAATCGAATGTTCTAGAACTGTTGATGGCAAAGCAATAGCGGAGTACCGCGCACCTGCGGAGGTGACGGCGGTGGCGAGCGCGCGCGGCGGCACGGCCGTCGCGCTCACCTCGCAGGATGGCTGTCTCACCGTACTCAATATTGTGGACCCCTATGCTTAGATCCGGATTTATTAGTTACATGAAAGAAATGCTCACTCCCCGCTGATCCTCCCACCCGACTCCCTGGGGAGCTGGGTGTAACTGAAAATTGCCGCTGCTCGAGATTTCGATCTTAGCAGCATCGGCTGAGCTATTACCCTTTGCTATAGATTAAGTTAAGATTTTATTGTTTCTGTTACTCTTTTTATTGTTTCTTTTATGGCAATAAATGTTTATTTATTTATTTATTTTTATCTATAAGAAATACCTACATAAGAATAGATCGCAGGGAATGACAGGTTTTTTTTGTTTATTTCTTTCTATTTAGTACGTAACTGTAACAAGTCTCATGATATTATGCCTTCGTTATAGGTAAACGAATGCTAGAGAGTTAGATAGTTAGATTCGGGCATATTGATATAGAAGCTGGCATTTTTTTTCAAAGTAGTGGCGCCCGTTGAAACTGGTATAAATAGATAAGAGGGCAGTTAAACAAATAATATGAGCAATATGGTGTCCTAAAGTATGACGTTTCCGAGATATTCTGAGGTTCACTTAGATTGTAAATTATTTTCTGAGTACAACTGACGATTATTAATACACAATTACTTCATCTATACATATAATAAAATTGTAACTAAGCCGAATCTATTAAATAATTTTTGGAAAATCTTATTGAAATAAACATTATTATCGATACAGAGGCCGAATCTATAGTTTTTAGAATTTTTGTAGTTTTTGTGGCAGTGGTAGCCCAGTGGTAACGCGCTTTCTTGTTAAACCGAGTAAAGCGGGTTCAAATCCCGGGTCTCGCACCTCTGATATTTTCATGTGCGAATCATTTCTAACATGATTACCACTTGCCTTACGGTGAAGGAAAAACATCGTGAGGAAACCTGCTTGTCTGAGAGAACCTAGCAAGTTTTCGAATGACATGTGAAGTCCGCCAGCCCGCACTTGGCCAGCGTGGTGGACTATGGCCTGATCCCCCTCGTACTGAAGGGAGGCCCGTGCCCAGCAGTGGAACGTTAAAAAAGGGCTGAATACAATATATTTTTTAAAATTTGCTGCACATCATACTTTATTAGATTTACACCATGTGACATCTATACATATAATAAGTTTGTAACTGATCGAAGCCTGTGATATTTGAGAAAAAGTTTATTGGGGGTCTTTATTAACGTAATATAATCCAAAACAATGATTTATAGAATTTTTGTCTGTTTGTCTGTGCGTTTGTGCGCGCTAATCTCAGCGCTTAACCGATTTGTGAGCTGTTTTCACTAATTTATTTTGGTTAGCTTCACATTTAGTTAATTTATCATTTAGTATTTGTTTTATTTCAATCGGTTCATAAATAAAAAAATGTATTGATTTTAAGGATCATCTAGTTTTAAATAAAACTATCTCGTTGGATTTTATTACTGGATTTATTTTGATTTTTGGCCAAAAAATTGGACAAAATATCCGAAAAGATATTTTTATTTAAATTTTGGTATTTTACCGTAATCAATTGAAAGGCAAATAAGTTATATCACTTTTAGAAAGGCAGAACCATAAACCTCGCGGATTTAGTGGCCTCAATGATAAGTCAATTACAAATATATATTTCAACAAGTACAAAATGATGTACCTGACTACCATATTGAGTTACAATATTAATAACTTATAATAAAGTATAGATATTATATGAAAAAATATCTCTATTGTACATTTTTAAATTTACCAATTTACCTTTACTTTATTCACACTAAAAATGTCCTATTTGAGCGCGCTTTTAATTTAAAACAAAATTGTGAAAACAACATTAAGTATTGCATTTAAGTTTCAATTTATATGGTTGTATATTTATTGGTGACAGGTTTAAGAGAACTTTTGCTAGCGATTGTGTATCTATCTAGCTGGTACTTTTCGATTTTTTCAACTGCCTCGGTGGTGTAGTGACTAGCATGTACGGCTGCACATCCGGAGGTGCTGGGTTCGAGTCCCGGGTCGGGCCAAGTTTAGTTATTGAGTCTTTCTGTATATTACGCCTCAGTAACAGCCCGGAATTGGGAAGTTGGCGGTGTTTCACCCCCGTGCCTCGGAGAGCACGTAAAGCCGTCGGTCCTGCGCCTTAACTCTCACCGGTCGTGTCGAGTGGTCGTCCCACCGGAGTATGAGAGTGATAGGAATAGAGAGTGCACTTGTGTCTGCGCGTACACTTGTGCACTATAATATCTCCTGCGCAGTTGGCTAGTCTCAATGAGATTGGCCGCCGTGGCCGGAATCGGTCGGGAGAACACATCACTTTTCTATCGATGCGTAGAATATAAATAATTATTTACTACAAAGGAAATACATTAAAATTACAAGAATTCTTAATTATATATACAAAACAAATGTACACTAAATTATTATTGTACAAGCCATGTAAGAGCGGAATTGTGGCAAGAATGCTAGTCGCGTTCCCCCGTTGAATTTATAGATATTATCTTTGCACAATCTTATCTTTTTAATCAACGTCAAAAACAGTAGAAGGTACTCTTTTTTTTCAATAATCTTTTATATTAATAACCATTATCCGAGACGACACCACTTACTGTGCTAGCGGTCGCGAGTTAAAGTTCCGCTGGGGGCATTCATTTGTGTGATAAGCAAGAATGCTTATACTACAGTCGTGGGTCATATTTGTTATATGTATGTATTTAAAGTTATATATGTGTAGTGTATCAAGTATCTAATATCCATAACACAAGCCTCGTAACTTACCATGGAACTACATGGTGCTGTGTGTTAATGTGCCGACATATTTATTATTTATTATTATTAATCTTTTATATACTATTCTAGTAATTGATTACATAAATCAAATCTTAAAAACCGACTTGTCAACCGTGATGGCAGATCAGCCGAAGCAGATTACAACAACCATGGGATTGCTCCCACTGTCTTCTCTGCTATCAGAGAAGTACCAGGAGCAACCCGCATGGCACACCGCATACCAAGGTGGGCCGCCTCCCTGTGTGTATATTGTCTTCACAGAAGATGGAGCTCTTCAATGGCTACTAATACAACTTTCGATTATTGGGTTTGCTTGAATTTTTTTTTCTGACACGTTTTGGCATAATAATATCTGCTACGTGTTAAATAGTTTTTAAGTTTTATAATATATATATATATATATATATATATATATATATATATATGTATATATATATATGTGTATATATATATGTTAGTTTTAAGATATATATTCTATGGGCCTCTGTTTACATATTTAAGATCCTTTTGTAAATATTGCCTGAAATAAATGATTAAATTAAAAAAATATATATCTTTCTTCATTTTAATTATCTTTATTATAACTAAGCTTTGAAATGCGACTGTGATATGGCTGTGAAAAGTCATAAATATGTATATATTATTGTTTTTTAAATTAAATATTTATAAAGAAAAAATTATGGTCTTTTTATTTATTTTCGTTTAGCGTTCTTGATATAAAGGTTATTATAATTGTACATATTTAGATTGGTTATTTTAATTTAATTAAAAACATATTTTAGAGGTACCTATATAAGGCTAGAACAAAGGCTAAGTCAATTGAATAGGTCCACAAGCAATTAACTTAAATAATTGAATCTTTTATCTATTTACTTGAACTATATAAGTACCTGTTCATTGTAATAGTTAATCGCACGCACATGCCCGCTCGCAAACATGCACACACATACGTACATAGACATATCTGATTAGGCAGATACCTAGTATTTTCATTTAGAACAGATTTCTAAATGAAAATACAAAAGTTTAGTTATTTTTTACATTTTAGTGCCTGGAAGTCGGTTTTTTTAAGTTTTTATGAATGATAAATAAAACATAAAATAGCATTTGTCCTTAAATTATATTGTTATTCGAATCACGGAGTTATATAACGTAGCCATGGAGTACACTGTGCATATTTAAAACGTAAATAAATCTTACGATGACATATGAATGGGTAATTTTTGTTGTTTTCCTGCCCCAAGCTTGATGGTGAATATTTTAATTAATACAAATAATAAAGCTGTAGAGATCGAATGTCTGTACATAGAAAAAAATGCTAAAACCGAGTCAGGGGGATATAAGAAGAGAAATAGAACAAAGCCAGATTTTTTCCAATTTTTTTTGTCTTTTTGTCTGTTTGTACGGGCTAATCTCGGAAACTTAAACCGATTTAAATTAAATTTTGCATGGTGGTACCGTATATCCCTGTTAAACATTTTAGATACTTTTCATCCCAGAAAATTAAAGATTTCCGTGGGATAGTTAAAAAACTATAGTAAATTATACAGCTTAGTACACAAAAACTACTAATTTAATTTTAATGAAACTTTACAATAATATAGTTCATACATCAGAAAAACAAATAGGCTACTTTGTATCCCGGAAAAATGTACGGTTCCCGTGGGATAGATTTGTTTTTGTTTGTCTAGAGTTATTTATATGTTACATCATTTGGCCTGTCATTTTTTTATTTTTTAATAACCTGTAGATACGAATTACATTCAAATAATAATTTCAAAAGCCTTTTTTTTCTCAATAATAGCGAATTCAAGTGAATTCGCTTCGATCGAGTGCGTGCGACTATGTAAATGGATAAGAATAGTTATCACTGACTTTTTTGTAGACCTTTTCGAAACCTACAATTTGGTAGTACATTGTTTAGATGTATCTCTTAAGATAAACCGATAAAGCCTTTCTGTGGGATAATACTTTTACTACATATTTTCAAAAAACCTACAAACTCTATTAATATACCTATTAACAAATAATTATAACGGTTAGTATTATCAAGAAAACTGGGTAGGTACTTAGAAAAACTTGAAAGAGAAAATAACATTTTTTACTCGTAAGACAACTTTTTCACCTTTGCAAAATATTTTTCCATTTCAATTTTTAATATACTTACGAGTGTATCGTTTCTTCGAAGGACAGACAATATAAAAACATAGATGACATCAATCAGCCGATCAAAATTCGCATATCGTGGCTCGCATGCATTCGCATTAGACTCTTCCGTCGATTTAAAAACCAAGTGAATATTTAATAAATTAATTTAAGTAAATTGTAATGATAACTTATTTAGCATTGTGTTAAAACTGAGTAGTTTATAAGAATTTCTTTTTTGTGATCATGTGGTACTTTATACTGTTTTTGTTTGGCCTTCCTGCTTATATAGATGGTGAGTTTTATGTTGATAGTTATTCAACTAGTTGAATAAGGCAAAACAATTTAATATTTATTTTGCCGACACGTTTGGCTCTATTTGAAGTGACCCTACTTGCTGTGCCAGCTGTCGCGGGTTCGAAAGTTTGCACTCCAGTCATGGGTGTTTATAATTATAATATGTATGTATTTAAAGTTACATATTATGTGTAGTGTATCATTTATCCGGTATCTATAACACAAACCTCGTAGCTTGCCATGGAACTAGATGGTGCTGTGTATATTTTAGCTACGTGCAGTATTTACGATATTATAATAATGTACATTACTTTTAGCTTATTTTTTTGTATTCAGGCAACGTTATAGATGAAATGAAAGAAAGGATACAGCTCTGCTGTGATCATGGTACTGAGTTCGCCTATAATGGTACCGCAGAGGACTGTTCGTCTGTAAAGGTTCCCCCTGACCTTTTGAGCTTTGCTCAAGTATGTAGATATGCAAGCGAACAGTGCTGCCAGGAGTACAATATGTAAGTAAATGCTTTGTTGGACTAGTGGCCAGCATGTATGGCTGCAAAATCGTAAAGAAATAAAACTAATCCAATAGTATTGACACATAAATATATGTGGAGTAAAATAACTCTTAATAAATCTTTCTTAATTTTTATGTAATAATTAGCGACTCACTCTCGCTGCGCTCGGGTTCGTTTACTTACGTTTTAACGTTTAGCAAAGATTTCTCAGAGATGTCATATTTTCGCACAGTAAAAACATCCTATATGTTGATCCGGAGAACCATCTATCATCATACCTTTCATCAAAATTCCTCCAGTGGCTTCTCCGTGATGCGGTCGCAGACAAACAGACGGATAGCCAAAAATTCTAAAAATTATAGATTCGGCCTCTGCATCGATAATAAATAATAATGTCTATTTCAATAAGATTTTCAAAAAAAAATTAATGTACAGATTTGGTTTAGTTACAATTTTATTATATGTATAGTATAGTGTATATACAGGATGAAACCAATGAGAAATGGACTGGATATTTTTAAGTATGCAAGCTTTATAAAAAATATTTAAATTCATTCATCATTCATTTTTACCATTAAATATAAAAGAATGTTTTTTTTTTGGTGAATCTTGATATCTTCAATATTTAAGTTATTTTTTTTATTTCCCGTCCATTTCACTTTTTCCAATCTGTATAAGCGGACGCAATAAATATTATGCATTTCGTACATGAAGTACCTAATTCCTACAATTTACGCCAACCAAATGGTGTTAGTAGTAAGACTATAAAATAGAATAGAAATAAATTATTATTCTGGAATAGATAGCGCATACTAAGTATATTGCGATAAATAATAATAATCTATACATATAATAAAATTCTAACTGAGTCGAATCTGAACATTGAATTTTTTTTTGGAAATCTTATTGAAATAGTCATAATCTATACTAATATTATAAAGAGGTAAAGTTTGTGCGTGTTTGTGAGGTTGTAGGGGGTAATCTCTGGATCTAATGAACCGATTTATATGAAATTTGGTAAGAAGATACTTTGAAACCCTGGGAAGGACATAAGATACTTTTATCCCGGAAATCATCCCTTAAGGGGCTGAAAATGGGGATGAAAGTTTGTATGGGGAATCAACCTAGGCACTTACCCGAGCGAAGCGAGGGTGAGTCGCTAGTTATCGATACAGAGGCCGAATCTGTATTTTTTAGAATTTTTGTCCGTCTGTCTGTCTGTCTGTTTGTCTGGAAATGTTGATACGAGAAAACCACTGGATAGATTTTGATAAAATTTGATGACAGCTAACATATAGATAATTATAGGTACTTTTTACCGTAGGAGATTATCTCATCTCTGAGAAATCTATACTAACTAGTAGAGTTCGCGACGTGGAAAATTAGCGACTTTCCACGGTCAAGTTCCACGATTTAAGATTACAGTTTGCGTGCTATGGTTCTGAGTGGAAGACGGTCTCATTTACTAAACTTGCCTTCAGTTGAATGCAAGTCTTCCATCAGCTTCATTTCTATGCTCATCAGTGAAAAACGGATCTATAACATTTCAAATTCCTAAAAATACCATACCTATTCACAGAGTTGTTATTTTTATTTAAATAATATGAATTGCTTATTATTTTATAAATGAATTCAAATTGTGAGCAAGTTGCGATTAAACAATGGATCAAAAGGATTTCTATAAGAATTTTGTGCAACATACTAAGTAATAGCTTTTGGAATATCGAACAAAAATCCTAAACAAAGTTATTCGTGATATCTGTAAATGGAATGCCGTTATCAAACGGGTCCGGGTGGAGCCCTTTACTTTTATATTATTCTTATTAAATTCTAAGAACCCTATAGTAGGGGCGGCACTGCTCGCTAGTGTTCATGAATAAGTACTAAGTACTAACTAAGATACGATACCCCGCTTGGTAGACCACAGGGTGAGGGAAACGCTCAGAAGTATTAGAAGTTTACTGTTAACTTATATTACCATACCATTATTCGTATTATTTTCGATTAGGTTATTTCTAATGTATTTTTGATGCGTGATATGTATCAGAATAATTTTCCATTTAAATATACTTCTAAGAATCAAAAGTATTTAAGTCAAGCTTAAGTAAGTTAGTGATCGAAATAAATTCTTAAAATAAACACAAATTGTTCACAAAAATGCTATTTATTTAACAGAAAGACACATTTGAAAAATACATAAATTTATAGAGGTTAATAAAATGGTCTAATGTTATTTTTCTACTTACTACTTACCATATATATATATATATATATATATATATATATATATATATATAATATATATATATATATAATATATATATATATATATATATAATAGAAAGTATGATATATGTGTTATAAAATATGTATTATACGTTCATTCTTTCATAACCATTTATTCTCTTCATTGCCTAATCTCGCGACTGCGGCCTATTACTGTACCCGCATTCACCTGTGCCCAACCTTAGCACAGCACCTTATATGAGCAAACCGCAGAAACCTGGTCAAGGTACAGCCGGCCTAGGGAACGAATCTTGGCAATTGCTGAAAAAACAGTCATTTACGGGATTTAAACCCTCGCCTGACCGGTTCTAATATTCGAGGAGACTAAGATTTGTACCTTAGACCACTCGGCCATTAGATTGGCTACTTTTATTACATAGTATGTTAAAATTTTAATTTCATTATAAAAATCTTATATTACAAAGAAAAAAAACTGAAAAATTTAAACTTGTTTTGTACCAACAACATTTAAATCTTTCCATAAGTAAAATTAGTTTAAAGAAAAACACTGCCCTCGATTTATCTGAGGCGTTGCGCTCGTACTATCCGAGTGACGAAGGTTCAAAAAAGATGTGTCCGATGAAGGGTGAAGTAAGTAATTGAAGGTAGATCGCCCGTTACATTTGAAGTATATTAAACGTCACTTATGAAATAGTAATCACAAAGAGCTTTGTTGGTCCTGAGAATCTCCACTATTTTTGGGTAACGGAGTAAGAATGCCAGATGATACGGAGTCTGATATGCATAGTTAATAGCACTTATATTAACCCTCGGATTGGCAAAGCTTCGGCTAGTTTTTAGTTTTTTCGACAAACATCGATGTGAAGTAATAACAAAACTATTATAACTCTGTTCTTGAACTTAGTGAACTGTTTGAGGCAATGAAATTGTATGGTTAGTATAGTACTCTGTCCATTCCGCAAAATTATTACAATTTTAATTGAAATAATTGTATCAATTTGACTTATTAACAAATGTATATTTTAAAAATTATTTTTTATTTATTAGATGTTATTTATAATCGAATATTTTCAAAACAATTCTTTACAAACGACGAATGTATATCCATACCATTCCTTCCCCATCACCATCATTCTTGTTGTCGAGAATATAACAAGAAGCTAATACAATTTTTAAGCTTTCAGATTCACGGTGAATTTTAACAACAATCCTAATCCGTCTGTCGAATATAGGGACGTACATCTCGAACCTTACATTTGCTCTTACGACTTCAGTTCTCCGATCTTGTAATAAATTTCTGTAATCTTGATGTCTTCCAAGTTCTTCTAGAACTCTTCGTATCCAGTCGTAGTACTCTCTAATCGATAAAACATGTTTAGGAACACATCTGTGTTTAAAGTAATGATAAATTGCTGAGAATACGTCTCGAAAGTTCGAAGATAAATCACGAGTTATCAACAAAATCTCAGATATTTCGAAAGGCATCAACTCTGACTCGATGTCAAATCTTAGTCTCACAAATACGTCGACTATTCTACTGACAATATCTGCTAAGTTCATAATGCTCGAAACAATTGCAGCTTTGAGGTTCTCAGTTTCCTCCTTTGGAATAGAGCTATCATTTTCTCTCGATATCTCTTCACCCATTCTGAAAACCTCAGTTCGGTAGTCTATTTCTTCTTGAATATAAACCGCAACGAATTCTATCAAACTTAGGAAATTCGTGAATGATATATCTTCAGGAAAATGTTCTGAAAATATTCTAATTACTAATATTAGTACCTCGACTAAATTTCCACTTTTATATAATCTTTCGATTATTTTTGCCAAATAATTCTTTTGTGCTTTTGAAAGTTTTTGAAAAATCTGGGAAATGCGATTTCTTGTGTATGGTCTTTCGACACCGAAGATAACATTCAATATTTCTTCCAATAAATTCTTGAAAATAGCAAAGTAGTCAGGTTTATTCTTTTTAGAATGGTCATTATTATCTTCATTCTCTTGTGGTGGTTGAGAGGATCCAGAGTTACTATTAGGAGTACTACATTGTTTTACTTGTTCTCTAACTCGTTGTTGCAGTTGTTCTCTAGCACGTTGTTCCTGTTGTTCTCTAGCACGTTGTTCCTGTTGTTCTCTAGCTCGTTGTTCCTGTTGTTCTCTAGCTCGATGTTCCTGTTGTTCTCTAGCGCGTTGTTCCTGTTGTTCTCTAGCTCGTTGTTCCTGTTGTTCTCTAGCTCGTTGTTCCTGTTGTTCTCTAGCACGTCGTTCCTGTTGTTGCCTTTCCTCTCTCGCAAGCCGTTCTCTTTCTTCTCTCGCATGCCGTTCTCCTTCTTCTCTCTCGCGCCGTTCTCTTTCTTCTCTCTCACGCCGTTCTCTTTCTTCTCTCTCACGCCGTTCTCTTTCTTCTCTCTCACGCCGTTCTTCTTCTCTCTCGCGCCGTTCTCTTTCTTCTCTCTCACGCCGTTCTCTTTCTTCTCTCTCACACCGTTTTCTTTCTTCTCTCTCGCGCCGTTCTCTGTCACGTCTTTCTGTTTCTTCTCTATCACGTTTTTCTCTTGCTTCTTCTTGAGTTATTACATCAGCCCGCGCAAAAACATGAGTCGTCTTGAATGCAGTCATTGCAATGTTTTCCGCACCTTTCGCTACAGCTTTCTTTGAAACTAGACTCGCTGCACTTGGAACTACACTCATTCCTATACCACTCACTCCATCCAATACCACTTGTAATCCTGTACTTCCTATCGCACCAGTTGGATTTTTCCCTTCATTTAGATCTTTTACTATATTTGTACACCCTTTGAGCAATCCTTGAGGTTTACGCATGGCTACAGAAGCAACACCGTCTGTAATGGCACCACCATACATAGCAGCTAATGCAGCTCCTCCAGGTCCAGCAGTAGCACCAGCTCCTAAAACTACAGCAGTCCTGGTGGCTTGGTACATGGCCTTGTTCCCACCTTCAGTATCTCCAGTTGCATAATGAATGATTGCCTTGACATGACCGACCCCGGGTATAGAATCGGCTAAATTAGAACAGAAATCCATTTTTTTGTTTTAAAATTGACTTTACTTTGACCACCAGGTATGGGATTCTGGTACTTCGTTAGCACCGGCGCTTTCTTTGTCACTTGAGTCCTCGTCAGAATCTGTCATATCATGCCACTTGTCTATAATATCGTCGAGTATCTCGACGCTTTCTTCAATATTTACTTTCCGGAACTTATCAGCTAAATTTGAATTCCCAACTGGAAACTGCGAGTAGTTATCAATCAGGAACTGAACTGCTGATCTCTTCTTAAGAACAGAATTGCTCAGTCTAGTTCGGTAGACGTTGGCTGTGCTCTCGATGTTGATTAGCAAATATCCTATGGTGTCAGCTAATAAATTTCCGATGGTTCTCTTTTCTTCAGTGGTGAAGCTTTCTTTTCTCAGACCAATTTGGTATATTAGGTTAAACACGTTCTCAGCTTTGTACTTGTTCAAACGCACTTGATCTTTAGAAGTATCAGTGTAGTCAATAGTCTTCACCTCTTGTAGACAATCTACTAACTTCCTTATCAAAGACATCTGCAAAAAGTTCATCGGATAGTTAATTTTCTTGAATATTCATCAATGATAATACTTAATATTTTTTATAAAAAAATTAAAAGATGATATAAAACTATAAGATTAAGATAATTGAAGAATTCATATTTATCTTCTATCTTATCGATACATATAATAAAATTGTAACTAAGCCGAATCTGTACATAACATATTTTTTGGAAAATCTTATCGCAATAGACATTGTAATAATGTCAATACAGAGGCGAAATCTATAGTTTTTTGAATTTTTGTCTGTCTGTATGTCTGTTTGTCTGTTTATCTATCTGTCTGCCTGTATGTCTGTTACCGGATCACAGAAAAACTACTAAAGAGATTTTGATGAAATTTGGTATGGTCATACCTGGTTATCCAGGTGAAGATATAGGATACATTTTACCGCGATAAAATATCTCATTTCTGAGAGAAAAAAATACAAAAATTGCTTATAATAAAACTACGATGATAGTATAAACATTTTAGCTATGTGACTTACTAAATATGGCAAAAACGAAAAATAAAGAAAAAAATCAATAGCGCTATTTTACTCATCAAGAAAGTTATTTTAATGAATATTTATTTATGTGTTATTTATATATTCATCAGTAGATGTCGCCGTGTGTTTTTAAAATACGTAGTTTTAATTCCAAAATTTGAACGTACAGATAAGACCTACGAGCATCTATGATTATAATAGAATTACTACTAAATTACCCGCGGCCTCACCCGTTTTCAAATTATTAATAAAACGAAGTTTTTGGCTTTATAAATTAGTAAGATATTCGTAACATTTTGTTGGACGAAATAATTTTCAAATGAAAATATTTGTTTTTTTTTTTATTATTTAGTAAATAATCTTAATGTTTATATATTAAATATTGGGCAAATGCAAGTCCAAATCGCTCAGTATAGGTTCCGTATAGCAAAATAATGTGTTGTTTTACTTACGTATTTTGTTAGGTTAACACTAAAATAAATACGAATGACATTTACGTGTCCACAATATCGAATTATTTTATCAATCGTAGAAATAAGTTCGTTTCATATTATTTTCCAACCGACTTCTTTAAAAAGGAAGAGGTTCTCAATTCGGCTGTATTTTTTTATGTTTGTTACCTACTAAACTCCGTGTTTGAAAGTTTATACTCCTATATTGGTCCCATTTAAATTTAACCTTTAACCTACTTCTAATTGTCATATTGACTTGAAACTTTGCGAGTGTTTTTATTTCCGTTGATAGTGCAGTGTTTCGGTATCGTTGACCTAATCTGATGGTAAGCTTAAGCAAATATTTTATTATAATATTTTTTTACTTTGCTAGTACTATGTCTACACTAAAAAGGGACAAAAAAAACTTAAAAATAATAAATAAAAACCAACTTCAAAAAAATCAAATGATAATTTACATATATTAATCAATTAAGTAATTGCTCATAAGCTAACAACAAGTTGATTGTAACTAAATAGGTTATCACAACATACAATATCATTTCAAATAATATTAAAGATTTTTAAAATAATTTAATTTCAGATTATAAAATTATTAGTTAAAAAATGATAAGTTAATAAATAGTCACTAACCAAAAATTGAAGTTAAATTAAATATAATAATCAAATAAGTTATAAATATAATCTGTTAAAATACAATGTTAAAAATTATTAATTAAGTAAGAGTCCCTAATTATAATTTCAAATTATAAGTAAGCATGTATAGAATAAATAATAATAATTATTATTATTTCTTTTGCAATATTCCACGCAAAATATTATGTACGATAATTTCGCACGCTCGGATATAAGAATCATGGTCAAGCGGCCAAGGTGCAAGATCAACAATCACAGGTATCCATATTCGAATATCGGTAGCATTCAAAGTTTTACTTTTATTTTTAATATATATTCAAGTTTTTAGTTTTTTTAAAAAAAGACGCAAGATTGACAATCATAGGTGTGGGTTCGAATTCCGGTCGGATACAAAGATATAATTTATTTTTGTTTTTTTTTGTATTTATTCAAGTTTTTAGTTTTTTTTTAAAAGAAAATTGTACGTCTTAACCTAAAATTATTATTATTATTATTAAAGCTCGGTGGCCCAGGTACTATTTTATAATAAGTCAAATCAAAAAATTGTAATCCGTCTATCGAATATATGAACGTACATTACAAACCTTGTATTTGCTCTTACGACTTCAGTGCTCCGATCTTATAACAATTTTCTGTAATCATGATGTCTTCCAAGTTCTTCCAGAACTCTTTGTATCCAGTCGTAGTACCCTCTAACCGACAAAACACCGTCATCAAGAACACATCTGTGTTAAAACACACTTAAAAGTAATGATAAATTGCTGAGAATATGTATCGAAAGTTCGAAGATAAATCACGAGTCAAGATAAATCACCAACAAAATCTCAGATATTTCGAAATGCATCATCTCTGACTCGATGTCAAATCTTAGTCTCACAAAATATATGTCGATTATTCTACTGACAATATCTTCTAAGTTCATAATGCTCGAAACAATTACAACTCTTAGATTCTCAAATTTTTCGTTTGGAATAGAGCTATCATCTTCACTCGATATCTCCTCATCCATTCTGAAAACCTCAGTTCGGTAGTCTATTTCTTCTTGAATATAAACCGCAACGAATTCTATCAAACTTAGGAAATTCGTGAATGATATATCTTCAGGGAAATGTTCTGAAAATATTCTAATTACTAATATTAGTACCTCGACTAAAATTGCGCTATTATATAATTTTTCGATTATTTTCCCAAATAATCCTTTTGTGCTTTTAAAAGTCCTCGAAAAATCTGAAAAATGCAAACTCTTGTGTATGTTCTTTCGACACCGAAGATAACATCTAATATTTCTTCCAACAAATTCTTGAAATTAGCAAAGTAGTTAGGTTTATTCTTTCTAGATTGGTTATTATAATTTCTATTCCGTTGTGATTGTTGAGAGGCTCCAAAGTTACTATTAGGAGTACACTACATTGGTCTACTTGTTCTCTAACTCGTTGTTGCAGTTGTTCTCTAACACGTTGTTACTGTTGTTCTCTAGCTCGTTGTTCCTGTTGTTCTCTAGCTCGTTGTACCTGGTGTTCTCTAGCACGTTGTCCCGGTTGTTCTCTATCTCTTTGTTCCTGTTGTTCTCTATCTCGTTGTTCCTGTTGTTATTTAGATCGTTGTTCTTGTTGTTCTCTAACACGTTGTCCCTGTTATTCTCTAACACGTTGTTCCTGTTGTTCTCCAACACGTTGTTTTTGTTGTTCTCTAGCTCGTTGTTCCTGTTGTTCTTTAACACGTTGTTCCTGTTGTTCTCTAGTTCGTTGTACCTGGTGTTCTCTAGCACGTTGTTCCTATTTTTATTTAGATCGTTGTTCTTGTTCTTCTCTAACTCGTTGTCCTTGTTGTTCTCTAACACGTTATTCCTGTTGTTCTCTAACACGTTGTTTCTTTTGTTCTCTAGCTCGTTGTTTCTATTGTTTTTCAACACGGTGTTCCTGTTGTTCTCTAGCTCGTTGTTCCTGTTGATCTCTAGCTCGTTGTTACTGTTATTCTCTAGCTCGTTGTTACTGTTGTTCTCTAGCACGTCGTTCTTGTTCTTGTCGTTTTTCTCTCGCAAGCCGTTCTCATTCTTCTCTCGCATGCCGTTATCTTTCTTCTCTTTCACGCCATTCTCTTTCTTCTCTCGCATGCCGTTCTCTTTCTTCACTCTCACGTCGTTCTCTGTCACGTCTTCGTCTTCATCAGTTATCTTTACCATCATCAAAATCATCTCTAGCTCGTTTACTCTTTTTTCTTCCTTAGTTCTTTCATCAGCTTGCATACAAATATGAGCAGATACCAAAGCAAACTCTGCTTGAACCGCGACATATTCTATAACCTTCTTTACTGCCTTTTCCGTAACAGTCTTCTTCACCGTCTTTACAACTTCTTCTCCCTTTATCTTCACAGTTTTCTGAATGACCTTTTCTCCAACAATCTTGACTGCAGTCTTCGCAAAGTTTTCCACACCTTTCGCTATAGCTTTCCCTGAAACTTGACTCGCTGCACTAGAAACGCCACCAATTCCAAAACCACCTATTCCATCTATTCCCACTTGAAATCCTGTTCTTGCTATTGAACCTATTGGATTTTTTCCTTTATTTAGATCTTCTGCTATATTTTTGAACCCTTTGACCAATCCTTGTGGTTTATCCATGGCTACAGAAGCGACACCGTCTATAATTGCACCAGCATACATAGCAGCTACTACAGCTCCTCCAGGACCCGCGAGAGATCCAACAGCACCAGCTCCTAAGACTGCAGTAGTTCTGGTGGCTTGGTACATGGCATTGGTGCCGTCTTCAGTATCTCCAGCTGCGTAATGGATGACTCCCTTGACATGTCCAACCACGGGAATAGAATCGGCTAAATTAGAAAGGAAATTCATTTTTTTATTTTAAAATTGACTTTATTTCGACCACCATATATGGGATTCTGGTACTTGGTTAGCACCGGCGTTTTTCTGTCACTTAAGCCCTCGTCAGAATCTATCATATCATGCCACTTGTTAATAATATGGTCAAGTATCTTAGGCTTCCCGGTTTAAAGAGCTAATCAGCCAAGTTCAAATTCCCAGCTAGAAACTGAGAGCAGTTATCAATCAGGAACTGAACTGCTGATTTCTTGTTGAGAACAGAATTGCTCAGTCTTGTTCGGTAGACGTTGGCCGTACTCTCGATGTTGATTTGCAAATATCCTATGGTGTCAGCTAATAAATTTCTGATGTTTCCCTTTTCTCCAGAGGTAAAGCTTTCTTTTTTCAGACCAATGTGGTATATTATGTTAAACGCGTTCTCAGCTTTGTACTTATTCGAACGTACTTGAGCTTTAGAAGTATCGGTGTAGTCAATAGTGTTCACCTCTTGTAGACAATCTACTAATTTTCTTATCAAAAACATCTGCAAAAAGTTCATCGGATAGTCAATTTTCTTAAACCTCACCAATGATAATACTTAATATTTTTTATAAAAAGTTAAAAGATTATATAAAGTCATAAGATTAAGATAATTGAAGAATTATAAGAAAAATAGATATAATAAAATAGTAACCAAGCCGAATCTGTACATTAATTAATATTTTATGAAATAGACATTAAGAATAATAATGTTCTCCTGACCACGGCGGCCAATCTCATTGAGACTAGCCAACTGCGCAGGGGATATTATAGTGCACAAGTGTACGCGCAGACACAAGTGCACTCTCTATTCCTGTCACTCTCATACTCCAGTGGGACGACTACTTGACATGACCGGTGAGAGTTAAGGCGCAGGACCGACGGCTTTACATGTTCGTCAAGGCATGGAAGTGAAACACCGCCAACTTCCCAACTCGGGGCTGTTACTGAGGCTTACTATACGGAAAGACTCAATAACTAAACTTGGCCTTGAACCCAGGACCTCCGGGTGTGAAGCCGTACATGCTATCCACTACACTACCGAGGTAGCTAATAGACATTATTACCGATACAGTCTGTCTTTGCTTTGTATGGGCTGGCACCGATTTCGAAAATATTTGATTAGATATGTATTTAATAGGTAGGCTTTAATTACTGAGCCAAAGCACACCGACTTCGAAAATATTTGATTAGGTATGTATAGTAAATGAAAACTACCAATCAGTTATTTTTTACTTTTTAGTGCTTTTGTTTGAAGTCGGTTTTTTATTTTTTTGTTAAAAAGTTTTTATTTTTCCCTTTTTAGTGTAGACAGTAGTAGCAAAGTAAGGATTCTAACGTGTTAGGCTTGTCAAATCAAACAAAATAAGCCCATACTCAAAGTATCTACTATTAGCCGTTAAAGAGTTCCACCTATCCACCTTCTGGCCTTGCCATCAGATCAGGTCAACAACACCGAACCACTGTACTATCATCGGAAATAGAAATACTTGCAAAGTTTCAAGTCAATATGACAATTAGAAGTAGGTTAAATTCATCATTAGTTGTTTTTCCACCCTTAGGGGTGGTATTTTTTTTGAAATTTAAATGGGACCAATCTATAAGTATACCCTTTCAAACAAAACAAAAATTGTCCAAATCGGTTAATAAATGACGGAGTTCTGAGGTAACAAACATAAAAAAAAAACATACAGTCGAATTGAGAACCTCCTCCTTTTTGAAGTCGGTTGAAAATTGGGCAAATGCAAGTCCAAATCGCGCAGTATAGGTTCCGTATAGCAAATTAATGTGTTGTTTTACTTACTTACGTATTTTGTTAGGTTAAAACTAAAATAATTATTTTATCAATCGTAAAACTAAGTTCGTTTCATATTATTTTCCAAACGAAACTTCTTCAAAAAGGAGGAGATTCTCAATTCTGCTGTATTTTTTTATGTTTGTTACCTACTAAACTCCGTGTTTGAAAGTGTATACTTCAATATTGGTCCCATTTAAATTTAACCTTTAACCTACTTCTAATAGTCATATTGACTTGAAACTTTGCGAGTGTTTCTATTTCCGTTGATAGTGCAGTGTTTCGGTATCGTTGACCTGATCTGATGGTAAGGCTATAAAGTGAATAGGTGGAACTCTCAAAGGCTAATAGTAGATACTTTCAGTTTGGGCTTATTTTGTTTGATTTGACAATCCCAATACGTTAGAATCGGATTTTAGAACCAGAATTTTTAGTGTTACTAATAAAAGCGAATTTTAGTTTGTCAATCTTCTAATATCTAAAATTTCCATGTCACAATGTTTGTTACCGTACTCCTCCGAAACGGCTTTACCGATTTTTACCAAATTTTATATGCGTATTCAGTAGGTCTGAGAATCGGCTACTATCTATTTTCCATACCCCTAAGTGATAAGGGTGGCCCACGTCAGGGACGAACCCGAGCGGAGCGAGGGTGAGTTGCTAGTCTTCATATAAAAATTGCCATCAAACTAACTTCAACGGCTTAAGCAAATATTTTACTATAATATTTTCTTACTTTGCTACTTCTATATTTACACTATAAAGGAACAAAAAAAACTTTAAAAAATAAAATAAAAACCAACTTCAAAAAAACACTAAAAAGTAAAAGTCGGTTTTTATTTAATTTTTTTAAGTTTTTACTAACATTTTATTTAAAACAAGTTTATTTTTGTTAAACTGACAAAACGGGTAACTAAAAATATGCTATATCTCAAAAACTATAGAACTAATATTTTGCAAGATAACTTTCGATAAAAGTATTTTAATAACTTTTGTACCTCAACTTTTTCAGATTTTTTGACACAATTCCTTGAAAGGAACTTTCCTAAAAGGACGCAATAAAATGCTTACAACTTTTATCATATTGGTCGAGTAATATGAAAAAATAACATTAACCGATCCCAGTTTCGCGAAAAATTGACATTAAAAAAGTTATTATTATGTAATTTAAATAATTATCAAAATATAAATTAATCAATAGCTGTCTATTATTAAATAAATGATTAAAATTAATTCAGTAGTTTGGCAGTTTATCGCCCAAAACTTAGCAAACAAACAAACAGAAGTATAGATATACTATAAATGTTGTTGTTAAAACAAAAAGTGCAATATTACTAAATCAAATAGGTATGAGATTAACAGAGGCAACTTTGTGGCATTGTCAATCACCGTTATTATTTACCAATCATGCGATGCGCAATGAAATTGCTATATGTATATTGTATACTCTTAGTATACTAATATGTAAAACTTAAGAATTTAGTTTTTGGTCATCGGAACGCGAGCGGAGCCGCAGGCAATGCTAGTTTTTAAAATAAAATGAAAAATTGTGTCAGATGATATTTATATTACATTTTTTTACAATTGAATGACTAAAATAACAATGAAATTCAAGTTTTACATGATTTTTGCATGAAATATGCCAGAAATCAAAATATTAAAGCGCATCATCAGTAATAAATAAATTAATGTAACAGTAATCTTGAGAAGATAATGTAATGAAGAAGTGTATAATTTTACTTACCGGAATTAGTCAACTTAATGTTAATTTCGTCACACTTTTTCAAAGAATGCAAAATATTAATATTATATTACTGCTTTGAATCTCGACTACACAGTGCTCAACTGCAACCGCCTTGGCTCTATATATCTATGAAACGCCGGTATTTACAGTGAGTCATAACACAGAAATATGTTGTTGAGTATACGATAAACTAATCTTGGATATATAAACATTTATAAGGAAAACTAATATGATTTCAGCGATCGTAACTCAAATATCCAGTACCGAGGTATCTTAAAACATCTTATAATATCATCATCATATTCTGTAAATAAATTTTCATTTTCCACTAGGTACCTGTATTTTTTACACATTTTTCTACTCCATCTTTCCAAAGTTAAAGGAAGAGAGTACAATGATCCAATCGCATACAATGTTTACGGCTTTAGAATCATATAACACGGTTAATCTGAGTGTTTTAACTACTAACATTTTAATAGGCATAAGGCATAAGGCATAAATAAATCTTTATTTCGGAACACTTTCCCATACAATTTGAAAAGTAGGTAAATGGAACTAAAATTAAATTATAAACGAAATAAAATAAATACATAGGTTTCCTACATTAAGAACAAAAAATAAAATTAAACATTTAAACTAAAACATAATAAGAAAAAATCATACTATCATACATACAGACATTAGGCCTTAAAGAGTATAATTTTAACCTGGTCTGTACATGCAGCAAATCTACATCATCATTACCAATGCTCTAGGTTCCCTCTCTAGGTCGTCCTCATTTGTTGATATTTCATTTACTACATGTCCAAGATATTTAAATTTTATAACACGATCAAGCTTAACATTATTTAGAACAACGTCAGGTACATAGCCAGATCTATTTTTATATTTAAATACCATAGTAACTGATTTTTTACTATTGTAAACTAAACCATGACTTTTAATATATTTATCACAAATAAAAAGGAGCCTCTGCAAACATCTAATTGATGGATGTAGTATAGGATGTCACTATATATATATATATAATAGAAAGTATAATATATGTAATCTTTTCATTGCCTAATCTCGCGACTGCGGGGAGTTGCTTAAATTCTGCGTCCCGTTGTAGTTCCCATTGGGTCCGTCGGATAAAATGGTCGCCACAGGTCCTGAATCTGGTTTCGAAGTAGTCTTCTTACCGCCAAAGGGAGGTAAAATCAATTTATAATTAAAATACTATTTGAATTAAAAAAAACTGGTAAATTTATCAATTTTACTGACCAGCTCATCCAATAATTATCATAAGTCAGACACGCACCTTGACCCTCGCAAGTCTTGTGCCATGGGATACAAATATCATTAATCAGAGGCCCGAAGATTATTGGCGCTGTAATAGTTCTTAAAATTCTAATCTTAATCCACTGGATTACTAGAGTGAAAGATCTCTGCTCGTCTCTTTTTTTTTCTCTTTATTTAAAGGAGCTTTATCACTCAGTGATTATGTCACCCCCGTAATAAAAATTACACATTTTATTAACACATTCTTAAATTACTATTTACACTATAAACTTAATCATTACGTTATATGGCAAATAGCAATGTACAAAGCATCCTTGCTTGCTCCGATAAGGGGCAAGCCAAGATACTGTTCCACAGACCTAATTCATAATTTTTAATAAAAAAATGTCGACGTTCATCCGAGTTCCGTTCATATACCATCAAAACATGTTGTATATCATCCATGGTTCCACATATTTCACAATTTGGAGATTCCGATAAACCCATTAGATATGTAAATTTGTTTAAAGAAATATGAACCGATCTCAACCTCAATAAAGCGACCACATATCTTCTTCCTATTTTGTCAAACCACGGGTGACGAAGAGGCTCACTCTGCAACGTTCTATACCAAATACCTTTTGTAAGTAAGTAAGTAAGTAAGTAAGTAAGCTCATCAAAATATTCATGCCATGTTTGTTTGCATAATAACTTCACGTTCACGAGAAAGTCTGAAGGTAAAGGTAAACAGGTATAAGGTGTACCGTCATATGCTGTTTGACGAGCGGCGCAGTCAGCCTCCTCGTTTCCCATAATCCGTATATGCGAAGGTATCCACTGAATAACAACATTTTTATTCGTTTCACGTAGTCTACAAATTTCGTCTATAATAATCATGGCTAACGGGATGCCTCGACAACTCGAGGGTATCTGAGCTAAATATTGGAGGCTGCATTTTGAGTCTGTAAAAATAGCAAAATTTCCTGCTTCTATATTAATTAAATATGAGAGTGCCTCAGCAATAGCTATAAGTTCACCATTCATGATAGAAATATTAACATTGATTTTAAATTTTTTTGAAATATTTTTTTGAGGATCATAGGAAGTAGCCCCCATGCATGTTTTATGTCTAGACCCACCTGTATACAATTTATAGTGTGAACAGTATTTATTATTCATAAATTCCAAACATAACCTTCTAAGTTCCATGACATGAGTTAGTCTTTTAGCAGTTAGTATTCCAGGGACTTCATTATATAGTACAGTTGATAAATCAATATTATTAGGCCACGTACTTAAGCTAAATACATTTGGAATATGATTTGAATACATATCTACTTGTCTATACGTTCTGTGTACATTTACTAGCAATGGTTTGTTTTTATTTCTCCAGTAACCTCCTTGACATAGGTCAGACAGTTCCTCTAAAATAGTGATAGTTACATTGTTACTTATAGTTTTAGATCTTAAATAAAATCTCTCCGCAAGAAATCGTCTTCGAATTGATAGAGGTTGGATACACAGCTCACTCTCCATTACATAGATTGGAGTGCTTTTAATAAATCCGACCACTCTCATTGCTTGATTCTGCACTCGATCTAACTTAATTAACTGATTCTCGGCACTTGAGTGATATAAAAAACTACCATAATCAATCCTTCTACGAATGATGCTTATATATGTATAGTCTACGGAGATGTTTAGGATGAACCCCCCAACTAGATCCTGCTAGAATTTTGAAAAGGTTAAAATATTTATTGACTTTATCCCGGATTTCGCTAATATGCTTAGTCCATTTAAGTGAACAATCTAACCACATGTCATGGTATTTTATACAATTAACTTGTTCAATCAACTTATCATTTATATTTAAATAGACGGTTCTCCTAGTTCTACACCTGCCGAATACATATAGGTACCTTTGTTTTTTTGTCTGAGTTGGTTAAACCGAGTTCAGAAATTATTGCCTGAAAATTGTTAAGAGCATTTTGTATAAGTGTAACAGAATCCATTAATCTTTTTTGAGTAGAATATATAATAAAGTCGTCCGCGTATTAAGAAATAAATACTTCTTTGATATTTTTGCTCGTCTCTGACAACTCAAAGTCGTGTTATAAAACGCCAGACAGATTAATAGTAGGGGAGCCCAAGAGGGGATTTTCTGTAGTTACTCGAGCGCGGCAGATTAACATAAAAGAGGTTACCTTGCACTTTATTGAGTACTTTCACCATAATATAAGTCTTCTATATAAAGGGGCGCGTCTAGGAAAGCCGATTAAAATATTTAAAAAATGTTTTGATAAGGTAGAAATACTTGAAACCGTCAGATTAAGGTGTGGTAGGCTAGTCACATCCTGAAAAGTGTCCAATTTAATAATCTGCCGATTTGCACAAGCCTAAGAGGTAAAAATCATCATAAACTTTATAGTCGATTTTTGCCTCTTCGGCTTGTGCAAATCGGCAGATTATTGAATTGGACACTTTTCAGGATGTGACTAGCCTACCACACCTTAATCTGACGGTTTCAAGTATTTTTACCTTATCAAAACATTTTTTAAATATTTGAATTGGCTTCCCTAGACGCGCCCCCTTTATATAGAAGACTTATATTGTGGTGAAAGTACTCAATAGAGTGCAAGGTAACCTCTTTTATGTTAATCTGCCGCGCTCGAGTAACTACAGAAAATCCTCTCTTGGGCTCCCCTACTATAATAATCATAAATTTATGCAACTGCTGGTGCAGGTTGTGTTGATAGCTTCATAAGAAACAGTTTCGCGAGTCGTCCAGTTTGATGTCTGGCTTCTGATACATGTGCAGTTTTGATAAACCTAAAAAAAATAGTTTTTACTTCTGCTCTTAGTCAGTTGCGTGACAATGTGTGTGTGTGTGTTACATTTGTTGTCTAATAGTAAACGTTAAAACGTAACTAGGGACGAACCCGAGCAGAGCGAGAGTGAGTCGCTAGTTTAGAATAAAATCTTATTTTGAAATAGCAACGAAGGCTTCGGAAATACTGTTTACGGGTATTGTATGTATATATGTATATATATATATATATATATATATTATATATATATATATATATATATATATATTTACTTGTAGACTTAGGTATATTTTGTTTTCAGAAAAAAAACTCACTGTGAAAATGGAATACAGTTAACAAAAACTTCACAACTCATCATGTCACTTAAAGAAAATCTTGAAAGGGTAATCCTGTGGTATAATTTACCTTTTGAAAAACACTTAAGCAAAGCAATTTCCTTTAGACTTAGAAACTATTAGTCTCTTTGACAAGTTAACTTTTTACCTGATTACGTGACCCATAGGAGGCTAATGAGTTTCTCAGCCTATGCATGTATGTATGTATGTATGTTTGTTTGCTCCTTTGTACCAGCTCTCTAGAGACCAAACCCGTGGATCGATTTTTATGATTCTTACGTCGCGTCGTTAGATTCATTTTGATAACGCGAATGTCAAAGGGTGTATAGATATAATAAAAAATCAAAATAGCGGATCCTAGGCGCCAATCTGTGTGTCTCGAAAAACTGATTTTTTTTTCGTCCGAATCAATCGAGTGGGGTATCAAAATACAAAGTTTTAAGAGACTATGGGTATGCAACTTCTATATTTAAGAATAATTTAGGATAAGAAATTGTTAAATAAAACTAAAAATGTCGAAAACTAAAAAACTGCAAATAAAAAAATATTTACAAAAATGTAAACTCGACTGTGCAAAAATATGAAAACGAGTTGACTAAGAAACATTATGCAGCATAATAGGTTTCTTAGGCAACTTATTTTCATCTATTATTTCGCTTATTTCGTAAATTCCCGATGTGTACTATTGCAAGCGCTATGGTAAACAATGGTCGTAGCAAATGCCGTTCTAAATAAAACTATTTTTTCGGATTTTGTCGCGGATTTATTTGTATTTTTGTTTCCCGACGTTTCGAATGCTTTACAGCATCCATGGTCACGGGAGAGACTGAGGTGTTACATGTCTTAAAGATATAGTTGTTACAGACAGCCTACCCACAATTAACAAAATGAAAATTGCACCAATTACATTACAATATTTTAACTTTAAATATTTATTTAATTTTTGCTATTATTTTTATAATTATTACAATTTTAAAAATATATTAATTAGCAATCTATATTTAGTGTTGCCATTATTATATTTATAACCATAAGAAAAATATAAAATATAGTATTAATTATTTAAGCCACAATTGATCTATGTGTAATTTGAAAAAGTTAAGATTAATTAAAAAATAATAATTTTAATTTAAATTTGCTATTATTTAAAAAACAAATTATTAAGCAACACATTACTACATACATTTACAAATGAAAAAGTGAAAAAATATTATTAATCAGAAATGCTATCATTTTGATCTACACAGTAAGAACTTACTACATCTACCTGTCTGTTATGTTTAGATTTATTATTAGATTTTATTATATTAATAACAGGATCCCATGACGATGGTAGTACCCAGCCATCTTCCCTATTGAAATTAGGATGTTTTTTAATTTCTATGGCTTCTCGAATCATTCTAGGGCGATATCGGTTTTCTTTCGCCAGGATTTGAGGCCTATCGAAGCGAATATAATGGCTTGGGCGGTCCTGACTGTGTTTGCAGACAGCAGATGTTGTATTGCGACGGTGCTTCACATCAGCTATGTGTTCTTTGACCCGGGTTCTAATGGATCTCTTTGTTTGTCCGATGTAAGAGAGCCTTCGAGGAGACCGCCCTAAACACATCACCTGTGACCCCTCGTTTCTACAAGCGGTATGTAGATGACACTTTCACAATATTACCATCTGATAAAATATCTGTATTCTTAGAACATCTTAACTCCATAAACCCTAAAATACAATTTACAATGGAATTGGAGTCTAATAATTCTTTAGCTTTCTTAGATGTTTTAGTCATACGTAACCCAGATAACACCTTGAGTCATACTGTGTATCGAAAGAAGACCCATACTGATAGGTACTTGAATGGTGAATCTCACCACCCCCCTTCACAGTTAGCTACCGTGGGAAAATCTTTGTTTCAGAGGGCACGCGGGATCTGTGACAAGCAACACCTGGCCGGAGAACTGCAACATGTCAAGCAAGTTCTGCGAGACAACAAGCTGCAAGTGCCGCGCCTACGTCACAGGGACCGAGTGAAACCAGCCACAGTCGAGCGCGTCCCTACAGTCCTACCTTACATGAGAGGCGTCACTGACAAGATTGGCTACATTCTAAAGCGAGCTTCAATTAAAACTTACTTCAAGCCGCCAAAGAAAATTAGTCAGTTTCTACCACCTGTCAAGTGCCACATCCCTCTACAAGATGCAGGAGTTTACAAGCTTGATTGTGATTGTGGGCTCTCTTACATCGGACAAACAAAGAGATCCATTAGAACCCGGGTCAAAGAACACATAGCTGATGTGAAGCACCGTCGCAATACAACATCTGCTGTCTGCAAACACAGTCAGGACCGCCCAAGCCATTATATTCGCTTCGATAGGCCTCAAATCCTGGCGAAAGAAAACCGATATCGCCCTAGAATGATTCGAGAAGCCATAGAAATTAAAAAACATCCTAATTTCAATAGGGAAGATGGCTGGGTACTACCATCGTCATGGGATCCTGTTATTAATATAATAAAATCTAATAATAAATCTAAACATAACAGACAGGTAGATGTAGTAAGTTCTTACTGTGTAGATCAAAATGATAGCATTTCTGATTAATAATATTTTTTCACTTTTTCATTTGTAAATGTATGTAGTAATGTGTTGCTTAATAATTTGTTTTTTAAATAATAGCAAATTTAAATTAAAATTATTATTTTTTAATTAATCTTAACTTTTTCAAATTACACATAGATCAATTGTGGCTTAAATAATTAATACTATATTTTATATTTTTCTTATGGTTATAAATATAATAATGGCAACACTAAATATAGATTGCTAATTAATATATTTTTAAAATTGTAATAATTATAAAAATAATAGCAAAAATTAAATAAATAATTTTCCATATTCAATTATAATTAAAATTATAAAAATATTTAAAGTTAAAATATTGTAATGTAATTGGTGCAATTTTCATTTTGTTAATTGTGGGTAGGCTGTCTGTAACAACTATATCTTTAAGACATGTAACACCTCAGTCTCTCCCGTGACCATGGATGCTGTAAAGCATTCGAAACGTCGGGAAACAAAAATACAAATAAATCCGCGACAAAATCCGAAAAAATAGTTTTATTTAAAATGTCAAATATTCGCGTAAATCTAAGAAAGTATTAAATGCCGTTCTGTCATTATACATCTCAATCCAATAATGAGGTGGGATGGGTCAAGAAGGAGCCTAGAAGATACTGAGTTTTGGCTCAGTTTTCTTGAACCTGAAAAGCCTTGTTAGCCTAGGGACGTACCCAAGTCACTAATATTTAAATAAATCTGTCTAACTTTAAAATAAAAATCGATGTCGATAGTCATTTTGCTGGAGAGTTCATTTTTTTCTAATATTAATAATTATATTTTTTTTATTTTGTCTACAGAATTGCTTTGATCAGTGCAATTTAGGGGTAAAATTGGGTAAGTCGAATGGAATCGCTTCCTGCAAAGTGACTGTTCAAAGAAAAAGTGCAGAGCATTTGTTATTTAACTACGCCTTTACCAAGTGTTGCAAGGTATTGTAGAATAGAACTTTATTTATGATATAAGTCGCGTACAGATAACACAAGCAATAAGTGATACTAAAATTCTGTATTGCAATTACATGAAACTTCTGTATGCCTACTGACTGCCTCGATGGTGTAGTAGCTAGCATGTACGGCTGCACACTCGGAGGTCCTGGGTTCGAGTCCCGGGTCGGGCCAAGTTTAGTTATTGAGTCTTTCTGTATAGTCAGTCTTAGTAACAGCCCGGAGTTGGGAAGTTGGCGGTGTTTCACCCCCGTGCCTCGGAGAGCACGTAAAGCCGTCGATCCTGCGCCTTAACTCTCACTGGTCGTATCGAGTGATCGTCCCACCGGAGTATGAGAGTGACAAGAATAGAGAGTGCACTTCTGTCTGTGCGTACACTTGTGCACTATAATATCTCCTGCGCAGATGGCTAGTCTCAATGAGATTGGCCGCCGTAGCCGGAATCAGCTAGGAGAACATCATCATCATGCCTACTGAAGAAGTTTCAAGTAATTCCAATACAGTATTACTAATATTGCTGATATACATATGAATTTATGAATTTGACTATATGAAACAAACACAACGCACTATTTGAAAACACACAAACACACATCGCAGGAACACATTCATACACACAGACACATGAATATTTAAAAAAATACTCTTGAAATTGTTTAAATTGTAGGCAGCTGTAGCTACAGATGCTCACGACAATTCAAACAAATCAGCAGAAAAAGGTTTCACTCTTGATACTCCTCCTCCTCGTAAGTAAAAAATATTATAATTTAAAGCATGTCACATTTAATAAATGTAGTGTATAAGAAACAATGTGATCATTCATTTATACTTTTAATTCCACATTAAAGCTGCTAAATTTCAAAATAACCGCTCAATCTCATTCGTGTCTTCCTCACAAAACGTGACACTGGCAGAATGAATTGCGTCTGTCAACGCAGGTCTAAGCTATAAAGAGAATAAAAACTTAAAAAATCGGACTTCCAGGCACTAAAATGTAAAAAATAACTAAATAGGGGTTTTCATTTAGAATAGATACCTAATCAGATATTTTCGAGATGCAAAGCAAATCTAATATACGAGTATTTCGATACGTAAAATACATATATACTTATTAGATATTCATATCTTAAAATATTGTGGACTGACACTGACTTCGAAAATATCTGATTAGGTATCTATTCTAAATTAGGTTTAGTTATTTTTTACATTTTAGTGCCTTTAAGTCGATTTTTTTAAGTTTTTTTTTTTAGTGTAGACGTAATAAGCAGATAATTTGGAACAAGAAAGTTTTTAAATAACGTATTCGATTATGGAATTTATTTAAAAAAATAATTGATTGTTGATTTTTTTTTTAAAACCGCTCTACTGATTTCGATAAAATTTATATGGAACCACCTGGGAAGTATTCCGTTTGAAACAAAAAAAATCCAAATCGGATCAGGCGTCTTTGAGTAATCGATGAACATACCAAAATTGAGAACCTCCTCTTTTTTGGAAGTCGATTAAAAAAAATATTGTGTATTTTGTTCGGTTACGAGTTATGATGATTGACGAACTTTAGTCGGATTCTTCGTAGATCTTATCGAATCAAATAATTTGAGATTCATTAATGTAAGTAAAACGTAAAATGTACCGATATATTCTTATATATAAATCACTATATACTTAGGCAAAATTGAAGTAAATCGCAAAATCTTAGTTTATTTACTATTAAGTTTGATAGTGATTATCTAAATATTTCTATCATGTTGACTGTTCGTGCATTAAATGTAATGCATTTGGAATCGACCGCGTGACGTCCGTGCATTAGATTTTCAGAATTCACGTGCCTATGTAAACTCAATAGCGTATTCTGGACTGGGCGTAGAAGCTAGACTTTCTTATGCTCAACGGTCGTATTGGTAAGGGACATGGAAAAATAAAAAAAAAACAATGTCTTGCTGAGTTTTTTAATTTATAACTTTTTTAGCCCTATGTAATCGCGAGGAAAAACTAACCAATGAGAATCTTGAAATTGCGGTTGGCTTGTTGTTATCTATAGTTTTTAGAATTTTTGTCTGTCTCTCTGACTGTTTTGAACGCATGATGAGAAAACTACTTGACAGATTTTGATGATAGTATAAAGGATCCCTTTTACTGCGAGTAAGTATCTCATCTCTGAGAAATCTACATTAAACCTTAAAACGTATCTAGCAACGAAACTGAGCGGAGCGAGGGTAAGTCACTAGTAAAAATAATAAACATGAACGTATGAATGTTTTTCTCCACTTTTCATACAAAAACATCGACAAAAACGAACAAACACACCAACTTTCGCATTTTATAATCCTCCTGTAAAAAAGGATATCAGCTTATGACCGATAAAAGTTCATGCGAAGGTATTTTGGGCTAATTTTGTATAAGTATTTTTATATTAACTACCTATAAGCTAGTTTAGATTATTGATAGTCTAGACCTTAGTTTATTAAATACATAGTTCAAGTAATATATTGGACATAAATATTAGTTATGTAATAATACATCCTCTTGTATGTGTGAAGGGTAACATTACAAGTTTCGATAACAAAACCATTGGAAAAATAATATGTTTCATTTATACACATAAGTTTTCAAATCTACCGAAGTCAGATCTTTAATTCAAATAAAGTCAGTTATTAAAATATAGATTATACTAAAAAAGTAAGATAACTTTGTATATCTCTTAGCTATTGTATATATTATGTACATTGTACTTATAATATGTTAATTTTATAACATCTAGTAATGATGATGGTGCACCTCAAAAATATACCACCCTTTTTAAATAATGAATGTGTACATACAGATATCAATGAATGCGCCCTTGGAATACATAATTGTGAAAGAGATGGAGATCAGTATCAGTGTGTCAATATACCAGGTTCATATCACTGTGTGAAACATGTCAATAGCCTCCCGACACCTCTACCAAAGTAAGTATACTCATATTCTTTCTATTCATATAGTATATTTATCTTCTGTTCATTATTTATACCTAATTTCCAGGATCGAAGCTAAAGAATTTCATACTACAACTAGCGAAATCATTGCTGCTACACCGACTATTGTTGTATCAACACAAACTGCATCCACATACATCACATTAGATATTACGTCATACAGATCGCAGTTACCCACGTTATTAGAAAAATCAGATAATAAAATATATGATGAACAACCTGGTTTTATAAGCGTAAATATATCAAATGAATTCAGTGCTAACAAAATAACAAAAACAGTAAAAGAGTATGAACCTCTATTTACACTTGAATCTACTGTATCTTTACAAAATCTCCCAAAATCAATAGAAGCTGATGAGACATATGAGTATAGTGAAGTTACAGAGGTTCCTGAAATACCAACTTTACCAAAATTGTCAATTTTAAATATTGGTGAAAAAACTGCATCTAGTCAAAAACTTGGCGATGATTCAGCTTTAGTAAATACAGAGGAAATGCCTAAAAATGAATGGAGCCAAATAAATGAAACATCCACAGACTGCCAAATAGGTTTCGAAATGGACTCTTTAGGTTTATGTTTTGGTACTGTATGTTTTAGTTATTAACCTTTTTATGATATTCTAATAATATTAATATTTTATTAAATATCGATAAAACAAATTCACGTCATACCTGTAATATGCTTGATTTTGGATTACTGGTGCATTCATGGTTGTTGGTTGTTGATTATTATGGCATTCAACAACCAACAATCATGAAACGTTGCCTAAAATTCCTAATCCTGCTTGCACTAACCAATTTTATCTATTATCCTACTCATCTTAACCGAAATCCGAAAAAGGGTAGTTTTTTCTTAATAAAGTTTATTTCTATATTATATCTAATAAATATTCCTTCTACAGCATTAATAGAGATTAATACAATTACGAAAGACATTCGATGCCAACTAAAATAATACCAACTGCAGTAATATATATCACTAGATTTTATAGTAGCACTAATAGACAAAAAGCTGCAAATTGCATTTATATACAGAAACGATGAATTGAAAAAAAACGTTCTATGTATTTTTTCTTATAAAATTATATTCTAGATATCGATGAATGTGTGAAGGGAACCCATCTATGTGATCAGTATCAAAACTGTTTCAATACCAATGGAAGTCATGAATGTCGCTGCAAGCAGGGGTTTGAATTGGACTCAACTGCTGGGATTTGTGTTGGTATGTTATTTGACGTTATCATTTCATGGCGTGATTGCTGTTTATGGTGCATTTTGATTGACTTACATTGATGGTAAAAAGCCTTGACTATGCTGATACTTGTTTTCTTGACATTAAATAGGAGCGCCTGAATCGACTTGAGCGCCCTCAAAATCATTGCATACCATCTATATTCAGTCTCCGTAAATATGACCGCGTTTCTGACTTTCGCAAAAAGCTCTAGTAGCTCCCAATCCGCTTTCGCAGGAATGCCTACATATTTTATCTCCTCTACTGCGTGATGTTTAATCCTTTTACCCCTTTCTATATCAAAGAGCATTTCTAAATTCTAAGGGTAACTCTCATACTAGTTCTCTTCGTTCCAGTGAAATGCTTGTCTTTAAAATTCCTACTCACTCCTCATGTGTTCTTACCAACTCCTTTTCTGTGAAAGCTGCGCGTCTATGGAACTCTCTACCATTAAACATCAGAAAGGGTAAATTTGTGCAAGTTTAAGACGATTTTAAATAAAACTATTTTTTCGAATTATTTCGCGGATTTATTTTGATTTACAGCAATCATGGTCAAGGTTTTAGACGTCTCGAAGGCGTTATATACTTATTATATCCACAATTTCTCAAAATGATTTCAAACATTCAATAATAGCACCAAAGTGCCTTACAATATTTGTTGATTTTAATTCTGTACGTTTTAAAATTTTTAATAAGTAAATATAATTATTGCTAAAAGCATCCGATCAAAAAAGTGCTTACTGTTTGACTGGGTGCGTCCAACAAGAAAATTCCTCCCGTCGCATCGTTCACAACTTTTATGAGGGTAATGTATGTACACATGTTTTTGTTGTCGAATAAACAGCGTAACGTTTATTTGCACTAGTTCTTTAATACAAAGTAAAAAGTTAATAATATTATGAGTGACGTTGAGATATACACGTATAGAACACAATTATTATTTATTAGCATTGCCCGCGGCTCCACCCACGTTCAGGTGACCAAAAACCAAATTCTTAGGTTTTACATATTAGTACATTGCAATTTTTGTATTTTTTCTCAGAAATGAGACATTAAAAAAAAGACGGTAAAAAGTATTCTATATGTTGACCCAGATAACCAGCTATAATTATACCAAATTTCGTCAAAATCCCTCCAGTGGTTTTTCTGTGATGCGGTAATAGACAGACAGACAGACAAAAATTCTAAAAACTATAGATTCTGCCTCTGTATCGATAATAATGTCTATTTCAATAAGATTTTCCAAAAAATATTTAATGTACAGATTCGGCTTAGTTACAATTTTATTATATGTGTAGATTTCATATTATTTTTGAGGTGAACGAGGAGAAAAAACAACGCCTTGTTTTGATTAGCTAAGTTTTGTAATTAATGCTGTAAAACCCAGTTATTTGGTCCTCAAGAAAGAGGTTACCTGGAAAGTTTTCGGTGAGTTTTGAAAATTGGTGATTTTATAAATTTCGACGGGCTCTTTCCGAATTTCTACTTTGACATCTAATATCTTTGTCACTCTTCCAAATTTTCTATAATTTACGAAATAAACTTTTTTTGTAAAATGAATAGTTGTAGCGTACGAGTGCTACAAAGTCGACTCAACAAGCGTTTTGGCCCAAAAACTCATTTCCCCACCACCGTGTATGTAGATAAAGTGGCGCGATTTTTAACATGGTATCCCTAGAAGCCTAATTCACAAATCAAACCAAATTAAATCAAAATAATCTTTATTCAAGTAGGTTTTTACAAGCACTCTTAAATCGTTAATGTTTACATTTTCAAAACTTTACGTAAATCATAAATATCAGTAAGTCCGTGAGGAATCTACCACCGGTTTGGAAGGCAGTTCTTCTGAGAAGAGCCGGCAAGAAACTTAAAGTAGAAATTCGGAAAGAGCCCGTCAAAATCTATAAAATCGCCATTTTTTAAACTCCCGGAAAGCTTTCCGGAAAACTACCAAATGACTGTACTAATAGAAGTTTTAATGATTTGTGCAATTAAAAAATTTCCATTTTATATTATACCATATACTCGTACTCCGGTAGCCCAAAAACTGGCAATTAAAATAATAATACCTGGCACCAAAGGTGGTAAAACAATTGCAGAACCGGAAATTACTCAAATTGAAAATAGAAGATCAGTGTACAAATGTCTATGCCAGATAAATCTATCATAGTCTTAAAACTTGTCTCTGTTAGCAGTATTGCTTGCGCTTATATTTTTTGCTAGTTGTAAATACTAAAAATTATCATTTCTTTAGACAGTGCTGTATAACATGAATTGTTTAATACATAAGTTTTGCTGCACAAGAAATTCATTATTTATAATTTATTTCATGTCCAAAAATATTTTCGGTAACACAATTTTCTGTTACAGATGTCGACGAATGTGCCACAGGTGACACCATATGTGGTCCTTTGCAAGTGTGTACGAATCTACCAGGCGGATACACTTGCAGTTGTCCCGCTGGGCATAAATTAGTTGGTAATCATGCTTGCGAAGATGTTAATGAATGTGACTTACGTGAAAGCATAGTAAGATATTTATATTAATATTCCATTCAACAGTATAGTATTATTTTTACAAGCGTTCATATACAAATGGAATAGTTCTCTCAATGTAGGTCCCGTTATTGTTACATGGAAATAAAAGAAATATCAAGCCTCCATAAAATTTGCCATTGATAATTTCAGGGTATATGTTCAGAAAATGCTGATTGTATCAATACAGTAGGATCCTATCAGTGTCGATGTCATCAAGGATTCAAGATTGCTGCAGTTAATGACAAGGTAGTTTAAATATAGAGTTTATTAAGTAACAATAAGTTTTTTAAATTTCTTCTCTTAGAACTCACGAGGCCCCTTTAAATGCGATATCCCCAGACTTTTCCACAGAAGACTTACTAATTTGATCACTTTTATGCTCGAAAAAGAATGTCACAAATTTAAAAGTGTGTTTGTTTGGAGCCTCGCAAGAAGCCCCTCTTAAGCGTGCCTCCGAGGCCGTTGTAACTCCCTTCAAAGACCGCGATCGTTAGTTTGACGGAACACGAGAGTGGTCAAGAATCAATAGCTATGAGTAAGCGTTTTTCGCGTATACCATACATTATTTCTTTATTTTTCATAACATAAAAAGTTTTAAGTGGAAAGGAATGCCAATGCTAATTGCATTAAGTCAGCCTTGCACATTTGTACATAAGAATAAATAAATAAATAAAAGCCATGGTAAGACTTAAGTTAAAAAACTACTAGCGATCGAAATCGTCTTGTGGTCAAATTGACAGCGTTGACTCTTCTAGTATTAAGGCCGACCGCTTCAGTAAAGCAAAAAGCCGAAGAACATTACTTTTGTAAAAAGTTAAGTCACGCAAGTTACAAAACAAAATCTTTATTCAAATCTATAAGCTTTTCAATATTCTTCCACCGCGCATTTATATTTTTTCACTATCATGAGTAGGTATGTCGTATCAAAGCATTTTTGGTAGGATAGATCTATTGGGTAGATCCTGGGAACGAAAGAAAAGGGGTCTCGCTGATACGACTTCGCCCACGTCTATATTTGATATCTGATAAAAAGTCACAGAATATTTACGTTTCGCATTATTAGGTATGCGTGGACGTAGATGAATGCATAAACTCAAGGCCCAGTACACTCTGCCAGCATCGTTGCAACAACGTGTGGGGCGGCTATAGGTGTTCCTGCCACAGAGGCTACAGGTTGAACCCGGCTGATAATCAGTAATTATTTACAGTCAAATATAAATTAATTTTAGTCCTAGAAGGATAGAGGAGATAAGAAAATTTACTACTTTATGATGCCTAAACGTAAGATTAGAAAGGACTTTTATTCACGCTGTGTACTTATTGGTTACAAAGTACTTTATACTATACCTAATATATGGCAACCCATCGAAGACATAAATGTTTTGTATGTACATACAAAATATTTATGTCTTCGATGGGTTGCCAGATGAAGTATGTATGTCTAGGCTTCTGTCAGTCAAAAAACTTTAGTATTTAAGTTTACTGGTATATATGTATGTACTGTCACGGGGTGTGGAAATAAAATTTTAATTTTATTCAAGTCCGTTTCATACAAATAAATATTATAAATAAATCGTTGACCTTATTGACCAGCACCTGTACGGATATAGACGAATGCACAGAATTCAAGCACAAGAAGTTATGTATTGGACGTTGTCTTAACGAGCCCGGCAGCTACCGGTGTTCCTGCCCCTCTGGGTACAGGCTGTCTGAAGATAAAAGAAGTTGTGTTGGTAAGTTATATTTAATCAAAAGCGAATTATTTATAAAGACACTTTACCACATTAATGTCAAGTCACGTTAAATTCAGAGTAGATGAAGCGGATATATGTAAATTACCTAATAGATTCAAAATTTCAGTGATTTCCTTATATTAAAGGAGTGACGAGTAGACTTAGGTGGCAGTACTTTGGTGTAATAATTATAGTTTTAATAAACCACGAAAACGCTTTTTGCTAGCTGTAATATATGTGTTGCATAACTTTTGAAGCTATGCAAAGATAAGCGAAACAAAAATTTGCGAAGGTAAAAAATTGCGAATTAAATTTTATCAGAATCGTTTTTTCGCTTAGTATGCCTCTTCTACTTCTTCTTCTTCTTGCACGGCTTTTTCCACACTTAGGCAGTTTTGCACGTTGTGCACACGTGAACTTGTGCTATTCTTTCCACCTCAGAGCATCCCAGTATTTTAGCAGGCTGCCGGTGTCCTGGAAGATTTCCAGGGGGCGATCTCCTGGGGCCTGGTTTTTCTGCGCGTAGGTGTTCTAGTTCACTGCAACCAAGTAGAATGTGGGCTGGTGTTTCATCTCCTCGAAGACATGCTCTGCACACGGGGCTGTTTTTTCATATCTTAAATATTATATTTAATATGTTAAAATATTTTTTATTGATAATGTCCTAAGTAGGCGTGGCTTCAATTCCGAATCGAATGACACCTCTTCCATATTTTTCCGAGACTGCTGAAAAAAGTTGACCTAAAAGGCACTTGTTGACACTACTTTTGCTTATTGAATGTGGTATAATAAATATTACTAATCTGGAAAGAATATACTCCAGCTCTTATAAGCCTGAAAGTGTATTATTTTTATTAATATTATTTATATAAAGTTGTAGAAAAGCCGAGGTAGAATATCTTATTCGTACGGCTGTTACCTATGTTTCTGTAAAAAATGTTATAAAAAGACCATCTTTATGACGCTTTTCCTAACACATTCCCATTCAAACCCTTTCGCACTATCTATATTATATATACAATATTATAAATTATAAGTAACGATATCATTTTAATTTCCAGATATTGACGAATGTAAAACCGGTGAAGGTCCTTGTGCAACTGGTGATCAATATAACGGTTCCAGTGTAGTCTGTCTGAATACTCGAGGAGGATATCAATGTCTGAAAATCACGTGTCCGCCAGGATACAAAGTTGAGGGTAGACAGTATGTATCTACTAGTAAAAGTAAACAAAGTTTTAAAATTTAATTTTCTCGAAAATTTCTCAAAAATCTCAGTAGCCTGAAGCTAGCAGTGTTTCACCCGCGAGCCTCGGAAAGCCTGGAGATCCGTCGCTTCAATCATATTATGGAATTGTAGTCACACACAAATTTGGGAATTAAAGACAATGAACTTGTGTAGACACACACACTTTTGCATAGCACTCTTGGCTAGTGCCCGAATTATTATTTTATTACCACAATCATACGTATTTTTTTTCAGTCGTTGCAATAAAATTGAAACCTATTGCCCGGTAGGAGACTGGGAATGTTTCCATCAGCCTGGCATATACTCATACAACTACATAACGTTTGTCTCTAATTTGTATTTTCCCGAATCTAAGGTAAGCAAGTACTTTGGATAGTTCTTTAAATTCTTTTATAGCGTAGTGGTGTCATCAACTTGAAAGCGACTTGAATGCTGTAATTATTATACTATGTATAATTATGGAGCGTTGTGAATGAATTTAAAAAGTTATATTGAAAGAGCTCATCATGCTATAGTTGTAATCAACTAAAATAACATTACCTAATTCTTCACAAACCTCCTGATAAAATTTTGGTCATGGCAACCAGTCTTACTGAATATTTGCAACTTAAACATGTCCTGACATATTTATTTAAGCGATTCTGATTCGAATTTTGTTATTAAAATCATTATAATAATAAAAATTTTAGACCTTAATACACGTAATGCTCGAAAAAACCAGTGAAAAGAAAATGTTGATATAATATTTAATTTTTGTTTATATAATTCAACTGGATTCAAAATTAAATTATTTGTTCCAAAATGTAAATCTATATACTACCACATAACTTATATATTTTTCATTTATTGCAGTTGGATCTTTTCACAATGAAAGGACCATCGTGGCCGTATGCCAAGTTGAAATTTGAATTACGTGTTGTGGACGTGGACGCTCCTCCTTCAGTTACAGAGGCTGATATAAATGATTTCTTGTAAGATGATTTTTGTTTAATGGTTTATAATTAATTTACTAGTAGTTAAAATCCAATACTTAGTAAATAATTTGCTGTCTATAATTTTTATTTATAAAGTTAAAGATAAATATACGTTTCATGCATCGATGAAAAAAGTATTAGATACATAATCCCATGCAAAAGTTCTCTTAAAACTGTCACTGTGTTGAGGTAATTATTCTAGTAGAAATAAATATACAACAATGTAAATTGAACCTTAAATGCAATGTTTAAAGTTGTTTTGTAAATGTTCAAATGAGCTCTTATTCGGTGAGGACATTTTTTGTCACTAATTGTATATCTAATACTTTTTACCGATGTTTTATGTTTTAAGCAATTCCTGAAATAACTAACCCTCTGTTACTAATTTTATTTGAGTTAATATGGACTATTTTAATTTTATTATCTTTTTAGGTTGACTCAAACCGACAATCAAGCGGTAACATCACTAGTTAGATCACTGGAAGGTCCACAGACTATAGAACTCGAATTATTGATGGAACTCTACAGCAGAGGACAGTTCGGAGGGAGTTCTGTTGCAAAATTGTTTATCTTTGTATCGGAATATGAATTCTAGATATACCTACTAAAAATTTTAATAACCTCAAAGATCTTTTGCATCAATGGGATAGTTCTTCAAACTATGTGTATATATATCGTTTATATAATGACAATTATTGAAATATTATTAAACGGTTCATTAACTATTAAGAACTAACGTAAAATGAGTGTTGTCTAGATGAGTTTTAATTATAAAATATTTTTGAAAGCACTGGCAGAGAATATATTGGACATAAAAATATTTAGAATTTTATAGTAATATGTATTATTTCTAAAAATATGTATATTGCCAAACATTTCTATAATATGTTTTAGTTCATCACAGTTTTTTCAGCACGTTTTAAAGAACTACCCTGTCACCACAAAAGTGATTAAGCCTTATAACGATTTTGCAATAAATGAATATGAAAATATTGTAATATTTTTTATTACCCGAGTGCAAGGAAAGGGTTATGTATTTCGTATTCCTATCTTTGTATGTTTATTTGTAATATTCTTTATTCCCTCATATCTTTCAAACCACTAGATGGATGTCTTTAATTAAGGTATCGTTAGATTCGTCTCATTAGTTAAAGTGTTCTTAGATAGGTGACATAAAAAAAATTAAATATGGGGGCTGCTAGATTCCATAAAGTGAAACAGAAGAAAATGAAAATCGACGAACTACGAGTATGTCAAGTGGGATATCGTTGAATAGGTATTTAAAAATCATTTTTAGGCTTCTTTTATCATGTTTCTTTTTAAGTAACATTTTAGGATATATCATTATTTAAAGTTGGTTTTCAACCATTCTCGCTAATTTTCCTACTTAAAAATACTTAAAAAGCTGTAAAAAAATAAATCTATACTAATATTATAAAGAGGTAAAGTTTGTGAGTTTGTGATGTTGTAGGGGGTAATCTCTGGATCTACTGAACCGATTTCGATGAAATTTGGTAAGAAGATAGCTTGAAACCCTAGGAAGGACATAGAATACTTTTTATACCTAAAATCATCCCTTAAAGGAGTGAAAATGGGGATAAAAGTTTGTATTGGGAAGCAAGCAAGAGACGAACCCGAGCGAAGCGAGGGTGAGTCGCTAGTATATTATAAAAATAAAAAACCACATACTAGTATGTACATGTGTGTACATGTCTCCGACTGCATAATATTATATTTCATCTTAAATTTTGTTTTCATCTTTTTAGTTAGCTTTTATGCAGTCGGGTTTTTATTTTCATAATATATTTTAATGTGACTTTTTATTCCCAAGGAGGGTTGACGTCAGGCAGGCGGCCGGTCGTAAAACTTTTGCCAAATCCTATCAGCAGTACAGAAGATGTACTGCGCCGACCCCAACTGATTGAGAAGAAGAAGATTTTAATGTGACTATTTCAAAAAGCTTGGTGATGTACCAACAAAACAAAGAAAAATAACTAAATTTATATTTTTTTTGGATATCTTCGTTATTCTTCGTCGCCTTTGTTATCTCTATATTTACCAAATGCCATTTTGAAGCCAGTTCTTTTAGTACTGAAACATCTTCATACAAAAGAAATTTCTCCTCTCTTTTATTTATATTACTTACACTTTTAGGTCACTTTTTTAATATGGTAATAGTAGTGCATGTGGTATATATAATATAATGAAATCCTCTACTGTCCACAATATTTTACCATTCCATCGCCAATCGACAGGATAATATTGTTTCGATATACTAAGCTTCGACGAAAAACGGCAAAAAAAGCCTTGCAGCCTGTCAAACTGCTAACATCCATCATGTCTGATGTATCTTTAATTCGTGGTCAGACAATATCTTTCTGTGGTAGGTATAGACACTAATAAACAAAACGATTAAAATATTTTACTTATAAGCTGGTTTAATCAAGTTAGTCCTTGGATAATTTTAATGAACAAGTGATATTCAAAAGGTAAAAGCTTTTTCCCAAACAGTCTGAAGAACTGCGATGTAACGTTTAGTATAGATTTGACGACACGTTTGGCTCAGTTGGGAGTGACCCTACTTGATGTGCCAGCGGTCGCGGGTTCGAGTCCCGCTGGGGGCATTCATTTGTGTGATGAGCACGAACGTTTGTACTCCAGTCATGGGTGTTTATATTTATAATATTTAAAAGTTATATATGTGTAGTGTATCAACTATCTGGTATCCATAACACAAGCCTCGTAGCTTTCCATGAAACTAGATGGCGCTGTGTGTTAATGTCCCAACATTTATTATTTCTCTGTGATGAGATATTTTTCTGCAGTAAAAAGTATCCTTTATGCTGATCCTGTCATCATACCAAATTTCATCAAAATCTGTCCAGTAGTTTTCTCGTGATGCGGTCACAGAGAGACAGATAGCCAGACAGACAGACAAAAATTCTAAAAACTATAGATTCGACCTCTATATCGGTAACAATGACTATTTCAATAAAATTTTCCAAAAAATATTTAATGTACAGATTCGACTCAGATAGAAATTTAATATATGTATAGATACACTAGTAGAACCCGCGGCTTCGCTCGCGCTAATACTACAAAAAAATCTGAATAAAAAATTGGTTTCATACAAACTTTCATCTCCTATTTTACCCCCTTATAGGTTGAATTCAGAAAAATGCTAAAACACGTATTTTTTAATTGTATTGAAGAGCGTCATTGCCAAGTTTCAAATAATTCTGATCATAAATATTTTTTTGGGTTGTATTATAATGTATTTTTCCTTGAGAATTAGATGATCGCCCGCGGTAAAAAGTAGCCTATATTACTCTCCAGCCCTCTAACTACATCCATACAAAAAAATCACGCCAATCCGCCACTCCGTTTCGACGTGAAAGAAAGACAAACAAACAAACAAACAAACAAACAAACAAATAAACACACAAACACACTTTCACATTTATAATATTGAGTATGTAAGTATGGATAACGCAATATACCTTTTTGATTTTACTTATACAACGAGCTGATATTATGCACGTAAACCTAAAAATCCTAAATTTATCTTTAATTTTATTAATTCATTTATAGTTCAGCCATTGCAGACATAAAATGGGACTTTCGCTTCAAAAGGAAAAGGCGAGTTCTAATTTGGCAGAGCATTAAAGATTGGTGTCCTAATTAATATTTTGAATTTGCGACCTTGAGCGACGCCGCTCGTACCGCTATATTGGAAAAATGGTACCAAAAATATTATTTGGAGAATATCTTCTCTCTGGCGTCATCTTATGTGGCAATTACAAAAATTATAGATCATAAATTTTTTATGCAACTTTTGTGGTATACTTTAATCCTTAATACATTTAATACCTACCACAAATTTTCAGCCTATGTGGCAGAACAACATCTTTTAATTATAGATATAGGAAAAATAAAGAAAAAAAAAACAATTTAAAACTTTATTACAAACTAAGCTATATCTAGAACTCATATTCAGACACATAAATATATAATTTTGCAACAGCAATTCCTCCGAACTGTCCTCTGCTGTAAAGTTCCATCGATAATTCGAGTTCTATACTCTGTGGGCCTTCCAGTGGTCTCACAAGTGACATAACTGCTTGATTTCCGGTTTGAATCAACCTAAGAAATTGTAAAATTTTATGTTAATTCAAACAAAATTAGTAACAGAGAGTAAGATAAGAATTGTTTACAGCATGAAATATCAAAAATTTCACCTTTAATTTTACCAACAAAAACTTTACGGCAAATTATTTACTTGGCATCGGATTTTAACTATTAGCAAGTTAATTATAAACTATTAAATTAAAATAAACTTACAAGAAAGCATTTATATCAGCCTTTTCTTTAACTGAAGGAGGAGCGTCCACGTCCACAACACGTAATTCAAATTTCATCTTGGCATACGGCCACGATGGCCCTTTCATTGTGAAAAGGTCCACCTGCAATAAATTAAAAATAAATAAGTTATGTGGTAGTAAGTATATAGATTTACATTTTAAAACAAATTAATTAAATTATTAATTCAATTAAATTATACATACAAAAATAAAATATTGTATCAACATTTTCCTTCCACTGATTTTTTCGAGCATTACGTGTATTATGGTCTAAGAGTTTTATTATTATTATGATTTTCATAAAAATATTCTAATTAGACTCGTTTAAGTTGCAAATATTCAGTAACATTGGTCGCAATGACCAAAATTCCGTCAGAAGGATCGTGAAGATTTTAAATAATATTAAGAAAGTATTATAAGAAAGTATCAGGATCGTGAAGAATTAGATAATGTTGTTTTAGTTGATTAACGTTGAATAACTCACAATGTATAGCATAATAATCTCTTTCAAGTTGATATCACCACTACACTATGAAACGACTTTAAACAATTTACCAAAGTACTTGCTTACCTTAGATTCGGGAATATACAAATTGGAGACAAACGTGATGTAGTTGTATGAGTACGTGCTGGGCTGATGGGAACATGCCCAGTCTGCTGGTGGGCAGTAGGTTTGAATTTTAGTGCAACGACTGAAATAAAAGATACGTATAACCGTGGTAATAAAACAATAATTCGGGGACTAGCTAAGTGTATACAAATATCTTAGTGGAAAAGTGTGTGTGTGTGTGTGTGTGTGTGTGTGTGTGTGTGTGTGATACAAAATTCACTGTCAATTTCTTTTATTCTCTAAATGTGAGTACAATTCCATATGATTGGAGCGATGGATCTACAGGCTTTCTGAAATACTGCTAACTTCAGGCTCACTGATATACAAAAACTCAAGATACACAATTAGCGTATCAAAAGTTTCCTCTAAAAGAAGTGCACTTATTGAAATTGTGCTCTTTTTTCAAATCTCTTAGGTAGGTTGCTTTTCAGATGACAAAATTAAAACGCACGTTATTTCGTTTAAAAAAGTACTTTATGTGGTGTGCGTATTTATGTTTAAACAGATAGATTTTTAAATGTCGACACCACTTTTTGAAGAGATATTTGTTAGGAAATGTGTATCTGTATTTTTATATATCAATGTTCAGGCTACTGAGATTTCTGAGGAATTCTTGACTAAATTATATTTAATAATAAAATTATGTTTAATTTTACTATGGTAACACTATATTCAAACTAGGAGAAATCTATACATATAATAAAATTGTAAATAAGCTGAATCTGTACATTAAATATTTTTTGGATAATCTTATTGAAATAGACATTATTATCGATACAGAGGCCGAATCTATAGTTTTTAGAATTTTTGTCTGTCTGTGACTGCATCACGGAAAAACCACTGGAGGGATATTGATAAAATTTAGTATGGTAATAGCTGGTAATCCGGGTCAGCATATAGGATACTTTTTACTGTGGGAAAATGTCTCATTTCTGAGAAAAAATACAAAAACTGCAATGTAAGAGTATTGTAATATGTAAAAACTACGAATTTGGTTTTTGGTCATCTGAACGCGGGTGGAGCCGCGGGCAATACTAATATATATAATAAAATAAATGTAGATACATACTGTCTACTCTCAAGTTTGTATCCTGGCGGACACGTGATTCTCTGACATCGATATCCTCCTCGAGTATTCAGACAGACTACACTAGAACCCCCGTATTGACCACCAGTGGCACAAGGAGCTTCACCGGTTTCACATTCGTCAATATCTGGAAAATAAAATTATACTATAGCTCGTGTGTTACGTGATGGTGCTAAAGGAGTGACGCACTGAAGAAAGCGTCACGAAAAAGGTCTTTTCACAATATTTTTTCAGAAAGATACAAATAACTATAATTATTTCACCCAAAGTACTCTAGAGCTATGTATATTCGTCAGTCCTTTAATATGAGGAAATCACTGGAATTTTGAATCTATTAATATAATGCGTATACGTACTCCGAATTTAATGTGACTTGACATTAATGTAGTAACGTGGCTTTACAAATCATTCGCTTCTGATCAAGTATAACTTACCAATACAACTTCTTTTATCTTCAGATAGCCTGTACCCAGAGGGGCAGGAACACCGGTAGCTGCCGGGCTCGTTAAGACAACGTCCAATACATAAGTTCTTGTGCTTGAACTCTGTGCATTCGTCTACATCCGTACAGGTGCTGGTCAATAAGTTCAACGATTTAACTATTAATTTTGCAGATTATATTTTGTGAAGTAAGTTATTATATCAGACATGTTTACTAACACAGCAAAGAAAAAGTCCGGCAAATCGGACTAATATATGCGAAGAAATTGGACACTTATTAAAACAATGCGCATTTAATTTTCCAGTAAATTTTAAAATAAATTAAAATGGTTTTTAAAGTAAGATATTTTGACTAAAAAAAGGTTTTTGCCAAGTTAATAATTAAAGCATGACCTTCACTCATCACCGGGTATTGGAAGCCTAGAACTATTTCATAAGGCAACCCATCGAAGATATTTATTTACTTGTTTGGTATGTATGAATATCCTGTATCCATTAAGCAGATGTGTGAATTAAAATAATTTCTGATCTTAGATTTACATATTATTAGGGGTAAATTTCTTTGTCTCCTCTTTCCTTTCATGACTAGAATTATCTTATATTCAATTAACATTAAACTGTAAATATTTACCGATTATCAGTCAGGTTTAATCTGTAGCCTCTGTGGCAGGAACACCTATAGCCGCCCCACACGTTGTTGCAACGATGCTGGCAGAGTGTACCGGGCCGTGAATCTGTGCATTCATCTACGTCCACGCATACCTAATAATGCGAATTATTTAATAACAACCATAACTTTTATGTAAATTAAAATAAAACTAGACAAATACTTAAGCTTCGGAAGCTTATATTGTTCTTCGGAAAATGAGTCTAAGAATTATAAATATTCTGTAACTATTTTTATAAGTAATGTAAAAGCTTGTAAAGTTTATTAAAATTAACCTAATAATTCTTCTACTTTTTCTTCTTTTATTATAAACTATATTTTATTGAAAAATTTCAGTGAGCTTAAAATAAACTTAAAATGATAACATAACTTACTGTTGCTTTATATTTATACTACCTTGTCATTAACTGGAGCAGTTTTGAACCCTTGATGACATCTACACTGATAGGATCCTACCGTATTGATGCAGTCAGCATTTTGTGAACATATTGGCTGAAATAATCAATGGCAATTTTTATGGAGGCCAAATTTTTCCTTACGTATTACTCGTATTAACGGGATCTAAATCCAGTGAACTATTTCGTTTGTATATGAACGCTTTTAAAAATAGTACTACACTGTCGAATGAAATATTAATATAAAGATCTTACTATGCTTCCACCCAAGGCACACTCATCAACATCTTCACAAACATGATCACCAACTAATTTATGTCCAGCGGGACAACTGCAAGTGTATCCGCCTGGTAGATTTGTACACACTTGCAAAGGACCACATAGGGCCTCACCTGTGGCACATTCGTCGACATCTGTAATAGAAAACTGTGTTGTCAAAAATATTTTTGGTAATTAAATAAGTTATAAATAATGAATTCCTTGTGTAACAAATTTTTTTTAATAAACAATTCATATTACATATTACAGCACTTTATAAAGAAGTGGTAATTTTTAGTAGTTACAACTAGCATAAAATATAAGCGCAAGCAAAACTGCTGACAGAGACAAGTTTTAAGGTTATGATAGATTTATCTTTGTGACCTTCGCAAATCTTGTCATCGCTTAATCTGGTTCCCCATGGACATTTGTACACTGATCCTCTATCTTCAATTTGAGTAATTTCTGGTTCTGTTATTGTTTTACCTCCTTTGGTGCCAGGTATTATAGTGTTGGGGTCTATCGGGGTATATGCTATAATATAAAGTAGGAAGTTTTTAATTGAACAAAAAATTAAAACTACTGTAGCATCAATTATAAAAATATGCTAATCAAAACAAGGCGTTGTTTTTTCTCCTTGTTCGCCTCAGTTGTTCATCTGAACAAAGCCGAAATACTGTTACTATATATCTAAAATAATAATTTCTTACGAAATATGTAGTCTACAATACTCTACCCATTTTTTTAATGATTAATATCAAGCTGAAACTCCACAAGTAGCTTCACTTTGTTGAGACGCCCAACTTTTCTGTATCAAAATTTTCGATAGTGGTATTTAAAGTATGACGATAAAATACACCGCCCGTACTGAGAACTAATACTACCTGCATATCAAACTGAATAATCTATTAACTTGTTAATTATCGATCCAAGTCAGTATTATTATGATTTTTCTTAATTTCTTTTCGTTTTAAACCCGATAAAACTTACTTCAACATTGCAAGTAAATATTTTTTATCAAATACCTACCTGGTATATTACCATATCCCGGAGGGAACTTGCCCGCTCCCCATACTTGGACACAACGGTTCCGATGCGGATCAAAAGTCCAATTTGGCGAACATTCGCAACGGTAACCACCTTCTGTGTTAACGCAAATTTCTACTGACGCACAGGTAGCCTGACCATTTGTACATTCATTGATATCTAGAATAAATATTGGCTCTTCTATATTACATATTAAATAAAATAATTTATATAAATGTACTGTTTCTCTAAATTAAAGTCCTATAAGACAGTTTTAAAATTAAGCAAAAAAAATATGTACTTATTTATTAAATACAAGCGACACCCTCGCTCCGCTCGGGTTCATCCCTACTTACATTTTAACATTTAGTATAGATTTCTCAGAGATGAGATATTTACCCGCATTAAAAAGTACCCTATATGTTGAACCGGATAACCATCTATCACCATACCTAATTTCATCAAAATCTCACCAGTGGTTTTTCCGTGATGCGGTCGCAGAGAGACAGACAAAAACTCTAAAAACTATAGATTCGGCCTCTGTATCGATAATAATAACTATTTCAATACTATTACAATACAGATTCGGTTTAGTTACAATTTTATTATATGCATAGATATGTACTTGTTGTCATACCTTCACATTTTCCAGTCTTCGAATTCATATAGTAACCGACATCGCAGTTACTTCTTGGTTTGAATGGTCTTGAAGTGATTCGTTGGTCTGGATAACCCCAGTAATAGTCTGAAAGACAAAGAAAACATAATAATAATATTTTAAATGCCTTAGGAAAAAATATATCTAAGTCAGTCTCTGTCAAAAATCTTAGAAAAATAATTGAGTTACACACTCATAATAATTATGGGTAATTGAAACAATAGCAATGACTACTAACTTTGTGTACTGGATGTAGTAGGCGCTGGAGTGGTGGTGGTGGTACTTGTAGTGCTCGTAGTTGTACTAGGTGTAGTGGTTGTAGATGTTGAAGTAGTTGAAGAAGTAGTAATCAGTGTACAAGCTCCGGTAGCCAGAACTCTTCGAAAACCATATGCGCAGTCACAAAGATATCCGCCCATTGTATTCCGACATATTTCAGTTAAACCAGAACAACTATGACGATTTGTAGCACATTCATCGATATCTGAAAACAATATAAATTAATTTATTATTACAGTCTCATAGATTGTTAACACTCAAAATTTTACAATAAAAAAATCAGTACCAAAACAAAAGCCAAATGAGTCTATTTCAAATCCAGGTTGACACTCTGTTGGTTTTTCATTAATTATAGTCCATTCATTCTTTGGCATTTCCTTTGTATCTACAACAACTGAACCGTCGTCAAGTTTTTTTCCTTTCACAGTGGCAGTTTCTTCACCTGCATTTAATATTACCAATTTTGGTGAAGTCACTACTTCGGGAACATTTGTAACTTCACTAACAACACGGGTGTTTTCTTTTTCTGTAGGCTGAGTTTTAGTAGATTCAGTAGGTTCAAATCTAGGTCCAAAATCGTATGGTTTTGTTTTTTCTGGCTTAGATACCGTTGGCTCAATGGGTATGAATTCATTTGATCTATTGAGTTCTCTAAAAGCAGGTTCAGGTTGCTCTGATACGTCAATAGCATTCGTAATTATATCATTATCTAGTGTATTTTCTGTTTTTTCTACTAGCCCAGGTATAGCAGGATTATTTATGTCCTTTTCCTCTGATCCGACTTTTCGTTCATCGGGCAATGCTGGTAATATTGCAGTAGATGTAGGTATTGTAGTGGTAATAACGTCACTTACAGTTGTATTTGGAGATACTTCAATTTCTTCCCTGAAAATAAAGTTCACCATAATATTAACAATCGAATAAATAACAATAAAATTTTATGTACGATAATATATGCATTCGTTACTATTTACAAGTTTTTGTTTCTGTTTCTTAAATTGTCATATTATTATGAAGAAAATATGTCTTCGTTAAAATAAAAATTCGCATTAACTGTTTATAGTATACTTTACTGCCATAAATCGGAAAATAAGGCACTTTTCGCATACTACGAATAACATGCTTTAAAAATACTTATCATTCTCTGTTTTCATTAAATATTAATCATATTAAATTTTAATAAAATCTAAATCTACAGTTTGTAAGCCCGTTTTTCTTTGTTGTTCCGAGATAAATTGTATCATCATTTAATTTGACTATTAATAATCGCATCTCTCATACTATTGCTGAGATAAAATGCAATCTATATCATTCTTAGCCAAACTCTAGACCCGCCAATGAAAAACCTTTGAAAATCTTTCTAGTTACTCTTAGAGGTTGAATATATATTTATGTGACAGTTATTTAGAAACTTAAGATGCTTTAAATTTTTTTATATTTAGAAATACAATTAAACTCACTCTGAGTCATAATATTCGTATTCATACTCAGGTACGGGTGTGGTAGTGACGCGTTTCTGACAGCGAAACGAACCTGGTATGTTAACACATTGATACTGAGGTCCAGCTCTATCACAATTATGCGTTCCAAGAGTACATTCGTCGATATCTGCAAGATGATATCTATTTTATTATATTGAAAATGGCAATTTAATAAAGATTGTCTACTATTCATTTATTTAAATATCAATGATTTAAAAGTACAACTTACAAGATTTTTTTAAACTATGCCTAAATACTACTATGCTACTAGGTACTTTAATATAAGCTATTGGAACTAGTAGATAATATAAAAATTTCTTGGACGTAGACGTTCGTTACAACACAGTTTTCAACTAACGTTGGCTTTATAGTACAATCTATCTGTAACATTTGATTTTGTACCTATAAAGATTTTGATTCTATAATGAAATGGGATTCTCCTTCTTCCATTTCGACTTAGTCCAAACGATAAATTGGAATTTTGTTATTGCTTCTTTTTAATCTCCTTCAAAAAATATAGCTTATGTTGAACAAAATTTAATTCTTTTTGACAAAAAACCGTCTTGTAACAATCGAATTAGTTTTATTAAAACATTACCTTCACAAGTGCTAGAAGAATGATGTATGATGTATCCAGTACCGCATGACAGTAATCGAATGCAAAGAAACGAGCCAACTGTATTGTCACATCGCTGTGATTCAGGAATACAGTTATTTTGTTCTGTTGCACACTCATTTATGTCTAAAAAGAAATTGAATTACAATAAAACTTTAATTTATAATCTGTAGTAATATTTAAAACTTAGACTTACAATTTATTTTATTACTTACTAGCGACTCACCCTCGCTCTGCATTTCTGGTATAAAACTATCCTATGTCCTTTTCAGGATCTCAAACTATCTTTTTACCGAATATCATCTAAATCGGTTCAATAGTTTCGGAGCTTATTGTATGTACAAACAAACAAAAGAAAATCTGTCCTCTTTATAATATTAAGTATAAAACAAAACCAAATCTATCACTCGGAAACCATATATTTTTCCGGGATAAAAAGTAGACTATATGTTATTCCAGACTATAATCTATCTTTTTGCCAAATTTCATCCAGATCCATCGAGCCGTTTTGGTGAACAACAACCGTTCAGGGTGTAACAAACATCCATACAAACTCACAAACTTTCATATTTAAAATAAATATTATATAATACGAATAGATTATATTATACTTGTTTAAATTAAAATATATTTTATAAAATGATTGTCCGATGTACGTGCAGATTGCGATTTAGAATTATCTAGTCCATAAAACATAAAAATAAATATTAGAATCCTTAACAGAATTTATTTTATTCCGTAGAGTAAACCTTTGATTTGAATATTGTAAATAACACACCAACACAAGCCCCAATAGTTGAGTCCAATTCGAAGCCGAGCTTGCAGTGACATTCATGACTTCCATTAGTATTCAAGCAGTTTTGATAAGGATCGCATAGATGAGTTCCCTCCACACACTCATCGATATCTGTAATATTAATTTATAAGCAATTTAACTAAGCATTTGAATAAACATAAATAATTACAAACACTATTTTAGAGTTTTATTAATTCATGTCTAAAAATTCATATTTACTTTAGTACTAACCATCACATATTTTTGTATCGGGATTCAATCTCATTCCATCAGGACATTTCGTATTTGATTTCCTATGAAAGAAAAATAGTATTAATTAACAATATTGTTAGAAGCACTTAAAGTTACATTTAAGTAATTCATGTACCTCAAGTCCAATTTTGGTTTGCAATCATATTCACCAAGCACGTTGACACAGATTTGATCTGGTCTGCATATATCTTGGCCATCTTCACATTCATCAATATCTGTAAATATTTTAATGAGATTTAAATAAAATATCTCTTTTTAAATACTATTAATATTTTATTATAATCATTATAAAAGCTTATTAATAGTTAAGACACCGTCATTTTTATTAAGTTGGATTATAATACTAATAGCGACTCACCGTAGCTCCACTCGGGTTCGTCCCTACGTTTCAAGATTAACATAGATTTCTCAGAGATGAAATATTTTCCCACGGTAAAAAGTATCCTAAATGTTGTCTCGAATAAACCAAATTTAATCAAAATCTGTCCAGTCCAGACAGACAGACAAAAATTCTAAAAACTATAGTTTCGGCCCCTGTATCGATAATAATGACTATTTCTATTTCAAAAAAATATTAAATGTACAGATTCGACTCAGAATTACAAATATATTGAAACTCTTTTGTATTTAACCTTAAAAGAGGAACAACTTAGTGGTGGCGATTATAAATACCTTCACACTTATTAGTTAGTGCATTAGTTTTAAATCCAGGTGGACAGTGCTTAGATCCTTTATCTTGACAATGGAACGATCCTCGAGTGTTAATACAAAATTGAGATTGTTTATTGCAATCATCGTGGCCTAAGAGACACTCATCTACATCTGAAAATCATAATTAAATTTTTAGTAAGCTTATCTAACGAAATTATTAAAAAAAAAAAATCTAAAGTCTATACTAATATTTACCTTCACATTCTTCATTAATGCCATTCCTAAAGCCCGGTGGGCATCGATCTTCTACAGGTTTGGGCTTATTACCAAAATTGGCTGGATCACCAGATACTCCGCCACACTTGTATGCTCCCATTGTATTCTCACATAAATAGCTCGGGCAAGGCGGTTTAGGTAGCTTGCACTCATTTATATCTGTTTTGCAATAAAATTTATTAAAAATATAGAGGTTCGTTATTACTAGTTGCTCAAACTGAAATTTCAGTTATAGCTTTTTTAAGGAAACGAATAAAATACGTTAAATCACAACTTCAATAAAACCTCACACTTAGGAACAATATAGACAGAGTGTGATAGAACTAAACATGAAGCCACTATACATTACTGATAATTATATAAATGTTAATAAATAAAAATAGGTAGCGGATATTATTATCAAAAGAAAAACAAATATTAAGCTAATATTTCGCTATCACTCTTTTAAGGGCAAGTTAAGTAATCATGATGCCATGAAGTTTTCTTCTAATATAGTTTTTTTTTTAAATAAAACTATCTTTTCGGATTTTCTCGTGAATTTATTTATTTAGATTTTTGGTTCTCGACGTTTCGAATGTTTTACAGCAATCAGTGTCACGGGACAGACTAAGGTTTCAAAAACCTAAAGATAGTTTTATTTAAAATGTCAAATATTCGCGTAAATCTAAGAAAGTAAAATATAGAAAAAATTAAAAAAAAAATTTATGAGTAAAATCTCTGTTTAAATTCTAATACATTCATCTACACAGAAAATACGATAAATAGGATATGAATAAAAATTATGAAGTTAATCATTTAAAGATTAGTCAGTAGTAGTAGTAAAGAAGAAAATGCACTCCCCTAGAAATAATTCTGCCGCCGCCCATGGAAGTAAAAATATAAATTATTTAGCCTGAATATATAACTCACCGTCACACGCATTGTTTAAAAGGTTCTTAGCAAATCCTGGAGGACATTGTCCTTTTTCTAAGTTATTCTTTGGATGTTTTATTGGAATACATTTGTATGATCCTTGGATGTTATGACATTGAGTATTCGGCAAGCATACAGGTGGATCTAAGATGCATTCGTCGATATCTGAGAAAAATATTTTTACTTAACAATCTATAAAAAATGAATAGGTACTTACAAGAAATTATTCAAGTATTTATATTTCATACAACAATATTATACCCACGGTTCCGCTCGATAACTCATCTAATAATTAATTTATTATTATTCTTATTTATGTAATAATCCTTGGCTTAAATGAAATGAATTTAATAGAAATAAAACTGTTTTTCGTACCTTCACAAGATTTCCCATCTGACATGAGCTGATATCCTCGTCTACAGGAGCACTTAACTTCTACTCCATTATCATTGCATTTGTGCTGACAGGGGTTATGAGGTTTGCATCTGTTTTTAGTTACCTAACAGATTTTGATTAAAAAAAATCACAACGTAAATCTTTAAAAAATCTTTTCGTCTAAAATTATTCTTCTTGCTGAATCTGATCAGTAAAATTTTCAGTTTCATATAAAAAAATTATAGATAGTATAGATTAAACTGGATGCAGGTGGCACAAGACCGATTGTCGTGGATTTTTTTGGTGGAAGCCTATGTCCAGCAGTGGACATGTTTGGGCTGAGACGAATGAAACGAATAGAATTGACTTTATTCCATGCATTCAATTTAATCAAATATAAAATAAATTTTGTAAGTTCTTGCTAAGAAATTACATTAAAAAAGTCATTTAAATATCGCACCTCTTTACAATTCCGTCCATCAGGCATAAGCATAAAACCTGGATTGCACTCGCATTTGTATGAGCCTGGTATCGGAATACAGTGATGTGCGCAAAGTTCATTTGGTGCGTAATCTTCACACACTGAAGGCAGTGATGATAGAACTGGAAAAACAGCAGCCAATCTTAGAGGTTAGTCTTTAGGTTAGTCTTAGATATTTTGATTTCATTATTTATACACAGTTTACTGGTTTTGTATTTGGTTCGCTTGACCAAATCAGACCTATGTTTAATTTAAGAAGACACGTGTAATGATTTACTATAATCTCTTCATATGTGAAAAAGGTATAGTGAAGAAGCATATTAGAACTCGTTATAAGAATTACTCGTAGTTGTAGTAAAAAAAAAACATCAACTTTTGATTTGATTTTACTTTAATGTTTTCGACCTGATCTTTCGTCACAGATACTAAGATTTTAAATACCTTCGATGAAATTTTTCTTTTCTTTTAAATTATTGTGCATAGGCACCGTCTGTAATATCGATAACTTTTGAGATGCATAAAATCTTAGTCTTCCGCGTGACCAAAGCCTTAATTAAAGCTTTCAAAATGTCGGAAAGAAAAATCAAACCGCAAAAAATCCGGAAAAATAAAGATGATGAGTTGAAAGATGTAGTTACTTGAAATTTTCAAATGAATTCAAAAACAGGGGCAGGTTCTTAATTTGGTGGTTTCTTTTGATGTTTTTTTCTTAAACTTACCTTTATCAGGAGGATTTGATACTGGCGCTGGATTTGGTTTTGATCTGGAAGTACTGCTAGCGTCTCTTGCTGCACTCTAAAATGAATATAACTTTAATATAATAACATCTCATAGTTGTTCACATAGTATGAATATTTGTCAAAGAAAAATCTAATTCAAGAAAGATCGTTTTTTTTCTATCAGACTTAAATATCACAAACTTTTATATATTACCGTCTATCGAGTCAGTATATAATTTACAATATTTATAACATAACAATTTAAATAGATAATTTAATTAATCATAACCTTGCAGCACTGAGAGAAAGCGTCACTAGCGAGCAGCTGCTCATCACTTTTCCCCTCTACGGAGACTGCACAGGAATTGATCCCATTTGCCTTAGCCACTTTTGTTCCAGATTTGCATTGATCACAACATTTCTGTCAACAATAATGTTATAGTTATTGTATCCATTTAGGACTAGTATTATAAATGTGAATATTTCTGTGTGTGTGTTAATTACTACTTTACCCTGAAATGTCTTGAACGAATTTGAATGATTGCATATTGGTTTTTTAATGTTAAGGAAAATTCATTTTGCTGTAACTTGTCACTAAATGGTACTGCAGTGCATTTACTTCAATCCCGTTTAACCTATCACATGTTATTTATGCGAAGTTAATAAAATCTTTAGTAAAATGCACAAGTGCTTGTTTGTTTGTCAGTTTGCCTTTCCTTCACGTAACATAGAAACAAAGTTATGATTGCTACCGATGGATAGTATTATGAATTCTTTTCGCTTTCTTTAATTTTTATGCTCTTAACTATACGAATAAAACCAGGCAAGAAGGAACCAATATCATGAGTTTTTAGTGTAATGATTTTTTTTAGTGTAATTTACCCGAATGGGAAAATTACATTTAAAAAAAAACTTTGCACCAAAACTCTAATTTGATAAGCCAATATTTGACAAGCTTGTTTTCAGGGGGCATTATTAATGTGAGCATGTATTTTCTTTATAATCTATACATATAATAAAATTGTAACTAAACCGAATCTGTACATTAAATATTTTTTGGAAAATCTTATTGAAATAAACATTATTATCGATACAGAGGCCGAATCTATAGTTTTTAGATGTTTGTTGTCTGTTTGTCTGTCTGTCTGTAACCACATCACAGTAAACCCATTGGAGGGGTTTTGACGAAATTTGGTTGGGTGATAGCTGGTTATCCGGATCAACATATAGGATATTTATTACAAGAAGAAGAAAATGTCCCATTTCTGAGAAAAAATACAAAATCTGCAATGTAAGAGTGTACTAATATATAAAACCTAAGAATTTGATTTTTGGTTCTGAACGCAGGAGGAGCCGCGGGCAATGCTAGTATGTCATAAATAGCCAGCGTAGATAGAATATTGCAAGTTTTTACTACTTAAAATTCCACAAAAACTTCCTAAACTGAATATTTTTACCAAGTTTAAAAGTTATTTTACATTTTATTTGACATAAATATACATTACATATTATTCAGAATTTGTTTATTTGAACTAGTTAATCTCAGGAACTACTAATCCGATTTGAAAAATTATTTTTGCATTAGATAGCCCGTTAACTGAGGAAGGCTATAGGTTATATATTATCATCCCGGAAAAATGTACGGTTCCCGTGGGATAGATTTGGGTTTTGTCTAGGGACGAACCCAAAGTGAAGCCAGAGTGAGTCGCTAGTTGTGTATATTTACGTGTTTGTCTCTTTTTAGTGTCGTATTTTCGTTTTATCGAGTCTCAAATCACAACGATTCTCAAAAAGTTTCACTTATAAAATTCTTCACCATTTAGCATAGGCCAGATTAATCAGATGAAGGACGCAATCTCGGAGAAATATCCAAAAAATGGTCGTAGGAGAGCAGTTTTACATAATATCAAAACGTTTGAGACTAGCTAACTGCGTAGGAGATAATATTATAGTGCACAACATATGCGCAGACACAAGTACACTCTCTATTCCTGTTACTTTCAAATTCCGATGGTACAAAGTTAATTCGACACTACCGTCACAGTGTACAAAAAACGTATAGGCTGTGCTACCGTTAAGAGATCAGGCGTAGGACCGACGAATTTACATGCTCTCCGAAGCACGGTGTAACGCCACCAACTTCCCAACTTCGGTCTGTTACTGGGACTTTCTTAATAAGAGTCCTGTAAAACGATCGAGAAAGAGTCTCTCTTTCTCAATCGTTTTATTTGGTCCGACCCTGGACTCGGAGTCAGAACCTCCGTGCAGCCGGACATTCTAACCACTACACCATCGAGGCAGTTCGGATGGAATGTTATATAATGATGTTGTTTCCAAATCCTTTTAAAAATATGTTCTGTTTGTAAAACTTTGGCGCCCTAATATAATTTCACGTTTTGTTCAATGTAAGAATATTCGTTTGTAGCTATACTCTCCTCCATTTTCTCTTTTCTCTCTATCACTATACAAACTATATTATTAAAAAAAATCGTTAAGGCGTTACAGCGTAAAGAAGCAACAAATGCACATACATACTGATTGAGCTAGTGCATTTAATAAAGTATTTTAAAATTATGGCAGTTTAAAGTATGTACATATATTTATCGGGTTTTTTTCACATAATATGTATTTTACTCAAGGTAGTCAAGAACATACTCGTAGAATTCAATACTTTATTGAACTAAAGGCTAAAATATGCATGCCAATATAACAATACTCTACTTTTTAGGTACCTACATATATACCTACTCCATATTAATCCATACTAATATTATAATTAACTAGCATTGCCCGCGGCTCCGCCCGCGTTCAGATGATCAAAAACCAAATTCTTAGGTTTTACATAAGTATTAGTACATTGCAATTTTAGTATTTTTTCTCAGAAATGAGACATTTTCCCGCGGTAAAAAGTATCCTATATGTTAACCCAGATAACCAGCTATCACCATACCAAATTTTATCAAAATCCCTTCAGTGGTTTTTCTGTGATGCGGAACAGACAGACAGACAAAAATTCTACAAACTATAGATTAGGTCTCTGTATCGATAATAATGTTTATTTCAATAAAATTTTCCAAAAAATATTTAACGTACAGATTCGGCTTAGTTACAATTTTATTATATGTATAGATGAGGGAGTTTGTGAGGATGGATGGATGGATGTTTGTTAGTTTTCACACCAGAACGGCTAAATGGATCTGGATGAAATTTGGCGCAGAGATAGATTATAGTTTGGAATAGCACCTAAGTACTTTTTATCCGGTAAAAACGTACGGTTCTCGTGGGATAGATTTGTTTTTATCTAGAGACGAACCCGAAACGTAGCGAGGATGAGTCGCTAGTATTATAAATGTAAAATTAACTCTGTCTTTTACATTTTCACGTTTAAGCCACTAAACAGATTTTGATAAAATTTGGCAAGGATATAAATGGCATATTGCGATCGGGCAATAACTACTACCTACATTCATATATAACAGACAAATTAAAATTAAATATTATAACACATTATAACACTATAGATAAGGTAATCAATGTAAATGTATACATATAAGTTGTTGTTGTATGTATATTTTGGTTATTGTTTGGAGATACGCCAATTATTAGCTATAAATTATTTTTGTCAGTCTGTCTCTCTATTTGTATATTCTAGCTAAGCATAGCTTTACTGATATGCGTTCTTACTGTTGACATTTAAAACAAATATTAAATTAGGTAAATATGAAAGTTTGATTGTCATTTGTTTTGTGGACAAATAAACAAAAAACAGTCAAGTACGAGTCGGACTCGCACACTAAACTCGCACTCGTTTATTGAGGAAGGCTGTAGGCTATATATCATCATGTTATTATCCAAGGGAACGGAGCAGTAATATATTATGTAATCTATCTATTCCATTCTAACCATTAAAAGTTAAAACATACATAGGGATGTACCAGGGCGAAGCGAGGGTGAGCGTTAGTTAGAATATAAGTTGCGTTTTTCTTATATTGTGACATTATTTTAGGTCTACATTTATTATACTTAATTACATAACTAAGAGTAGGCAGTGGTAGCCCAGTGGTAACGCGCTCGCTTGGGAAACCGAGTGAACCGGGTTCAAATCCCGAGTATCGCAAATCTAATATTTTCATATGCGAATCATTTCTAACATGATTACCACTTCCCTGACGGTAAAGGAAAACATCGTGAGGAAACCTGCATGTCTAAGAGAACCTAGCAAGTTAACGCAAGACATATGAAGTCTGCCAACCCGCACTTGGCCAGCGTGGTGGACTATGGCCTGATCCCCCTCGTATTGAAGGGAGGCACGTGCCCAATAGTGGGACGTTAAAATGGGCTGAATACATTCATATGTACATAACCGTACATGTTAAATAAACATAGCGCTACGACCTTTAGGCAAATTTACCCGCTGGCAAACGTTAATAATATGCCTAATATAAAACATATAAAACAGCTTTTATTAATACTTATACATTTATTTTGTATAGTTTTACCTTTACAGATTCTTTCGTTGAAGCACAAGTTTTTGCACTCGTCGCTATTTCAATCCCATATTCGCAGTCAGCTTTCTTTCTGAAACAAAAAATGAAATATCACTTATTCATTTTTATAAAATATACTCTCATGGGAAGTGATATTTAATTATATATTATATGTATGTGGGGACATTAATACACAGCACCATCTAGTTCCATGGTCAGCTACGAGGCTTGTGTTATTGATACCAGATAGTTGATACACTACACATACATAACTTTAAATACACACATATTATAAAGATCTAACTAATTTAAACATTGGTTAAAGTTAATATTAGATTAACGAACATTTCTTAAAGTTCGGTAATTGGCAGAATAAAATTATTTCTAGCAAACTGTAAGTTAGATTACATAACAATTTGTTTGTGTGATTAATTTCTTGGTTTTTAAAAGTGAGTCACTCGTATGTCTTAGATTAGAGATAGAAGTTTTATTAAAAAATTGAGTGTCTGCGTGCATGCGTGCGATGTGAGAGTGTATGGGTGAGTTTGAGCGTGTACGTGTGCGTGTTTGTATATGTGTGAGCGTGTGAATACGCGTTGCACGTGTACGCGCGTGTGTGTATGGGTGTTTGTGTGTAAGTCGTTACTAAATACGCCAAATTACAAAATACAAAAGGCACCTATAGATGCACTCGATAAAAGCGAGAATAAGTCGCTAGTAAGAAAATAATTCGCTAATATCCTGTTATTCCACATACATAATATGCTTCTGTTCTAAATGTTAAACAATTACTAATAGCATTTTCTCACGTTCGTACTATTTAGAGCAATTTTCTAACTAAACCGCTATAAACTTACATATTATTAATACGTGTTTAATGTTGTTTTTGAAATCTATAATAATATTATAAAGAGGTAAAGTTTGTGAGTTTGTGGCGTTGTAGGGGGTAATCTCTGGATCTACTGAACCGATTTAGATGAAATTTGGTAAGAAGATAGTTTGAGACCCTGGGAAGGACATAGAATAGTTTTTATCTCGAAAATCATCGCTTAAAGGGATGAAAATGGGGATGAAAGTATATATGGGAAAGCAATCTAGGGACAAACCCGAGCGAAGTGAGGGTGAGATGCTAGTTTATAATATTTATAATTCCGTTTGTTGATTCATCTCTAAATAATAATAATACTTTGGCTTACAGTCACTATCGAATATAGCATATTCGATTCTCGTCAGTGGCAAATATTTGCATTACACAATATTATTGTACTGACCGAATTTATAGTCATTACAGCTAGTTTCCTGAGACTTTCCAAATATGACAGAGATATATTATAATGAAGTGTTTGAAAAATCATCACGTCCTAACATTATTTACATCCTCATGCTCGAAGAACGTTTTGTTCATTATTTTACAGTACCTATTATAATCGAAGCTAACTTTTTTGGTCTAACCCAGGAATCGAACATTAGACTTCAAACACTTAAGTCAAGACAGACTATACATAATGGAGTATTAAGTAACAATTAATTATTATTACACATATTATATATTATATGGTACATATTCTACGATTATTACGAAGTAATATAACGTTACTTATGCCCGATTTCACCAACGTCACCTAAGTTTAAGGGATCCCCTAAGCATAGTTAGGGGGCTGTTAGGGGACAGTTTCTCTTTCACCGACAGTTAGGGGTCACCTAAATATTAAAAGGCCCCCTAAATTTAGGTGATCGAAATATGGGCTTAAAGACGATGGTAAAATGAAATTTAATTTAGGGGCTAGTTTAGGGGAATTTTAAGCTAGGGATCCCATACGTAGGTGACTTATGGGTTGTTGGTGAAATCGGGCATTAGTGTATTATAGTCATTAATCCGAAGTAAAGTTATCTTTCACACATCTGCTTACTAAATGAAAATTATTTTGTATGAATCATAATATTCATACAAACAAATATAATTTTAAGTAATTACTCGTATTACCATCTTAAAGGGTAAAAAACTAAATAAAAAGAAAAAAGTAATAAATAATAACAAACAAGCTTTTATTTAAGTACTCTAAAAAAAAACAAAAGTATAATTTCTTACGTGCTTACTGAAGTACAGTGTACACTCACACTTTTTTTTCCTTTTCTTAAAATATATATTAGTTCATCCCTGAAGAACAAATTTTTCGTTAAAAATTTGTTCCACTGTTTTAAATGACTTCAAATTTGATAGAAAGCAAATAATTATTTAGGGCTGTGGAGAGAACTTAGACCACTGACAAAATAAAAGTGATAATATAAATGTCAATACTCACTTAACGAACTCTTTACAGCACTGGTCCATTGCGAAGACGCACATGGAGGCAAAGGTTGAAGGCACATCAGGAGGCACTGATGAAGAACAATCATCAGACGTGTGATTACGAGCGAAAGCTGTGCCTTGATTACAGCAAAGTTCCATCGTTTCTGACATTTGATCCATAAGGCTGCCTGAATTTAAAAAAAAACAATTAATTAAAAAACTTCGAATAAAAAGGATGTGTTGTAATTAGTGACCGATAGAAGTTTCGGTTTCGATTACGGCTGAGACTTGAAACTGAGACCGAAGCTTCTCTTTCGGTTTCAGTTTCGGCTTCAAATCCTATTTCAGTGGGTCATTAATTATAATGTTAACTTTGAAAAAAGTCCAGTATTCATATTGCATTTTGACCGACTCCGTAAATGAGATTTTTTGGCTATATCGATATCTTCTTCGTCAACTGATTTTCCTGATTATTTTTTTGACTATAGGTACATAATATCTATACATACCTATAATAAAATAGTAACTAAGTCGAATCTGTACATTAAATATTTTTTGGAAAATCTAATTGAAATAGACATTATTATCGATACAGAGTTCGAATCTATAGTTTTTAGAATTTTTGTCTATCTGTCTGTCTGTCTGTCTGTCTGTTACCGCATCACGAGAAAACCACTGGACAGATTTTCATGAAATTTGGTATGATGATAGCTGGTTATCTGGGTCAACATATAGAATTCTTTTTAAGGCGGGAAAATATCTCATTTGTGAGAAAAAATACAAAAACTGCAATGTAAGAGTATACTAACAAGTAAAACCTAAGAATTTGGTTTTTGGTCATCTGAACGCGGGCGAAGCCGCGGGCAATGCTAGTATACTATAAATTTTATAAATCAGAGTTGGTTCTATATAGATTTCTTGAAAAATCCATCCATAAGTGTGGCATAATAACATTAAAAGTTATTTTAAAGTCCTTTTAATTCAAATCTTTAGTTAAAAATACTATTATCTGGCATAATAAGTCAGATGATATTTTTAATCCGGCATCGCTATTAAATTGCTGAGCCGATTTTATTGATACTTGTTGATTGTGTAAATAATCGTTTAATTGAAAACAAAATGAAGAATTTTTTATTAATTAGTTCGGAATATTAAAAAATGAAAGCAAGATACGCTCTACGCACTGCATTTTATTTCATAATATATTATATATTATGTTTATGTTATATATATAAATTATATTATTTTGTTTCATAATATATTTATTTAATAATATATTATATAATATATAATACAAGATTTTTTTATGAGCTGAGTATTTTCAACGTTTAACTGCCTCGGTGGTGTAGTGGCTATCATGTACGGCTGCACATCTGGAGGTCCTGGGTTCGAGTCCCGGGTCGGGCCAAGTTTAGTTATTGAGTCTTTCTGTAGTGAGTAAGTAGTGAGTAAGTGAGTAAGTCTCGGTAACCGCCCGGAGTTGGGAAGTTGGCGGTGTTTCACCCCCGTGCCTCGGAGAGCACGTTAAGCCGTCGGTCCTGCGCCTTAACTCTCACCGGTCGTGTCGAGTGGTCGTCCCACCGTAGTATGAGAGTGATAGGAATAGAGAGTGCACTTGTGTCTGCGCGTACACTTGTGCACTATAATATCTCCTGCGCAGTTGGCTAATCTCAATGAGATTGGCCGCCGTAGCCGGAATCGGCTAGGAGAACATCATTTCCAACGTGACTACTTCTTATTTTACGGTGAAGCAAAATATCGTGAGGAAACCTGCATGTCTGAGAGAACCTAGCAAGTCCGATAACCCGAACTTGAACTCCTTCGTATTGAAGGGACGCGTTAAAAAGGGCTGAGTAGATACAGTTAAATGCCTAATTCTTCGGTGTATGGGTTTCCCACAAAGTAGTACTTTCGTTGCGGCTGTGTCGAATCGTCGTTTTAAGTTAAAGACACATAAATTGATGTTAATTAGAGTGATGTAAGAAACCTATAGATGTCTTAATAAAAAGACTATCAAACACAAAAAACATTTTTTTATCAGACCAGTAGGTCCAGAGATTAGCGCGTACAAAAAAAACTACTCAGCTATATAGAGGTATGTATGTATTAGTATAGACTATTTATTAATGCAAAAGCAAAGACGTTGTTATAGATTTGTTTGTTGAATTTATATAATAAAATAAAATAATCAATATATTAGTTGGTCAACAAGTGATAAATCCCTTTGAGTTGACGGCGGGACGACAGGTGTGCTACAGGGTACAGCAGATGTGAGCGTATGAAAGTTATTATCAAGAATGTGATTTATTAAATATAAACTCGCATGATGCCATTACTTCACTTGGCTAGTTATATATTTTTTATATTGTTGGCTACGATCGTTTAATTTTGATGAGACATTTAAGATAATACAGTGTTACATGATATTTTTTATCATATTTTATTTTTCATTTAATACGTCTATGTCAGTCAAAACTCTTTTCTAGTCATATCTACTTTTGACAGCCAAAAATATTATTGAATCAAGAGGTTTGTCAAAAGTCAAAACTAGTTTTGACTATAAAATATTGTCAAAATCACTTTTGACTGATAATGACCAAGAGTGTAAGTCCAAATAACTTTTATATTATAAAAAATGGCTAATCTAACATAACCTTGCTTCAGATATTAAAAAATCCTTGATAGTTCATAGTTCATAATATTAACATAATTCTTTGCCGTTTTTTCAACCCTCAATACTTGCCTCCTTAACTTTTTAAGAGTTTTGACCGACATGACAGTAGAAACTTATATTGACCACGAAATAATTCTGACTGCAACGTCTATAATAGTAATGTTATTAATATTAAACTGTAGAACAACCAGTAACATAAAAAAATATGCCCCTTTATTGAGGACCGTTGTTTGACAAAGAGAGACAACAGCATTCCCAAGGAGGGTTGACGTCAGGTAGGCGGCTGGTTGTAAAACTTTTGCCAAAATCCTTTCAGCAGTACAGAAGATGTACTGCGCCGACCCCAAGTGATTAGGAAATGGGCAGGGAGAAGAAGAGATTGAGGACCGTTACTTATATTTTTTACCATAACTTTTACTAGTATAAAGGAAGTAAAAATATATACAGGTAAGTATTGTATTCAGCCCTTTTTAACGTCCCACTGCTGGGCACAGGCCTCCCTATAATACGAGGGGGATCAGGAACCTTAGTCCACTTCACATGTCTTGCGAAAACTTGCTAGGTTTACTTAGACATGCGGGTTTCCTCACGATGTTTTCCTTCACCGTAAGGCAAGTGGTAATCATGTTAGAAATGATTCGCACATGAAAATATCAGACGTGCGAGACACGGGATTTGAACCCGCTTCATTCGGTTTCCCAAGTGAGCGCGTTACTGGTTACTGGGCTACCACTGCCTTTTATATGAGTTGTTATACGAATGAGTGCGAACTAGCATTGGTGTAAAGTATTCGTATGGACAAAGGAAACGAAATAAATAAAAGGCGTATACGAAAAAGAAGACAGGCGTAACAGATTCTTTGTATAAACATTTTGTGTTATTTCTACCGTTCGACATTGACGAAGTACACATAACAGTCGGAAACTTAGAGTCATTCTATTATTCCAATGAAGTTAGAAAAAGTTCGAATTATAATATGTATGTAGGCTTAGGATCTAGAATTAGGTTTAGATACTACTAATCTATGTGCGATTAGAATTAGGATACTAAATTATTCTAATCAGTAAAAAAATAGTATAATTCAAATATAAGTATTCAAGTGAGAGTAAATCACTAAAAATATTATATTTATTGAAAAAATCTTTATAAAAAGGCCATCATTTGCAATCTCTAAGTAAAAAAATAATTTTACTTACATTTTTTTGTTATTTTTTATTAATAGACAACGTGAGCGAAGCCGCGGTATTTTATAGGAAAGAAAAAGCAGATCGGTAATTTGTAAACGGGTTATCTTTAAATGCTTTTTTGCAAAAATTTTGAAAAGTAGTTTTCCAAATTATTGCAAAAAATATACACACACTACAAATAGTTGTAGCTTAGACATAAAAACTTTTTTAGAAAAAATAAAAACCGACTTCCAGGCAATAAAATGAAAAAAATAACTAAACGGAGGTTTTCATTTAGAGTAGATACCTAATCATATATCTTCGAAGTCGGTGCCAGCCGATGCAAAGCAAATCTAACATATTTCGACACGTAAAATACATATTTACCTATTAGATATTCATATCTCAAAATATTATCGGCTTTTGGCTATTGGCGGCCGTTTCAAACTTAAAAAATCCAAATCAGTTCAGGCGTCTTCGAGTAAAAAAAAAAAGATTCCGACGAATTGAGAACCTCCTCCTTTTTGAAAGTCGGCTACAAATACTATAGTTAAAAAATAGCCATTTTCAAAATTGCATTGAAATAACAAAAATCGTTATATCATAGAATCATAATAATATGTCATTCCCATATATTTTTACTGGCTTTTATTTAACTTGCAAGGTTTGTATGAATGTTTGTTCGGGTCAAATCTTGCAACAGAATTTTAAAGCAATTATCCTCAACCGATTGAGCTCATATTTTGCATAGATATTTAGTTTGGACGACAATGCATGGTTAGATAAGTGACGTCATTATAAATCCAACATGGCGGTCTATGTTTTTTTTTGCGCCTCCCATTATATGGATATTATATGGAAAGGGTTTGCTGAGAATAATACTAATAAATACCAAAAATGTAGAAAAATAGACGTTAAAATAAAACAAACCATTTATCACATTACTCAATGTATATGATACAAAGCTTGTTTTTAAAAAATAATATATTTTTTATTTATTTAGCTTTCTAATCTTCAACAATTGTAAAATAACATTGTTCTTGAAATAATTCTTGGCAGCAACTAAACTAAGCTGATTTGAGTTATAAGTTAACAAATTATAGTCTGGATTAAAAACTTTTTTCTTCAATTATTCAAGTCAAGACAAACAATCAAACACCACACAGAGTTTTCCATACAATGTAATGCATATTAAAGAGAGATCATTCATACTGACCGTGAACTAATTAAAATACGTACAAAATAAGAAACCGCAGATAATAGCAAGTATATAAAATAAAATGAACGCACGACAGAAATATAAGTGAAATCACAATAATATTATTAATGGGAAACTTTGCATGTGTGT